TAATTTTCTCATTGGGATTTTCCGGTAGATTTTGCTCATGAAATTTCCAGGAAACCTCGGAACGTCAGACAATCTTCAGAAAAACCCAGTGATATTTTCTAACCGCTTAAATCACGAAATTGGAGGATACGAGTGATAATTTTAATGGATGCATTCCGACGACATAATCCATGAAAAGTCGTAATAATTATTTATGGGCATACGTAAATTTATTTGTCGATGTAGTTGAAATGATGAGGAATGCATTTGCAAGACGAAATGGAGGAAAGCCAGAGATCGAGATGATACCGGAATTGAAAGAGGGATTTTGAACTACTTGCAGATATTCCACTTGGTGGGAGATAGATTATACATAGATATAGCTGAAGGGTAGAGGACCTCGCACGTGTAGATCCCCCACTCTATCCCCTGGGTTAGAGCGACCGAATGTCCTTGAGATGTTGCACTGGGGAACTACCAAGTGCTACTGAGTCTCGTTGCAACATTCCCCCGACCCTCTCACAAGGTCAATTTACATTGGATGACATTAAATATAAAAAGTTTAAATAATTATCCACGACGAAACATTTCACACGTCTATTTATCTCATTAATTTTTTTTCAATTAATTTTTTCCAGTAAGATTATTTTCTCATATTTTTTCTTTTCGATATTCTTCTCATTGCACTGATAGAATGCACAACTAAGTCACTGGTACTTGCGTATGAATGATATTAATACAACTGAAGGACATGGCATTCACCACTTGCGCTATTCTTCGAGATTAAAAGTCGGGGCTTTTCTTTGACACTTGGCCTTGAAAAATTTTTCCCTCGTGCTGCATCATATGTCATTTTTTATTTTTATTTTTTAGATATTCAGCATTGAGAATTATCAAAAATTTCGGTGATAATTTTTTGCAAGATGCAGCAACGGATATATTATAATGTCCTGGTAGAAATAGGAGAAAGCTAGCTCAAAATATCTCAAGCATTTCGAATGCTTCCGCAGGATATCGTGTATAAAAAATTGAAGCATAAATAATTTAATCAATATATTGATCATTCTGGCTTGCATTTCATTCGAGTTATCGAAACACAACACCTATAGTCAGCAGTTAGTCATCGTGATTAGACTCCGCAACATTAACACAATATCTCCATGAAATTGCACACAACAGCAATTTACAAATTGAAATTCCCCAGCGAAGAGAACAATTCCATTTGACCAATGCATAAATAATTGCGCATTTATCATCTAGATTTCTGAATCTAAGGGAGATAAAATTCTTGTGGATAATTTTTCAAAGTTAAATCGAATTTTTCCTTTTTTTGACAAACTTTTAAAATCCATATTGATCAAATCATGGGATCCGACAAAATCACGTTCATCACGCCATCTACAGAAATAAAGTCGTAATTATTATTGCTATCGCGTTATCACCAGCTGATTCCGTGGAAATCATCTGGGATAATTCAACCGATACAGTCGACTCTCGCGAGAAATATTTTCGAATATTTCGAGCACGTGGAAATTCGTCAGTTCAATTTGGAGTCAAAATCTTCAAAATTCGTATTTATACTGAATTTTTACGGATTTTTCAACGAATAAATTATGATTATGATATTATACAATTACATTATTCTTTACAATATATAAAAAAAATTTAAAAAGTGATTATTAAAAATATTTTGAAGAATTTTTAAAATGGTTTTTTTGAGAGAATCCACGGATGCCTCGCCTTTAAATTGAAATAAAGAGATGTAATCGAAAAGTTCAGCCAAAATTTTGTAATCCCGCATTATGAATTTCGAAATGAATGGAAAGCCTGCCAAGTTATGTAGTTGTGAAAATCACAGGAGCAAATGCCAAAGAAAAGTGCGGCTGTCTCAATAAAATATTCCTCCGTATTTTCCTGAACTTTACTGCAGTAAAAGATTTTATGATTAGTAATAGGCCACAATTTGCGAATGATTATAAACTGGTCAAACGAGAATTTAAGATTCAAAGTTCATCCATAAATAGCCATCTAAAATGTTGGAAATTCACCGTATGATATTTATTCGCGGTTTCAATAAATAATAAAATACCTTCGTAATGATCGGTTACTCATCCAATAAAAAATAATTCCCTTTAAATACCTCTCATCACCGCGACATTTCCTCTTCTTCTAATTATTATAAATCCGCGAACAATTCACCTGATCATCATCAGCAATTGTTGTAATTGCAGTAGCAAAACAAAACGTATCGCGAAAAAATCGCGAAAAAAAAACGTATCGCGGAAAACCACTGGTTTGGATTGATTCGATCGATTGTTCGAGCAAGCACTTTCCAAAATTAGTCAACAGGATCTTGGTAACGGTTCAATCGCTGAGAATTCCTTACAATCTCAAATCCGTGGATTCCTACTGATTCCAGTGATCGATTAAATATCGTGAGTCATTGGAAACGATTCCGATAGCAATCGGTGATGGCATCAGGGCAATAGTTCATCCTGGGCTGTTCAACTCTTCAAAAATAGCCATAAACTACTCAGAAAATAAAAATAAACCAAAAGAAAAAAGAAATTCCAGTTAATCTTATTTTCAATGACTTTTTAAAATAAAAACCAGTGAATAGCATAATTTTCGCAAAGAAATCGTTTGCAGGATGAAATATGAGAGTTTTTTAAAAATCGTAATATTTTCGGGGAAATATAATTTTTGGCCAAAAAATTTTTAGCGTAAGAATATAACTTTCCCCGGAGACATTAAGAATGGAATTCGTAACGCATGAATTTAGAAAATTCCAGTGAAAGCCTCCAATTACGGTAATATCAAAACTTCCTTTCATCGTGAGTCCGTGAATGTGTGGCCTAATCCGGTGGATATTAAATAAATATCTGACCAGTTCCCCCGGATCGACGCAATAAAACCGCATACCGGAGAAAGGACACTTGAAATGTTTCATTATTCTCATTATCCGTAATTTCTCAACGCGTAATAAATGAAATTCCGCCTCTTCGAGGCTGTGGGCTACAATTCAAACAGCAAAAGTCACTTCGACACTCTTAATTCGGTTTTAAATCAACGGTAATTGTACCCCTGTGCAATTCATTCCTCGTAACGTCAAGGCTCCCGGGCAAAATGTAAACTGTAAAAAAAAAATGAATGATTCAATGTTTCAGCAACTGACGCATCTCCATAACGATGAAAATAAGAAAATTCACTCTGGCAATTACAACGTTCAATTGCCCACGACATAAACACTCAATTCAACTCAATTGCATTAATAGTCCATTTCGCCACATAAACATTGCAGCGAAAGTTATTATTTTGATGCAATAAATTCACTCCACCGGCTTTTAGGTGTAAAACAATATAATACGCAAATAATTTATGTAAACATGAGGTCTTTAATTAAATTTTCTTACGGAATCGAGACAATATATTACAAAGGCCATGTGGAACCGACAATTTGGTCACAGGTTCAATCCTTAAAATTACAAGACTTGATATAATTCATCAGAACATACAAAAATAAAAGTACAAACTCGAGGGCTTAATAATTATTTTCTCGGAATGGAAATAAATGGGATTATTGCACAATTATTTTCCATCGGGAGTTCAGTTGAAAACGGGGAGAACAATTGTGCAAAAAATCGATAAATTATTCATGAATATCCACAATACTGCTAGCAGATACTTTAAGTACACAGACTAATAAGGATATTTACATCGTAAGAGTAATCGATAATGAAAAATCATTGTTCGTTTAAATTTGGTCGATCATGAGGAACAGATTGTCGGCAAAATGCATCTATCAAAGGCGTTTCATTTAATTTCACTCAGTAAATGGAAAAATAAAGAACTAAGCGTGCCAAGGATGCGGTGGCGGTTCTGTTTCTTCTTCTATCCTCGATAGAGCAAAAAAGCATTGTAAATAACTGAGACATGATGAGCACAATCATTCAGTCATTACCTATTTTTTTTTATCCAACTCTTCAATTCTTTCAACGGTCATGACTTAATTCCATTACGTATTCCGTTTTTCATTTCGTTATTTAATCAGATCGATGAGCTGATTAAATATTAAAACTCATCGGTTTCCCTTTCGATCTCTATCAATATGGCACCCGAGGAATACCACGAATTTTTTATCCCGTGAAAATTCAAAGTCTGATGGAAAATCTCGAATTACACATATGGCACTTCTCTGCGAAATTCTGTTCCTCGAATGCAACGAGTAACACGACTCACTGACATTCATATAGTCTTCAAAAATCTTTAGTCTACACGCATAAATAAATAAATGCCTGAAAATATCCTAGTAATATATCGATTCAGGGTTTAAAGCAGAAAATTCCAGGGAGTGAAATTTATAGTTCAATTCGCAGTGATGACTGATAATTGTAGATCACTGCATTTTTTTATCTAAAATTGTAATTTTAGATTCGTGTTAATTTTCCTGTGTGTAAAGGAATAGTCCCTGGTATTTTATTTTTTTATAATAAATAATTATAATAAAAAATGGCATGAGTGTAGAAATGTCTGAGAGTTATGGTTTTGTTGAGTGGAAATTTCGGGTGAATTTTTATCCTGACAACGCCATTTTAATGACACTCATGTTCTATGTTAAAATGTCAAGATAAAAATTCATTTGAATGCACCACACGATTACTAAGCGCCTGGGTAAATTAAACTATAAATTTTTATCCGCGTGGAGTGTGAAACATCCGGTTGAGCAGTATCTCTCTCGGATATGTGAAAGCTACAAAATTCGTATCTCAATGACAGATAACACTTTCAAGTACATTGCTATCACGTTGAAATATGCTCGCAGAAATATTAAAAATATTCCTCCCAAACCCCGGATATTGTTAACAATTGATATAAATTAGAATTCCAATCGCAACGAGACGACCATACCCTGCACTAGATGTAATCAGTATGTAAAAAGATAAAGTGCCTCGATGCTAGACCCTCTCCATTAAAAAGATTATTTTTTTCAACGTGAAGAAAAAATTATCTTGCACCCAGAATCCCAATTTTCACCTAAAAAAAATTTATTCTCTACACACCAATCCCTAATTAATTAAATGTTAAAGAGATTCATCAACAATCGGCGGCAGGCCATTTGGAGAGACTGAATTAACTCCAGCCTTCAACCAAATCCCTTCGTTAATCACAATAACTAATCAAGAAATTGTTATTCGTCCCTATAATTTGTCATATCAAAAAAAAATTTTTTTTAATCACGTCATGGGAAATGTATAAAAATTAATAAACTGTTCTAATTATTATCTCTCCAATCTTCTAGGAACCAAACTTAATAGTTTACTCAAATTTGGAATACGTTAAAAAATAATACGACTACCTAATTGTCACGGTAATTACCGTCCCGTAGTATTTCAGTTTCCACAGCTTTTGTAATAAAAATTCATTGACAATAATCCAATGCAGTCTCTCATTTCCTAGACATTTTGCATAACCGACACTGAATCCTTCTAAGACAATACAGAAAATCCAAGACATCTCTACGTCATCTTGCACTTGCTCTTGCCATCGAGTAATTTCTTCCAGAGATCAAACTGCTCACCGTACTTTACCATATGTATACTAATCCCCCGCTGTATATTACATGGATTGTACGCAATTCGTTTATTTAAAAACTCATTGGCATGAACCCGTTTGATGCCGAGTTTGTGAGCAACGATGCCAGTGGTGAAGACATCCTCGAGCTTAAGATAGGTCTGATTGAGAGCAGCTTCGTACAATCTATTGATAACATCCCTCGACAATAGATAAGCCGGGCCAGTGGTGAAATCAGGAAAAAGTGGTGGTTTGTATTGAGCTGGAGATACGTAATACTTGCTCCTCTTGTTTCTTATGGGTTTCCATTTACGCGCCAATCTACCGAATATAACGTTTTTATCTCTATCGTGTTTTTTAACGAACGATAACAATCTTGGTATATTGATAAACATGTCGTCGTCGGTTTTCAGAAGATATTTAGCCTCTGAGCAATATGTATCAACCCACTCGAGTGTTGAAATCGTCTTGAGCGTTAGGTTTGAATAAGAATCTGCGAATCTACCCCTTATCACATCACCATACAACTTCTGCTCGTGCTGCAGAAGATTCTCTAGTTTAACATCTCTTGTTGTTCCAAGTATGAAGAGGACACTTACGTCTGTTCGCTGGCCAAAGTGGCCCCATGTCTGACGAATTGCTGTTCTTGCCTCGATATGTGATGGCGCTGACATGACTATTATCACCAGATCCATGTCATCACCGTAGTTTGGACATTTTTCCTGGACTGTTACGTCGTGACCAGCCTGATATATCCCACGGGCTGTGTCATCGGACTGGTGGCTCACTGGGGATTTGGTGTCCGATGATTTTGGCGAGTGCAGGGTTGGATCGTTGCTGGGGAGATTTATCGATGTACTTGCGGAAGACTGTGGACCTTGAGACGTTGATATGGCTGTTGCTCCAGTTGATATCGTAGAGTTGTGAGGGGATATTGCGTTCGTCAATATTAAGTCCAGGGTGATGTTCTTGGGGGACTGACCTGGTATCTCGCTGATGTTCGGGGGGTTGACTCTGATGAAGGCCGCCTCACCTGGGATCATTTGAAAATTCCGTCATACGGTTAAAAGGAAAATCGATTTTCCGATTTCCAAATACAGGCAGTCATTACTCAATAGCCCTTTGTATTTTCGTCATTGTATTACTCCTGTTGTATTTTATGTTTCAATAGTAAAATTGTGAATTCGATTTTATTAATGAATTTGAGATATATTTATCTGGAATACTCACCGATTTCGATAGGGACGGTGACAGGTCTAAAATCGTCGATGGTTGTTCGATAATAGGCGTAAAAGGTGAGAACTACGAGGCCAAGTATAAGGCTGTGCAGAGCACGACTGCGGAGATGCAAAAAGTGGTTCATGACGATAACGAATGAGCCGAGTCAGAGACGGATATCCGGAGAATCGAATAGTCTCTGCAATTTATTTTTTCCCCGGTAGAAAGGAGTGAAAATGTGAGTGGGCAGTTACTGAGAATATCGTGAAGCCGATGTGGCTGTTAGTTGGTTTTTTTTTTCTGTATGTAAGTTGTCAGAGATCCAGGAATGAGAGATTAAAATATAGACTGAGGCGCATCGAAAAAGAAACGAACGGGTGATACGAGGCCGAATATCTTGGGGGAAGGTCGACGAGTTATTCCCATTATTTCGAGGTCCACTGGAGAATTGCCCCGAAAGTTGAGTGGCCGAGCCAATTTGGACCACTGTGATAACTCCTCTTCACAGCACATGCCCCTCTTTTGTTCGATGTGAAAAAGGCAGAATGCAATGTTAATTTTTCAAGGATAAAAATTATTTATCAATGCATCAGCTGCATTTATCATCACGTACCACTTATTATCATCCACCCTGGTTTCTCCGCTCAACAATCATTTCCAAATACGTCATTTTGTATCGATAATTGCTGCTCAACACGTTAAGGTATGTCCAGAGAGGGAGTTAACACACGTTTTTTTGCCACCCCAGGAGTTTGTGATCTTGTCAGGCAACTTTGAATATAACCTCGTTCGGCACAAATTACTGATGTTCCTTGGAGCAAGTTCCACAGAGCTCTGAGTTTCGTTTCTCGTGTATTGGCCGGTGATTGAGGCCACCACTGAGATCCAACTCCCACTTGTTTCTCTAACTTTTTTTTTGTTATTTTCACTTTTATTTATATTGGCAGTAACACCCGCGGGATGGCGCAGGCTGTCGGACAACCTTCGAGGGTTTTTCCTCCCCTGTTTTCCCAGGTTCGGGCAACGGAGGAACCCTTCGAGGGACCATCGATTTTTCCCTCGTTGGGTCGAATGGATGAGAAATTTCCGTTCTCAAAAAATTGTTTTGATGAAGATTTTGATGTTCATTTTGAAATAGAGTAATTAGTTGATCAATCAATTGTATGGAATAATCAGATCGACAATCGAATTTGTGCGAAATCAATAATTAATTGATGAGAAAATTTTATTTTGCAGAAAAGTCGGGGCAATCGAATTTCCACGGTATTTTTGGTCCCCTTCCGATAATTCTGGAGTTTTTAATAAGATTGCGCTTATAGGGGAACAATGAAAATCAGATTAAACATTGTCTTGAGGTAATTAAAATGCATTTAGGGAAAAAGTTTGAGTTTACGAGGAAACTTGCGAGAAGATTGAGCCGGTTTTCGAGGAGAAAGGAAGCTGAGGTGTAATAATTATGGAGATGGGAATTTGAGGGGATGATTTTAAATTTTAAATTTCAGATTGAGCAACGGAATTTCAGACGAGAAACGGAATATAAAGGTGATCAAAATCCTAACATCGAATTAATAATTATAATTATTGTGAATTGGTTAAAATTTCATCTCGTTGAAGTTAATATTTATCAATTTTGACAGTTTGTCCCGGATTTATTGAGTCATTTATGGTGCCATTGATAACAATATCGTGACAGAGCCTGTTAAGTGATGAAGTAGTGGTTCCATCTGCTCGTTAATTGTTCAAAAATGTTATCTTCGTTTTTAAGGTTTAATCATCAAGATATTTATCAACTTGTTTTTATCAAACTCCCACTGACATTTCAGATAAAGTTGTCATTGAAAAACAATTCAAAAACTAGTCGACGATTCCATCGTTTGTCCGGTTAAATTATCTCCAAATCGATAAACCAGTAAATGTTAATTCTGCAAGATCTAGGAAAAATCGGAAATTCAAACGGATTGAAATTTAATGTTTGTCTGACTTCTGATAATTCCTGCTAATATTCCCTTGCAATTAAAAACTGACAAACGAAATGATGTAATTACAGAAAAACTTCGACTTCGACTTTCCGGTCGATTTAATTTCAATGTTTCAGGTCACAACACCCGTGTTTGAAAAAATCAAGAATAAATTCTCTGGTACTATCAAGAATTTTGTCGTGCCATGAGCACCAGGAAACGGTTCGAGGCACGTGTTGTATCTATCAGCAGTTGTATCATTGGAAAAGACCTTGAAACCGCAGACGAGAAGCCGATGTTGATGGTAGAAAGGAGTGAATTAAAGTAGAACTTTCAGTTTAAAAAAAAAAAAACTCACTCATGAGGACATGAAAAATAAAAATGGAACCCTCTGGATTTTGTCGTCAGCTCTTGAGCTTGATCGATAACCCATTTTCTGGAGATATCTGGCGATGGGCCAGAATTTTCCATTCTACCGACTTTCAGTAAATCCTCGTAATCATCTCTTACATATTCTCCTTCAATCTCCATCTCGCTTCTTAGTTTCTGTTATTCTAACCTCGACCTCGGGGATAGGTCACCATTGTTTTCAAAACTAAACTGACTCTTTCTCGTTTCGCAATGTCACGGATATTACACCGTTTGCCAATTCAGTAATTTGCTAACTTCAAACGTCCAAGTTCTCCGACCACTAGCTATTCAACCTCTGTCCCATTGTTAACAGTCGTACACTTGCTGTTTAATTAGTTGAGGGTAATTTCTAGGATCGTTATGCATAAAATGAACACTTGGGCATTTTCACAGACGAGGTGGTCCTTGCTGTTCACTATTTCAGGGCATTTTGCCACTGGGAATTCTCGAGTTTTCATGGAAAACTCGTGGAAACTTAAATTACTGTCTGATTAATCCGGAAAAATTGCGCTGAAGGCGGCGTGATTTGGGGAATCAAATTGGAGAAATGGAGAAATTTTCTGGAATTTCTGGAATTGGTCTGGGGAAAATGGACATGTGGGATTCAAAATTTTCTCGGGAAAACTCGTGGGAACTGTCAATTCTAGTCCAATTGTTCCGTAAAAACAGAGGAAAAATATCAGAGATTTCGGGAATTGTTCTTGAAATCGGAATTTTCCCGAGTCTTCGAAAATTTGCATAAACTTCGAAATTATGGTACCGCCACATAAACTTAAATATTCAATCGTAGAATTTCCGGAAATTTTTTGAATCAAGCGATAAGGTATTATAACTGGATATTAACCAATTGTATTCCCCCTCAATTCACCCCAATGGCTTTTCCACTCCGTTAAATTTTTTTAATCCACCGACATTTAATTAAATAGCTCGCTCCAACCGAATGAAAACACCTCCCAAATTTTTCAGTCAAATAAATTCAGAATATGTCAGCTAATCCCAACAACTCGGACACATAATAATATCGAGGTACGATGAAGTACTACTTTTAATTCCCGTCGACACGAAATTCATTAATTAAATTATGCAAATAGACTTCATGAATGCCAAGTGACAGGTATTTTTGATGCCTTCCTGGGGGATATGTGTGTCACATCCAGAAGACGTGTAATTGCATTGTTGGTACCGTACGCCTTGGAGAAAAGAAAAGCTTGAAATTACATCGTGTCTACAATGATGATTAATGAAAAGCAAATCCACTCACTCATTACCAAGTTAATAAACTGCTCATTAGCAATAGGGTAATGAGCGAATAATTTTTTTATTAAATAATGGACAAATTTTGATTGTAGAAAAATGGACGAGTCTCTTGATATCGATTGGGTCTTTGATTTTCATTTTATTAAATCATCGGTATGAAATTATTTGGAAAATTATTGTTTTGGTAAAAATTGGAATTTTCGAGGCCTTGGGAATTTCGGGATTTATTGTAACTCGAATGCATTTTTCATTTTAAAATTGTTCTGTCCTTTTATGAAGGATTTCATTGGGTTTTCTAGGTTTCATCAAGCCTCGGTGACTAGTCCGCGGATGTTACAGTATATTTTTGCACAAAGCAACGCCCACGGTGTCGTTTCCACTAGGAGTACGACGGAAATAAATCTCTATTCATGAAAATCACCATTTTTTTACGATGGGACGCGTAACTATCGGAATGAATGTAATTATTTCCGGGATAATGGATGAGAAAACCTTTAGGAACGTTTTACCCTGGAGCGGTGCAAATTCCAGTTCATGGTCGGATCCTGATTTTTAAAATCGTGAATATTAATTGAATACGAATCGTCATAATTTAGATATTTTTATAGTTGACGTATTTTTTTATATCAATGGATTTTTTAATCGACGCTCATCGCGAGACAAAACACTCGTGAATAATTTATGAGGTTTTTGTTCAATTTGTCTCGTGACGGGAAGTGAAAAAGTCTTCCGTGACTCGTGTGGAAGAAGGCAAAAAAGTCAATGGAAAATGTATTCCTTAGTTTCAAAAGCAAACGGTAATTCAATTTATCCGGACAATTAGATTTGAATCAGATAACTTTCGGGATGAGCTGCATTCACTGGTGAGAGTGTCACGAGTTCTCGGTAAATGAATTTTCAAAGTGTTCAACAAAAATTCGGTTAAATAATAATCAAGTACAGAATGTAATAATTTTATCCGAAATTTTCGGTGAGAGAGAATGATAAATGATTTTTACTCTCTAAAAAATGTTGGCAATTTTTTAATCCCTGGTGTATTAACAATCTAAAAACCAAGAGACCGGTGACGAGAATATCTGAGAGCCGTCAGAGACCGAGGAATTCTCCCGAGAAATTGGCACGTTGAAAACCTCGTAATGAAGATTCCAATTAACCACCAGAACAATGAGCCCTCCATTTTCCCCTCCCCCATGAAAAATGCCTCATAGCATACGTCATATATCTGTCACAGAATGCAACGATGATTGCCGATAGACAAGGACATTACCAGGAACACGCCACGACAATTCCCTGGTGAATCAAAACTCCATCGACGATCCTTTCGTCATTTCAAAATCCAATAAACTCAACACGAGATTGAGCGTTTGCCGCACCGGTCTGTTGCCTATTATTCTAACGAGTATACCAAGCACAAATACTCGTATATATATGTACACCTTTTCATCTACATGTGTAAATGGAAAATGTGCAATGCGCCACGCGTATGCACACCTGCAACCAGGGGGGGTAAAAGGGGGGGGCAAGTGTGCACCGAGACCAATTCGGTTCAATAACGAAAAATGAATTCTTCCATTTGATTACCCAATTGCCCTCAATATCACTTTGATTATTACGTGCCAAATTCTTAGTAGTAATTTTTTTAATTAATTGAATTTTTACAGCTACTCGATGTGACAAGGAAAAAATTGTTCAATTGGCATTTGTTTTCAATTAAATCCTTGAATATCTGACATTCCTTCGGATTTTTGGGAAAATATCGTGTTCAGAATTTTTGAAAAAAACTAGTCACGAGGGTTATGATTGATTTCGGTGGAATTTCTATGAATAATTTATAAATATTTTATCAATTTTGAAAAAAAAGGTATTCCAGATTAAACAACTCATGCGCATCGACAAAGTGAAATTCTCGGAATTATCAATCTTTGTTTACGATCAATTAACCCAAAAACTATCGATTGTCGCGGAAAATATTGCGACACTTTTCCCCGTGCCGAGCATCCCAACAATTTATTTTCCGTAACGCCTCAATCCTCCGATTTTTCGCGAAACAAATGCACCCACGGCGATTGCAAACATCGACAACAAGATATCATGAATTCCCATTCTTTTTCATCTCCAGTAATCTCCCTCTAACCAAAATATCTGTATCAGCCAACCCCCCTAATTAATTCACCCCCAAATATTCCCATACCCCCCAATTAGCCCCCAACCCAGAAAGATGAGAATCTGTGTCCCCAAAAACTGAGTAAACCTTCTTAAAAAAAATCCACCATAAATCCCGACTCTCCCCCACCTCCCCAATACACCCCACCCTCAAAAGTAGTGGCTGAGTACAAACCCGTATTGGATAAAAATCATGAGAAAAAAAAAATAAAAAAAAAAAATAAAAAATAGGAAGGGAGGGTATATATCTGTCCGTGCGAAAACGGTCAGCTGGTATTACTGCAGTCGCGCAGGCGATCGATGGCCCAGTGCCACTCCACCCCCACCCCAATCCACCTCCTCGAAACCCCTCTCTCACTCCATTCGTCGTTACACAGCCCCCACCCTTCAATTGAACCCCCACCAAATATCGAAGGAGCGTTGAATCACCCCTCTACCACCCCCTCGCACACAAAGAATTCAACATACGTGACGAGAAAACTCAAGCCCACGGCAATTCCACCCTCTCCCACCCCTCACTCACACACCCGTTTTATCCCCCACATATTTTTTTCCTGGCTTTCCTTGTATTAATCTCCCCCTTCCCACACCACCCCCTTCAATCCAGAAATACCCCATTTCACCCTACTCCAGTACGAAATAGTCTCCTTCACTACGACCAACCCCACCACCCCCGTATTTTCCTCGAGAGGAAGCTCTACAGCCACAACCACTCCCGCGCCGGTACCCCAGTCCCTTATCCAAGTGCACACCATCGAGGTGTTCACGTCGAGAATCATCTCCAGGTGATACACGTTAACCCCTGATTTAAAAAAAAAACCGTGGGACTGTTCATACAACTGTCAACAATATTCTCGGATATCAATGTTCAGAGTTTGAAATACCGAGTTGGAGCACTTGGAGATGCAGGGGTCCAGCATAGAATTTGGACGGATTGGCTGAAGAGGTTAGTGATAACAATCGAGATCGAAGAGGTGGAAAAATCAGTGGACAGGTCAAATCTTAATATCTACCATTGCAATCACCTACCAATCACCCACTGCTATTACATCAATATTTACCTAGACCCTGGATTTTAATGATACCTCCAGCAAAATTATTGTCCCTTATTTAAGGTGAATTCATTTACGGCAAGTCAATGTATGCGTTGATCATTGCATTTTTGCTATTTTTTCCATGCACTAAGGTTCATGGAAAAAATAATGTCATTAATTTGTTGTCAGTGAATTAACAGAGGGATCATTTTATTTCTCTCAGTGCACACCCAGTGGAATATCTCGGGGATACACATGTGCCGACAGTTCCAGCAATGGCGAGGCTTCACTCGTGCACTAGATCAATAACGTTACCCACTAAGAATTCCACGACGCTAACGCCGTTTTCCTATTATCGCGTGTTTTTTTTTTCCTCCCTTCACCACTGGAGATTTACTTTTATTTTCAGGTCAATCCATTGATGATTATCACGGGGGGTGACAAGGGGGAGGAACTGGCGGGGACCCTGAGAGGGTTCTCTGATTCGTCTGATTATTTCATCCCTAGGTCGTTACGGGCGGAAGTGCCGACGGTGTAGGTTACACTGTCCACTCACTTTCGTAAAAAGCCTTTTTCTTCTTCTTCGGGTTCAATCCCCTCGGGGTTTTCTCGTTATATTAATTCAATGGGCTGATTAATTGCGGGCAAAATTCACGGGTGGGGGGGGAGAAGGCTTGGCTGGTTCAGGGGAGGCTTGAATTATCAGAAGCTAATTGAAGGAGCTAATTTGGGGAAAATTGCCCGGTGTCACGATATGATTTTTTACAGGGGTAATCAATGATATTTACAGTCAACCCTTCGCACTGGTGGACTCTCTCCCCTATCCCCTATCCCTATCCCCGGAGATACCACTTTTTTCATGAATTTTTAACGCGAATTTTCACAATTGCTTGATTTATATCACCGGTTAATTTCATGGAAATGAAATTCATTCTTTGGTCTGGTAGTAAACGATTTTCAATTGGACCTCTCTTTTTTTTCATTATAATTACGTGTAATTAAATTTTTCTCTACTTTCTCTTAACTGAATTCAAAATGGCAATTGATTTTACGGGGAAAATTCTCATATGGGTTTGAATATTTTTTTCTCATTGAAACTGGATGAAGTTGTTAAATGAAATGAAATTAAGAAATAAAAAAAATTCAAAACAGAAAATACTGTTTTTTTTTTGGGGTTTCAAGTTATTTTTATTTTCATGCTAGACCGTCTGTGTGGGACGCTTATATATTTATGGATAAAATGTAAACTCAAAGGCGGAATATTTTATATTTATCCATATACTTCGAATACATCTCCAGGTATGAATAACACTTGGATTTTTTTTTTTACGTGGGACACTCGGTGGAGGATGAAAGAATTGAGAGATGTTTTCATTCAATTTGTCTGGGAAAAAGGGCGGAGGATGGAGTCGAAGGTTTGAAGGGTCTTGAATGATTGGGAGGGTGGTTGACTTGGGGATGTCAAAGGGCTTTTCATTCTTTACGTCTTTGTGACGCAGGTAACTTCATTCGATCGTCAGGGGGACGGTCTTCCGGGGTTAATGAGAGATTAGACTAGGTCGGGATGCGTCTCGGTGATAAACTTCTGGGATTTTGGGGGATTCACGGTAATCAATAGGAAGAACTTTAGATTGAGATGTGGTAATTCGATTTATCGGATGAGAGATTGAGAGAAACAAATTTTGTTTGAGTCGTTAGAAAAATATGGAGAAAAAGGATGGATTCACTAATTGAAAATTATCAAATAATTTATTTATGATTATTGAGAAATTTTCTACTTCCGTTAACCGAGGAATGATGAATCATCAGGAATTTTTATGATATCATTATTTTGATTGATTTAATGTTATTTAAGTAGGTAAATATTTAATAAATCTGAAAAATTGGATTGTTAGCATTTCACCTCCAAATCCAAGATATTATTTCAGTCATCGTTCTCGAAAAAAAAGTTATCGTCCATTGTCAAGTCCAGATAGATAAATTGAATTTCCTTTCATGCCATCCGTAAAACATGAAGCCAGGATAGAAAATAAAATGTCGTTATTTCTCGCGTTGGTGGTGTCCATAAATAAACAGAATTTCCTCGATAAGAGAAACTCGAAATGCTCCAGTGAAAATGATCCATCGGTGCCACGCAATTGCTTGATATCATTTGGTAAATAGCATCGATAAAAAGCATCGATAAATAATAATCAACCGGTGTTCATTAGCTCAATGAATGAGTCTTTAATTGTGCATCTGTTGATTGTGCAGGGACAAACCGCAGAGGCCATTTGAAACTTTTCTCTTTCGATTTATCCCCTTCTAATGAATCATGCCCTATTAAACACAAAGAAACTGCTGTTATCTAGTATCAGCATTCATTAGCATTTCTGGGTTAAGCATTAACTTGCTCCCGTACATGTCGACGGGTGTACGCATGTCATTGTCCCGCGTGTATTTCCTGGCATTGCAGAGGAAAATAATTGTTACACGAACGTGCACTTTTTTTATACTATTTTAATAAATTGTCCGCGCGATTTGACAGCTCCCGGAGAAGTTACCACGAGAGTTAAAAGCAGGAATTAACGGTCTCTTGTTGAATATTACGTGTTTCATTTGAATTGATAAATAAAACATGGAAAATAAAATTGGATAAGAAAATTTTTAATTGATTGAATTCAACGATTTATCTGAAAATTTACAGATGAAATCAATAGATTCGCGATCAATTTTGGATTGAAAAAAATTACTGAAATTAGAGAAATTCATAAACGAGGCGTAAAGATGGTCTATGCTGATTTATGAGTCCTCATAAAGTTCAACTAATTGAATATGTATACCGAAAAAATTAACGACCGACTGGAATTCAGTCGTTATTTGTCCCCCAGCGTTTACTCTGAAGCAACAAAAAATATGTGGGTACTTGTTCCTAATCTCCGGTGTTGTAACCGCTATTTAACATTCATGTCATGAAATATAACATTTACTGAGGGCAGATGGGGGGAATAGTTTCAAAGTGTTTAACTTTCCGCTTAAAAATCCGAATCTTTCCATAAAAATATCGCATCATATCCCAGAATAATCGACTCTCCTTCATATTTCACCCCCAACAACCCCTAAATCGCCTCTAGGCTGACAGATCTCGATTGATGGCCGAGGGGAGCACTAGATTTCAGAATAATTCAAGTATATTTTCGTTTTTATGTACTTTAAACTCTTCAAAAAATCATAAAACTTCCAGAAAAAAAAACAGAAAAATTATTTCACGTTCATAAAACTTTGGGAGTCATTCAAACAATGATAAAATGGAAGAACAGTTTTTTTTTTGTCAATCCGATCAATAATTTGTCATTTCGAAAGGGGGGAACACCCTTGAGTATTTATTTCGCGTTGAAAAGAATAATCGGAAACGATGCAATATCTCGTCGAGATAAACCTCATGAATTAATACCGAAGTGAGGTGCGATAAATAAATGATAAGGAACCACATGGCTGGGGGGATCGATAAATTGCCAAATGGTGGAAATACAACAGCCAGGGGTGAATGAACTGCAGTCTAGGGCACCATCACAAGAAAACTCAACAATTTTCCTGATTAATTTTATCATCATCTTACGAACTCGAATTACTCGCGTCAATTTATTCATAATAATTATTGCTTTCTATATGAATTTTCCATAAAACCTCGATATCTCACTTTCTTTTGTTCCTAAACTTTTTTCTCTGGATGAAAAATGGATAATAATCCACTGAGTGCCCATTTTTTTTGTTTTATTATTCTAGTGTATGACTTTGAGGCATTTGTGGGCGATTCCCGATACTCCCTCGTTCGGAATAATATCCACTCGTTAAAATTTTTATTTCCAACTTCTTTTCCTTTTGTTACATCCCCCGGAATATCCGAAACGTGCAAAATCCGAGGATGAGAAGGTCCGATGGGATTTGCCGGGTAATGAATATTGATTCTCCAAATTTAGACGAGAATCTTGTACCAGACGCCGCTGGTTGAATATAACTCGAGTGTCAATATCGATTCGACTCGTTAAAGAAAACGTAAAATCCAAATCCAGTAAGTTTTATCCCAAGGAGTCACGTTTTATGCATTCAATACTATCCGATCCCCTCGTTCTTCATTACGACCTCCTCGGAATAACGATAAACGAGAGAAAAGGTGAAATAAAAACGAATGGAAAATGTGAAAAAGTAGAAAACAGGGAGAGAAAAAAAAAATTGCACCGAGTCAATACTCGAGACGGAAAATTAACCGATGGCGTGGATTTTTTTTTTCTGATTCATTCCAGCCAATCGTAATTTCCAGGGAGAAAAAAAATAGAAGGGGGTAATGACATAAAGGGCAGATGAGGTCGAAAGGTACAGGCCTAGAAAATTGGATGGCGTCTGAGTCGTCATATTCGCCTCATCATCCCAACCTCTGGGAGATCCTGATAAATCCTCATGATATCCAAAGCAAAATCTAAAAACACCAACTCCACCAAAATGACGTGAATCCTAGCGAAAGGATATTTTTTCACTGGGAAATAATTTATGAGTCTCGTGTGACCCAAATGTACGAATCAATACAACAGAAAATCAGGATTGAAAAACAATCCTCGATGGGAGCATTATGAAGTGGTACGAGGGCATATCGATTTCGACGATTTAAATCTACGGTGCAAGAGATTTTTAAATAATCAGGATTAATCATTGTCTGTTGGGAAAACTCGACAGCGAATCCAATTACGATCACGAATTGTCAATCTGACAATTCGGTAAAGTAATTGTCCCGATTTTTAAAATTTTCCACATTTTCCTCAATATTGCGATTCCATACCAAAATACGGATGAAATAAAATCTTGTAAAAAATATTATAATATTATAATATTTGAATAATTTTGTAGGAGAGGAATGGACTCTCCTACAGAATTTTTTACGATTTAAATTAAATAAAATTTCATAGTCTCATATCACGTAAATGTGAGATGCCAAAAATATGTTCCAGTCATGCTGGGTCAGTGGATCGAAGTGACAGTGGCGTGTCAAAGTGTCCTCGTTATTAATACGAATAACCCCAGTCACACGAAATAATAATAAGAATAACAATAAAAAGAATAAATCAACATGACAGGATATGATTGCAGGGAAGGAAACGTCGACGTGGTAAAACGGAAAAGGCTTTAGTCGCGGTTGTGCCGTTGGAGACGGCAGTAACGGCAGTGAAATCATTGAGGTCAGGGTGTTACATTCGGTACAATGATTGACCCGAGCTCCTCGGAGGAGGAGAGCGATGAGGATCAGAGCACTCATCGCGGGGGTGGAGGCGGGGGTCGTGCCCCAAGTGGTCACGTCTCTCGTCATCATCCCGGCGGTGGTGGCAGTGGTCCCGGTTCAAGTGTTGGCAGCGGTCCTGGTGGTTTGACAGCATCGCCTGGTGGTCACAGTCAAACAAGCAGCATCGGTTCACCAAGTTTACACGGTGGAAGTTTGCATGGGCCACATGGACGGAGTATTTCCAGCAGTCAGGGCATTCATGGATCAGCTGGTGATGCTGGCTCAGCTGGACTTGATGTGCCAAATTTATCGAGCGCTAGAAATTCATTGTCACCATCGATGGCTGCTAGCCAGGACGCTGCCAATTATGCAAAGTCGGCGCAAAGGCCCACAAGCCCTTCGCCGTCGATTGCTAGTGAAAAAACTGAGGCCGAAATACAAGTGAGAACTACACACGCCGATTAATTATCCCATAGCTCTCATTAAAATCAATTTGAAATAATTAAATGAAATTCAATTCCAAAATTTCAATTAATTCTCATTCAGAATTTTCAACAGATGAATTAATTTCACTTGTTAATTTCGGAATAATTTTCTTTTTCATTCACGAAATATTTTTCTCAGTTCATCAAATTGTTCATTTATCTAAAAAATTTTAAGGGGCGAATTTTTTTTTTATCCTTGTGGATACTGACACATCTTCGTTATTGAGTTATCAGTTAATTGGATTTACTCGTGTCAATGTTGTTGGAGTAGTTTGCAATGGAAGTTGCTTGATGCTGAAGATGTATCGATGATGCAATACTGCGTGAATCCACTCGGGTAGAAATTAATTTGTCCCAGGCTGGGGAAAGCTGGTTATTGGTGGAGGGATTAAATGTCACGATATTCATTTTATCGAAGGACAAGCAAGAGAGAGAAGAGGAGGAGCGTAAAACTCGAATTCAGCTTTACGTCTTCATATCGAGATGTATCGCATATCCCTTCAACGCCAAACAACCAACCGACATGACCCGAAGACAGATGAAGATAACAAAACAACAGCTGGAGACACTGTGCTCAAGATTTCAGGTAAAATATTACCCTTTCGAGAGAATTTATTAATTTTTCATGATAACGAGGCTCGAGGGTTTCGCAATAATGTTGCATTTAACGACTGAGGGGAAACCTCTCAGTGGATTTTATTTCTTGAGAGAAGCCTCGAAGGGGTAATTTCTCAAAGCTATATGTCTCTTTAGAAACGTGACCTCGACTATCGTAACCAAATCGATCTCATTCTGTCCTGGCGAATAGATGCACACACCCACTGATCTTTGAATCTGTCTGAAAGATGCCTGGGGCACAAGATGAGATGGAATTGGAAGTGGTAGTCCATTTGACAGATCGAATTCAAAATTTTTTTTAAATTTCTCCCTACACCCTTCCTTGCAGGCGTTCCTCAAGGGCGAGACACAGATAATGGCCGACGAGGCATTTCACAATGCGATACAGAATTATTTCGATGTTTTTTTGAAATCGGAGAGAGTCGTGAGAATGGTGCAGAGTGGTGCTTGTTCCCAGTACGACTTCCGCGAGGTGTTCAGGAACAACGTTGAGAAGCGTGTTCGCAGCCTCCCGGAAATCGATGGAGTGAGCAAAGAGACTGTACTTAAATCATGGCTGGCAAAATTCGATTGTATATTCAAAGGTACCGGTGACGAGGACAGCAAGAGGCCATCAAAGATGCAACAGCAATCGTTGAATTCCGAGTGTATATTGTCGAAGGAGCAGCTATACGATATGTTTCAGCAGATACTTGGCATTAAAAAATTTGAGCACCAGCTTCTGTTCAACGCCCTCCTGTTGGACTCAGCCGATGAGCAGGCTGCCGCCATCAGGAGGGAGCTGGACGGTCGCGTACAGAGAGTTAATGAGATGGAGAAGGTGAATGACATGTGCATCATTAAATATCATAAACAACAACAATTTCATCACTGATGAACCATTTATCTCCCCAGAATCGCAAGCTCATGCCAAAATTTCTCCACAAGGAGATGGAGTCGCTCTACATCGAGGAGCTCAAGTCGTCTATCAACCTATTGATGACCAATCTGGAGTCATTACCTGTCTCCAAGGGTTCGATAGACAGCAAATACGGGTTGCAGAAGCTGAAGCGCCGTAGTGACCGCTCCCGCTACCGCACCCAGAGCTCCCTCGCTAAATTGGAGGGCGACTCCGCTGATTCCGATCCACAGTTGACAAAGATGGATGTTGGATTGACATTTCAACTTGAAGTTATTGTGATGGAGGTGAAGGGCCTCAAGAGTCTACCCCCAAATCGAATCGTATACTGCACAATGGAGGTTGAAGGTGGTGAGAAACTTCAGACAGATCAGGCAGAGGCATCTAAACCCATGTAAGTAAATTCCTTGAGATGATTAATTTTTGTGGTAATTTCACGGATGAGGAGATTAATTGATGATCTGATGTGACTTTGGTTTGTGGCACTTGTGGAGTCCAGGTGGGATACTCAGGGTGATTTTTCAACAATGCATCCATTACCAGTGGTGAAGGTACGATTGTACATGGAGAATCAAGCAATGCTTGCACTCGAGGACAAAGAAATTGGTAAAGTTATCATAAGACCAACGCCATTATCCTGCAAAGTTCCAGAGTGGCATCGTATGACCGTCCCAAAAAATAATCCAGATCAGGATCTACGTATTAAGATAGCATGTCGAATGGACAAACCCCTCAACATGAAGCACTGCGGTTATTTATACGCTATTGGTAAATCAGTATGGAAAAAATGGAAGAAACGGTACTTCGTGCTGGTTCAGGTCTCGCAGTACACATTTGCGATGTGCTCGTACAAAGAGAAAAAAAGTGAGCCGTCGGAAATGATGCAGCTGGATGGCTTTACAGTGGACTATATCGAAGCCGTTTCTGCGAGTCTAATGGTTGGTACTGATTTGGAGGGGGGAAGATACTTTTTTAATGCCGTTAGAGAAGGTGATAACATTGTATACGCATCTGACGATGAGAATGAGTGTCATTTGTGGGTTATGGCGATGTACAGAGCAACGGGACAATCCCACAAACCAACGCCACCGGTATCGGTTGCTGATAAAAATTCGACAATTAGTAAGATTCAAGGTGATGCTGACAGAGCAAGAAAGCACGGTATGGAGGACTTCATAAGTGCTGATCCCTGCAAATTTGATCATGCTGGTATATTCAAGTTTCTGCAGAACTTGACCCTGGATTACAGACTCAATGATCCTTACTGCTCGTTGGGATGGTTCTCACCAGGTCAAGTGTTTGTTCTTGATGAATACTGCGCCAGGTGTGATGAATTTTTTATTCTCTCGTCATGATTAATTCTCTCGTGATGATCACTTTTATTTAATTGCTCGTTTATTTTTATCCTCTGGGTAGATATGGTGTTCGTGGATGCTTCCGTCATCTTTGCTATCTCAGTGATCTCCTTGATCGCGCTGAGCGTGGAGTTATGATCGATCCAACATTGATTCATTACAGTTTTGCATTCTGTGCCTCTCACGTTCACGGCACACGGCCAGATGGTGTTGGTTCAATCACCCACGAGGAGAGGGACAAATTTCAAGAGATCAAAGAACGATTGCGTCAACTCTTAGAAAAACAAATAACAAATTTCAGGTAGAATTGATGAAATAATGATTCTTAACGTGTTTAATGGTTTTTCGTTGGGTGAACAGGTATAGTTTTCCATTTGGACGTCCTGAGGGTGCATTGAAAGCAACACTGTCACTGTTAGAACGTGTCCTGATGAAGGACATTGTTACACCAGTGCCAATTGAGGACGTTCGTAGCATGATAAAGTCATGTTTGGAGACCGCAGCACTTGTCAATTACGACAGGCTGTCTGCGGCCGCCAAAATAGAGGATGATTATAATGGTGAGGTCTGTGTACCACCTGGAAAAAAATTGGATGATCTCATACGTCTCGCTGAACTGTGCGTCGATTTGTTGCAGCAAAATGAAGAGCATTATTCGGAGGTATTAGTTAGGTTTTTAGAACTGAGTGTTCATTGTTCCAGGGTTTTCGAGGTAGAGGACCAGATAGCATGCCGAATTAATTACGAACTTTGGTAAGGGTTCGTTGTCCTCCTCAGAAGACAATTAAAGCGCCATTCGCTTCAATCATCGCATTTGGTGTATATATATAGATTTTTTTTTTTGTAATATTGTCGTCATTGTTACGTCTTGATAACAATATCATTTGGATCACTGCTGTTTATCTCGAAATCATGAGAGCATTAGATGAATCTAGAATTAGATTGTTAGGTGAGCATAATGCCTGATAGTGTCTTCTGGGTCCTCGAGGGCTCTGTGTCCGTGAATGGCGTACCCACCATTCCGGCGTAACATTAAATTGCCCACCGTATATGTGTGTCGTCCAATATTTTCACGTTTCGCTCCTACTACACCGCACCGCAGGCGTTCGCCTGGTTTAGCGACCTCCTGGTGGAGCACGCCGAAATCTTCTGGTCGCTATTTGCCGTTGACATGGACAAAGTACTGTCGGAACAGCCGCCGGACACGTGGGACAGTTTTCCACTGTTTCAAATTCTCAATGATTACCTCAGGATGGACGGTGAGTACTTCAGAGTGAATCGCAAATGTAATTCCTCTTCATGATATCAGTAATTTTGTATATTTCTTCATCTTCATCATCTCGGTTTCCTCGATTCCATTGAAATAATTGTTAATCCAATTTTAGACAATCTGAAGAATGGTAGATTCCATCAGCATCTCAGGGATTTATTTTCACCACTGGTAAATCGTTATGTCGAGTTAATGGAAACATCAATAGCACAATCGATTCACAAGGGCTTTGAGAAGGAGCGATGGGAGATAAAGGGCAATGGTTGTGCTACATCGGAGGATCTATTTTGGAAGCTCGATGCTCTACAAGCCTTCATTGGTGGACTACATTGGCCAGATCAGGAATTTCGAACGCAATTGGAGCAGCGTCTCAAGCAGATGGCATCGGAAATGATTGAACAATGCATAACGAAGACAGATGGGGCTTATCAAAGTTGGCTAAAAAAGGGAGTCACTTTTATATCGACTGATTACATTTTACCCTCGGAAATGTGCGCTATGGTGAACGTTATCTTGGACGCCAAGAATCAGAGTTTTAAGCTTTGCACGGTTGATGGAGTCGATGTGGTGAGTTCGATTGTTTGGACAATTTTAAAATAGGGATTTTTCGGAGGGGTAATGTAGATTTTTCATATCTTCTTGTACGAATCATGTTAGTAGTCGTATTAGACATCAATATCATTAGTTTCTGTCAAGCTTTGGTGATTTAACGTGTAACATTTTGAGATGTCATCTGGATTAATCCCTTTTTTTTTATACACGACACAATTCTTGGTTGTGTTTCAATTGTATTATTTTAGCATCAGTATCACTCCAAGATCGACGATATGATTGACAAGGCACTGGCTGGTATGACTCAAGGGATGATAAATAAACTCGTTTCGGTCCTCGAGGCAACTCTCTCCAAATTATCGCGTTACGACGAGGGCTCGTTCATCGGTTCAATCCTCAGTTTCACGGTGAGAAAATATTCGATTCAATTTTTAAAAAACCCTCTCTTCAATGGAATTTAGGGAGAAAAAATGCCGTGAATTTTTTTTCACTAAAAAATCGATGGATGCTTTTTACAGAAGGTCTCGGGCAGTGGCAAGGAGATGGGTCAGGCGTACGTCAACTTTTCGAGAAACTGCATGGACCAGATTCGCAGTAAAGTAATCGACGAGTTGTGGATACTCAACTTCTCCGAGGTAAAAATTCGATGAATCGATTATAAATGATAACAGTTGTATCGGACGTATTGAATTTGATTTTCAGCAATGGTACACGGCACAGATTCAACTGCTCTGCAGCTGGTTATCAGACAGGCTCGATCACAATCTTCACTTGTACCAGTGTACATGTTTAGCCCACATTGTTAAGAAAGTGTATTCAGACTTTGAGCTGCAGGGTGTTATGGAGGACAAACTAAACTCGAAGACATATCAGACGGTATCGCAGAGAATGCAGGCGGAGGAAGCAACTTGTGCCTTAACCATGAGCTCTCAGAATGACGAGTAAGTTATCAATGTATATAATGATAATTGACAAGTAACTCAGTTATTTATCGTTTGTTATTATTGTCACCAACAAAAGAGGTCTTTCGGAGAATGGAAATGACGACGAAGTTGAGAGACCAAAAACTAAGGTAACGATCGTCGAGTCGAGTGGCGAGGATGCTAATTCTCTTACTAATCTCACCAACATAACGTCAAACGTTGCTGGAAAAGTTGGAAGTATGTTTGGAAAAGGAATCGGTGGACTTTCAACCAAGTTCGGTGGCGCCAGTTGGTTTTAAAACTTTTTATTTGAATATCCGATTACCTCACCCAGTGGTAAACAACCGAATGGATGAGATATTCACGAGTTAAAAATATAATCGAAGTGGAATAACAACCAAAAAACGAATGATAATTTGAAATCCGCCTAAGATGTACCTTTCGTGCACTTGTTTTCATAATTCAAGGAAATTTACATCATTAAACAAACTCCCGGTTTTAATGTAAAACTCAGGGCATAGGGAAGTTGCGAGGGATTGCGTTGAAAAAATCACTTTGAAAGTAAAATAGATGGGAAAGAATAAAAAATAACTGTGCAACTATTTTGATTGAAACTAATGAGGAAAGTTTTAGGTTGGTGGCTGGGGTGAAGATCTGAGACTTGTTGTGCAAATGAGGAGCGTAAAAATAGAGTTAAAGGGGGTTGGGATAAAAACATCGAAAGTTCGTCGTGACAACTTTGGAAGGGTGCAATTACTGACGAATATGGAACTGAAGATTAGCACTGGAATACATTTGAATGCAAAATATGTATAGGCATGTGCATAACAGTATCTGTTACACTGTGAATGTGGGCATGTCTTTTTCACGCATTGAGACACTAAACGTCTGTCGAGTCAGGCAAATTAATGATAATAAAGGATTAATGGAAAAATAATGAGAAAGCGCCATTAATGTTAGTGTGATTGTGGCGACATAACTAAATTTCCTATCTAGCATGTGTAAACGCATTATTCAAGTGGTTTAGAAAACAAAGAAAAAGTATATATATTGATAAAAAATAGCGTCGAAAGATTATGCTGGATTGCAAGAAGATGGTTCAATTTGTTTTTTTTTCTCGATAAAATGTGTTTCGACATCATCAATACGAATAAAAAAATGTTGAAACGTGTAGTAGCGTAAGAGGCTTCTAAAGAACAAATTCGTTTGTAAATAAAGGGATAAAAGATAACAAAAAAAATTAGCGGGAACGTCAACAAAATAACTATCGAGAGTGAGAGAATACTTTTTATATAATAATTATAAAGCGCGTATATCGAGTTTGTGGCTGAGAAATGTAAAACAAAGTGTGACAGAGTTTGCTTCGTCATAGCTTTTAATTTTAGGTGAAAAAGTAATGTATTAAACGAATACCAAAGATAAATCCGAGGGATTTGAAAGATGTTCAAGAAAACCATGAGATAAAGAACACAAATACAGAAATAAAAAAAGTAAAGGGAAATGTGCACCACAAAGTTTATAAATGATTCGTGATATTAAAATGAAAAAATTGTATCAATTTCGATTATTGAATTTTCTAGACGCCTGAATCTTTTCTCGAAATTATTATTTGTCTTGAGATGTTTGTTCACGAGTTATGTTCAATCATTGATTTTTTTTTGAATGATTTTGTTCGGGTACAGAGGGATCTCTGTTGTAATGTTGCACGATAAGGGGAATCACGTGGGCGAGAAAAAAAAAGTAATAAATAGACACGTACGTTGATGTTGTAGCTTCGGAGTGATAATCTGCGCGAGAAACGAGTATGATTTCGGCCTCACTTAATTTAGAAAAAGGAAGAAAAAATAACGAGACATAATCGGGGATTCTTTAGACTCATACAGAACTCCTAGACTGAATCACGATTCAAAACTGGCCTTTTGCAACGCACCGATAGGTTGCTTTTCAATTTACTTATCTTCAGAGTGAATATACCGTTTATCTGTTGACAAACAAATTAGTGAAAAACGAAAAATTGAAAGCCATAATTTAATTAGAGGAGATAATAAACCGGAAAAAAAACGATAAGCAAAAGCCCTTCTGACCAGAGTAATTGTCACTCAAGTATTAAAATTGAAATGGTTCCAGAAAGGGCTAGTGCAGATTCGCACTGACCCTTGAGAAAAAAAAAAACCAAGATAATAATTCTTAGATCATTACGATTATCATTTTCAATTAATCTTACTATCGGTAACAAAAAATCTTTCTCTTATAATCTTTACATAATAGATTAGACCTAGGACGGTTACGTAACGATCTCTTTCCGCTCTCCGACGATACTAGTTCCTGCACTTGAAACGAAGAAAAAAAAAATTGAACAAAAGTTCTAAAAACGTAACTGAAACTTCTATTTATTCTTATTCTGATTGTTGCGTTAATTGTGAAATTATAACTTGACTTTAAAACGAAAAATGAAGAAGAAAAACAAACCAAAAAAAATATATTTAAAAAGCGTGGAGACTTCTGACCTCCCAGGCAGTGTTCTAGCACATTCAACTTCTATTCAACTGTTGTTCTCTCGTTAATAAAAATTTGCGCGAAATACGCAAAAAAAAAAAACCAATTATGGAGAAAAATTGAAGATGTATGCAGCATTCCTGATATTTTACTTCCTCTCTTCGTGGCATGTTTTCTTTCTCACTTGACACAAAAAAAAAAGTTCTCATTCTCTCTGCTTGTTTTCTTACTGGAAATTCTCATATTCTCAACTACTCGATTTCACCGTATCATAACTATATTTTTCACTCGCACGAATTTAGTGGAATGCTTCATGAAACCTAACATATCATTAATGCATAAGAAAATGTCATAATCGGCCATTCCCGGAGACAAATAATTATTTGTCATGTCATAGCATAAATGTTGTATGGAAAAGAAGTTACCAACAAAATGCGCCGTCTGTTTATCGTAAAATAAAGACTGGAACGATGTTATACTTTTAATGGGAATCATTGTTATTACATACCCAATGTTGCTGGTGCATGCTGTTTTGCAGGGCTCGTTCTAATCCATATGAATATATCCAATAAAAAACACTCACCATTACACATCCCACTCACTTAATAATTGACCTGAAATTCCACAACACAATCACATCAATCACCAAATGATAAACGAAAATAAATAAAATTCCACTGATTGACATATCGATTGATCGATTCACCAACGAAAACTGCACCGAGAAAATAAAAACACTTTCCACAAATAAAGATTGGTAATGATGACTATTTTAATTTCACTTGTTTCACTCCACCATTTCACCACTTACAATTTTCCCTAGATAATTCCATTCCCTGCACTGGGAAAAAAAATTCTCTCGCCAAATATATTTCTTTGTGTTCAGTAAATATACTTGAGAGAAGAATTTTTTTTCACGGTGTAATACCCATTCACCCCCACTATGAATGTTGTTATACGCCAAAATTAATTTCACTGTAATTTACTAATTAATTAATTAATTGATTCATTTTATGTGATGTATCAAATTCACACGACAATGGAATGCAATTTTGCAGATCAGGGGGTTCAACCCAACCTTCTCCACCACTCTATTTTTATTTTTTATATTTTATTTTTTATCAATAGAGTAATTTATTTATTTCGTTTATTAAACTTCTGGTGAGCTCTGCCTATTCCTTGGATGTCACTGAGGCACTTGGTGAATTTATCTGTATGGAACATCCACGATATCGAAAAAATCGAGAATAATCTCCTTTGGCGTAACGACTTCACCTTCGACTCACGGAATAATGCCCGGAATAAATCCATTTTAAGGATTTCTTGGAGCTCTAATCACACTTTCGATCGGGGAATTCATCGAGAAAATCGATCGAGGGGTATTTGATTGGATTAAACACTTTTTTCCGGTAAAATTATGCGAAACGCGAAGCAAGATGCAACCGACACAACCGACGCGACCGATCACGACAACATCTCACTCGATTGTAATCTCGACGCCAGATGAAAATTTATTTATTTGCACAAATAATCGTAATTACCGGGATTTACACAGACAGCTATTTGTAATTAAGGCGGAATTGATTTTTGGAGACAAAAGATACTATTATTAAGATTTTATTACAAAGATATTATTTTTCTTCGTGCTGAAGATTTCTGAGTGTTTCCGGCGGCGCCGGCAAACGCGCGGGAACGTCGAGGGAACGACGCGGGAAGTTCTAACGCGCAATCTCGTGGAGAGATTTATCATTTTCATCTTTATGAGGAATTAATTAATTAATTATTCATGCTGCCGAGGAATTTCTATAATTCATTTTTATTTAAACGACTTATGGGTAAATATCAGTGGACATTTTCTAAATATAATTAACACAATTTGAAATTCCATAATTGTTTATTTTCTTTCGCTTCTGATACATCCGGAAAAAATTCAAATGACTAGACTAAATTTTTTTTTAAAGTCAATATTTCTCTTTTCCTCACTCATTATCAAAAAAAAAAATTGAAACCGTGACAGATTGAATAAATTCGAAGTTTGAACTGTCGCGACCTCGTGCGCCATCGCCGTGCACTGATAATTCCCGTGGAATGAAAAAGCCTACGTCAGGAGTGTCGTATCGTCGTCATCCTTGGCTCCATTATCCCAGAGCGCGTGCACCAGTTGTAGTCTTCATAAAAAAAAAAAAAAGTAGCAGGCCCCAGAGACGAAAATAAACAGGGGCCCCTCCAGGAGATAATAAATAATCGACAGGCAGTTGCAGATTTATTTCAAAACGTTCGAACACTCGTCGAACGATCATGCTCACGGTAACAATCACCAGAAATTTGAGAACCGAGAAATTAGAGTGAATAGAGCAATTGGGGCTTGTGTATAATTAACGTGTCAAGTGTCACAGTTGCCTGATTTCATTGTAATTTTCAGTCTGCAGTTAGAGGAATTGCCCGTCGCTCATTCTCCACCTCAAAATGGGCATCTGCACAGCAGGTAAATATGATGTATTATTGAAGCCTTAACCTTAACCAGTTGCTTATTTAATTGAAAATAAAAATCCGGGATTTGTGTCATGTGGTTCCTATGGACCAATCGAGAACTCCAAATTAATTTGCATGGATTCGTGGAAACAGGTGGATTACCTGGTGATTCAATGATACCCCGGTGTGATTAGCTAATGCCTGAAGGACAGGAAAGGTCATATGACTTGTCATACCACATGCCTGGCGATGCCGAAATTTTTTTATCGCTCGATAGATAATTGTTTACTCGTTTCCTGAGTAGATGACCGTTCGAGATGCCTTGAATTCAGCCCTGGATGAGGAGATGGAGCGCGATGAGAGGGTTTACCTCATGGGGGAGGAGGTCGCCATGTACGATGGGGCCTACAAGGTGTCCAGGGGACTCTGGAAAAAATACGGGGACACCAGGGTTATCGATACTCCTATTACCGAATCTGGATTTGGTGGAATTGCTGTTGGCTCTGCTATGGTGAGAGTATATTCTTCATGTATTGGGAGAGAACGCCTTTTTTACTTTTCGAAATGAATTTTTTTCCCGTGCAGGCGGGTCTCAGGCCAGTCTGCGAATTCATGACGTTCAATTTTGCGATGCAAGCGATCGACCAAATAATAAACTCCGCGGCAAAGACATTCTACATGTCAGCAGGCCGAGTGAATATACCAATAGTGTTTCGTGGTCCGAATGGAGCGGCTGCAGGTGTTGGGGCCCAACATTCACAGTGTTTCGGTGCTTGGTATGCCCACTGTCCTGGGCTCAAAGTAATTTCCCCTTACAACAGCGAGGACTGCAAGGGTCTTCTGAAAGCTGCCATTCGTGATCCTGATCCTGTTGTCTTTCTGGAGAACGAGCTGCTCTATGGCGTCCAGTATCCCATGTCCGATGAAGCTCTGTCGAAGGAGTTCGTCCTGCCCATTGGAAAAGCCAAGGTGGAACGTAATGGCAATCATGTGACACTTGTGGCGCACTCAAAAGCTGTCGAGCTGGCACTAGAGGCTGCCAAGGAACTCGCTGGCAAGGGAATCGAAGCGGAAGTTATCAATCTCAGATCTCTTAGGCCTCTCGATATTGAAACAATTATTAAATCAGTTGTAAAGACCCATCATCTCGTTACTGTGGAGCAGGGATGGCCCACGTGTGGTATTGGCGCTGAAATTGGGGCTAGAATCATGGAAAGTAAGTTCCAAAATGTCTGCCTTATATTAATTGTACTTTCATATATTGTCATAAAAATTATGAGGATAAATAATTCTGAATTTAATCAGAATTGAATTTCCACGTCTCCCATTGCAAGATTTCACTCTCAATTTCAGGTGACGCTTTTTATCATTTGGACGCTCCAGTGATCCGAGTAACTGGTGCGGATATTCCCATGCCCTACGCTAAATCGTTAGAAGCTCTAGCCCTACCTGAGCCCAAAGACGTTGTGCTGGCAGTGAATAAAATTCTAGGAGTATCCCAGTAGCGAATTATAGTGAATTAGGTGCTTTATTTAAAAGGAAAACGAAGGAAAGAAACAATAATTCTTTAAATATCACGCGATCCCCTGGATCGGTCATCATGAGCATAACTTTGTTGATTTTTTCTTTGTGAGAAAAAATTTACTGAAGACAAAATCATGTATTCGGGAACTCAGAATTTGTTTCCTGCAATTTATCATATTTTTTGAGAGGACACTGTTGCAATATTGCCTAATTCATTTGCAGGGAGAGGATTGGAAATTTTTCAGATAATTTTTTGTCAGATCTACTCCGGGGAGGGACTAGAGGGAAGGGAGTGGCGAGGATCATTGGGATGGTGTAATGATATGTAGTTATGTGGATATGTTATGAGTGTCACTGAAGATTGCATACTCTGCCACGTGTTATTATTGATTATTTATTACACAAAAAAAGAAGAGAAAGAACGAATTAACAATGAGAAATAAATTGTAATATATGATTCATCGACTCTCCTCGTTTGGGGTATTGTCAACAATTATTACGCCTGAACAGACGTTTATCAGTCGTCACGTGTGGTACATTCTCAAGAGACAGCTCGTTACTACTTTCATGTAACGCTCGAATGCATCTCGCAGGGTTCCTTCTCTGGAAATTCAATTGAAAAATTCAAAATTCCTCCCTAATATAATTAATAAATTTTAATTCGTCCGGTTGGGAGATGGTTCAGTCTCAATTTAGTACTCGACTGGTGAATTAACGATTTTTTAATGATTAAAATATTTTATTTTACCTCAATACGTCCAGATCGAGTGCACACTGGGTATATGCACTGAGAAAATTTCTCAAATCTGTGTGGGACCAGTTGACTTGCTTCCAGGGCTCAATGCATCTCTCCACTAACTCTAAAAATAGAAATCTGAGTTCCCGGGATCTGTGTAGGCTGCAGGCAATCCCCAGGAGGGCTCTCGAGTATGAACGAAAGTTGACATCCAACTCCTGGTATGATTTCTCGAGAAGAGTTGGTTTCAGTTTGATGCAAACGAGACTGCAATTGTATCTTGTAGTTATTCCAGTTTATTTGAGTTTTCACTTTCGTAAGAGAGGGAAATAACTCACTGCTTGTGATGCTTGTCGTTCTCCAGGAGAACTCGACACTCGGCCAATTCTATGAGGAATTCTCTGTCCAAATCCGTGTCGAAGTACTCGGAGCCTGTGTATCGATATGTCCATGAGGCCATCATTGCATTCGCGCAGTGGTAGAGATCAGGGAATGTCAGGAATTGCAGTTTTCTTTTACTCATCTCGAAACGCAGGCAAGCTATGAAAACGACTGCTGCGTAACGCCTGTTAATTGAATATTTCAATTGATTTTATTTAATTCTATCAATTAAAGAGTAAAACCACATAAATTCATGGATTTATCTCTCAGGTATATTTTTTTTTAGAAATTATTCCCCTTCAGAATTAGTTCTCGCTTAATTCTGCACTTACTTCGCTAAATCATCGGGCAATAAAAAATGTTGTTTTATGTTCGCGACTAGAGAGCCAGATACATCCTCAACAACTTTAAAAACTCTTTTCACATTGTCATATTGTCTCCTACAGCTTTTCAACGTAATCCCAGTCTTTTCAGCCACTTCGTCCATATCCTTTCTACTCTTCGACGTCAACTTCTTCCCCAGAAGTTCGCGAATCACAGAGTCATCAAAATCGTAGTACCTGTGATAAATAATATTCTCATCATGACTGAATTTCACCGACTCTGAGGAGGACGAATAAATAAATTGGAATAATTAAGTGATAATTCATATATTGTTATTACGAATAACTTGCATTTCTATCAACATCTGACTAGTTTGCGGTTCGATCTGAAAACTCAACTGCTCGCTTGCCAATTTCGGTGGTGATTGGAGTAATCTTTCGAGGAGGGAGTACGTTCGATAATGATCGAGTACATCGGAGGCCACCAGTTCAATTGGAGCATTTGTCTGGTGGCAAATGCCTCGTTGGTGCAGGATCCCAACTGCATCACTCGCTGATAAAAATAATATAATAATAAAAAATAAAAACATCGAATAATTCAAGGGGAAAGTGTTTATTAATGATTTATTTCGAAATCTGTAAATAAATTTGTAGCTGATAAAATTGCTGACATAAAACGTGTTTAGATTTTTTTCTGTAATGATAAAATAAATAAATAAAATGATAATGATGGTAAATGTGAAATTCGAGATTTTATTTCAATCACTTCCATACTGAAATTATGTCCTAGTCCTCATAAAAACTCACAAGTGTGACCATCCACCCAGAGCTGATAAACCTCAGGATCCACCAGAGTATAATTACTAATAAAAACATCTACTTCCGACAACATTCTCAATTTGCCGATGCCTCAACCGAAATAAATCCAATAAATTCGGTTTCTTCCAGTCCCATCACAGTATCTCACCACTTCTCCCCGTCCGATAACATTATTGAACACAAAAATAACACCGCGAATTGTTCAGCACACCTCGAAAATCGTTTTTCACTTCTCCAAATAAAAAAAATAATAATATCTCACTTCGAGTTGAATAGCCCTTCGAGGGGGATTTATTTTTATTATTTACAAACGTTCTTAATAATCCGTGAGCAATCAGCTGATGTAATTCACCTTTTTGTAATTCAACTGGAAACGCGGGACTGCGCCATCTTGCGCCGCCATGGCAGCTTACGAAAAAAAAGCGCGCAGCTTCAATTCTTAATCTTCTGCAATCCTTAATAAACAATACATTTTAATAACAAACGGTTCTGCGTTGTTATTAACGATGAACCTTTAACACCGTGGGGCGGTGTGATAATTCATTCAATTAAATTAAAATCTCCCTATCACTCTACATAAATAGAAAAGAAGTAAAATGATGTTTCTCAGAAGAGGGGGAATGATATTCAATCACCTTGACTTGTCATTCATGGATTTCGAGCTGATCTTTCGGCTCATCTCCACACACTGTCTCTGCATTTCGTCACATGCACACATTAACACACTCGTCAGTAATTGTTTATATCTGGCTTTACTTTTGGCCCGAATTTTTGGGATAAAAATAGAATGGGTGGCCATTGGTCTAGCATGGATCCATCCAAGGTGGACGTACCTGAGATTGATAAACTTTTGGAGAGGGATCCCTACCTCAAACCCCACGAAAATGAATTCCGAAAGAGGTACATAAATTTACTGTTTTAATTTTCCTTAAAAATATTCAATTATTGCATGTATTTTCTCCCAATTGATGGCTATTTTTTCTGTAGATACGCACTGTTCAAGGATTATATGGAGCAAATCGAAGCCGGTGATGGCAGCCTCGATAAATTCTCGAGGGCGTACGAATCATTTGGAATTATTGTCGATGAGAATAACGGGGTGACAGCTAGGGAATGGGCTCCAGGGGCTAAACAACTTTATTTGACAGGGGATTTCAGTAAGTCAATGCTCTAGAGTGTGAATACCCAGTATTTAAAAAAAAATTGAATGTGTAATTAATTCCTGAAATATTCCTGCAGATGGTTGGGACAGAAGGAAGAATCCCTACGCTAAACAAGAATTTGGGAAATGGGAGTTAAAACTCCCCCCGAATAGCGATGGTACCTGCCCCATTCCTCACCTGTCTGAGGTAAAAATTATCGTGGAGGATGGAGCTGGTCAATTTCTGGAGAGATTGAGTCCCTGGGCGACATACGTAACGGCTCCTGAAAATAAAAACGAGGGTACGAATTATAAACAACGTCTCTGGCACCCTGACCCTCAAAATCTCTACAAATGGAGGAATCCAAGGCCAAAAAAACCAAAGAGTCTTCGTATCTACGAGTGCCACGTGGGAATAGCCACGAGTGAACTACGGGTTGGGACTTATTTGGAGTTCGCCAGAGGAATAATCCCGAGGATCGTGAAACAGGGGTACAACGCCATCCAGCTGATGGCCATCATGGAGCACGCCTACTACGCCAGTTTTGGCTACCAGGTGACGTCGTTTTATGCAGCCTCCTCGAGGTATGGAACCCCAGAGGAGCTCAAGGAGTTGATCGATGTTGCTCATGAACACGGACTGTTCGTTCTTCTTGATATGGTTCACTCTCACGCCTGCAAAAATACTGTGGATGGCCTCAACATGTTCGACAGCACCGATGCCTGCTTTTTCCACTCTGGATCAAGGGGAGAACATCCCCTCTGGGACAGTAGACTATTCAATTACGGCAACTACGATGTCCTCAAGTTTCTCCTCTCCAACCTGCGGTGGTACGTCGAGGAATATCATTTTGATGGATTCAGGTGAATAATTTGGGGAACATCTGAGGATTATGGAGGCTTTTTTCATTGTCGAGATTATTCATTTAGATTTGATGGAGTAACTTCCATGCTGTACCACTCGCGAGGCCTGGGACAGGGGTTCAGTGGAAATTATGAGGAATATTTTGGGCTCAATGTTGATGTCGAGGGAATTGTTTATTTGATGATGGCTAATTATATGCTACATCGTTTGTACCCTGAGATGGTGACAATTGCTGAGGATGTTAGTGGCATGCCAGCCATGTGCAGGTAATTGATCCCCAATTTATGTTGATTTTTAATTATGAGTAATTGGTTTTTATTTTAACAGATAAATTTTATCTGTTTGTTGTAAATTTTTTATTTCGGCCTGAAGACCAGTAGATGAAGCTGGAATAGGCTTCGACTATCGTCTGGCCATGGCCATCCCTGACAAATGGATTAAACTCCTGAAAGAATTTCGTGACGATGATTGGAACATGGGAGATGTGGTCTGGACCCTGACTAATCGGAGATGGATGGAGAAGGCAGTGGCCTATGCTGAGTCACACGATCAGGCCCTGGTCGGTGATAAAACCATCGCTTTTTGGTTGATGGATAAAGAGATGTACACCCATATGAGTGTCGTAAGCGATCCCAGTCCCATAATATCACGAGGCATTGCTCTCCACAATTTGATTAGACTCGTTACACATGGACTCGGTGGCGAAGCTTATCTCAATTTTATCGGTAAGTTATTCGACCTCTTCTATGGATTTTCGATAACCTCAGGTTTATTGAGACTCAAAGTGCGATATTTTGCAAATTTTTTTACTCTGGTCTACGACTAAAATGAAGTCAATAAGATTTTCTGATATTTAATTTTTTTTTAATTTTTGAGTGAATACACGGTAAAGAAATTATATTGATGGAATTTAAATATTTATCCCAGGGAATGAGTTCGGGCATCCGGAATGGCTGGACTTTCCCAGAGCGGGGAATAATAGTAGCTACCACTACGCACGACGCCAGTGGAACCTAGTGGACGATGACCTCCTAAAATACAAATTCATGAACAATTTCGATCGCGCGATGAATCTATTAGAGGAGAAATACGGCTGGTTGGCTGCTGATCCAGGGTACGTCAGCTGGAAGCACGAGGGGGACAAGGTGATAGTCTTCGACAGAGCTGGACTCGTGTTCGTCTTCAACTTCCACCCAACCCAGTCATTCCCGGATTATGCAGTTGGTGTACCCAATGCTGGAACCTACAAAGTCGTACTGAATAGTGATGATAAAGAATTTGGGGGCGAGTGCAGGATTGATCCGGGTTGCAGGCACTTTTCAAAACCCGAGCCCTTCGCAGATCGGCCACATCGTATAATGGTGTACGTGCCCTGTCGCACTGCCATTGTCTACGCAATTGGTACGTTGTAAATTATTCCTAAGCATTAGATCATACGCAACTAATATCCACTCGTTAAATTCTCATTGTTTCAGAATCCTGAGGATAATCTCTCACTAGCAAAACTCAGACTTCCGATAGAAGATAAATACGAATTTTCAGAGTTTATTTTATACAAAAAATAAATATTGATTTAGGTAAATTCGCTGTCGTTGATATCATAATTTCTCATTTTATCGTCTAGTATCCACCACTTCCCTAGAAATCCCACGTCCACAATTCTCTCATTGAATTTCGTATATTGTGGTTTTAAGTAGTTGCACTGCACTTTGTACAGATCACACTGATCACTGTAATTGTCCAGCCATATGAAGGAAACAATCCCCAGGTTCAGTCTCCTCACGATGTTGCTGTTTAGGCATTCCTCCATGTGCAATACATGACTCATAGAAATTTGATTGCGAGTTGATTCACCAATGTACATCAGACGCATCGAGTTTCTCAGCAGTTCCTCTCGAAAGGTCAGTAAATCCGGATTTGTTCGAGATAAGTAATAGCAACTGGCTATACCTGAAGTAATTAAACGTCAAAAATACAAAAATCATCAATAAAGTGAAATACGAGATCAAATACCTGAGAAATAAACTCCTGCCTTGAGTGGACGAGTTCGGCATTCTTTCACGATGTCAACAGCCACATCTTTATAATCGAGGTAGAGATTTTTCCAATACAACTCTGAAAACACCATCACATCAAGAAATTACACATCAAGTTTATTCATGACTTCATTGTCCTCAATGAGATTTAATAGGCTGAGGCCAGTGACAGGGCCAGAATCCACGAGATGAATACGAAAGAGAATCAAATGAAAAATTAAATGGAACATAAACAGATAATTAAAAATAACAAGTGGGGAATCGCGCTTATTGATTTTTTTCTGAGTGGTAGGTGGATTTTTCTCGATTGACTATATACCAATTTTTCCAATCGTGAATTTTCGAGCTCATGGGTTATATACTGAATTGACATGCGAAAAAAATGATTAAACTTAAATTTGGTCGATTACAAAGCAAAAAAAAATCATAATAACTCACTCCAACGTTCTAAAATCGTAGTCTTCGTTTTTTCCGATGTTTCAGAAGATTTTACTGTCTCTGCAACTGCTGTACCGAAGAATCTCAATTTATTTCTTATCAGGAAGCTTGTACGTAACACCGACATTGCTCGAGACTGACAAACAATTATTCAAGAGTAAAAAAAAATGATCAAGAAGTTGCACTAGGGTATTCTCTCGGTTTAAATGTATTGGGCCAATGGCCAATTCATTGGTATAGTTTTTGGAGCCCAATTTTTTTTGGAGCACAATTTGAGATGTCGCCGCTGTTCCCACAGCTGTTTCTCTCTTTATGTAGTGAACACACACATAGAATCCCTGAACGTCAACGTGTTCACCGCCTCCTTTGTTGAGACATTCAACACCAAAAATAAGAGACAATTGAATATTATTGTTTTGCCCTTTTTTTAGTGGCTGGAGTCAATAATTATTCATCAGCCCGAGATTTTTTTGAGAATTCTAATTGGTATTTCGTTGTCACAAATGATATTGAATCTGGAGGGCACAACAAATCAACTGGTATTTATCCCCACACTTGGTCTGACATTATTAAAATTAATCCAATGATCTCCTCACCATCATTTTATACTGGTGATAAGAATTAGGAGACCATCAACAGGTTGTTGACGTTGGAACACTGAAATATGCTTAATTAGAGTTGATTTATTATTTTTTCATTATTGTATTGTTTATGGTTTGTTCCAGGTGGTATTGATGGTTCATACATGATGTTGAGGGGATTTTCGGTGGATTGAAGTAGCTCCTATTGCAGTGAACGTCAAGTTTTCTATCATTAATTTGGTTCTTTTGAATTTTAATCTTGAGGTGCGGAATGGAAGGCCAGCAGGTGTGTAATTATCACCTCCATACAACAAGACGTTTCAGTATTGTTAAATATTTTCTTTGATTTATTTAATTAATGGACAGGTGAGAGCAGTTTATGATTTTTCGGGAGATCCAGGAACCGCGGAGTTATCGATCACAGCTGGTGAAATTCTCACAGTGACTCGGGATAATGTTGGTGATGGCTGGTGCGAGGGCTACAATCAGCACAATAAATCTGGACTATTTCCAGCGGCTTATGTTCAAGCCATTGAGCCTTCAGCCCCAGCCTCCATGACTCAGAGCACAGGGGATTACTGGGACGACGACTGGGACGACGACTCCGAGGTCGGACAGACCCAAGCTTACGTACCCCCTGGAAACTACCTGCACAATCAAATATCTGGACAATCAAGTATCGATAGTAGTACGATGCAAAACGTTCATTCGGTCATTCCAGAGAGGAGCATGCCAAATGTACCAAAGAAAAATAACAAATTTTCAACGCTCATTAAATCCGGTGAGGACAGCTTTCTCCTCGGGAATAGGGTTGTTCCTGTTCCTGAGAGTGAGAAGGTCTTCGTGGAGGAAACTGAGGATGGCAGGTGTGAATGGGTGCCCACCGGGGAGAGATACAGTTGTGTCATAACTTCACCCAAAAAAGAATCGAAATTGAAGGGACTCAAGAGTTTTATTGTTTATCAACTCACGCCGACGTTTAATAATATTCAAGTGTCCCGGAGATACAAACACTTCGACTGGCTGCACGAGAGGCTAGAGGAGAAATTCTGTTTTATATCAATTCCTCCTCTCCCAGATAAACAGATATCGGGAAGATACGAGGAGCAATTTATTGAGCACCGACGAACGCAACTCCAGGAGTTCGTGGATTATGTGTGCCGGCACCCATTGTTGTCACGCAGTCGAGTCTGGGAGCATTTTATCACGTGTACAGATGAGAAGCGTTGGAAAGCTGGAAAACGAACGGCTGAGAAGGACGAACTCCTGGGGGTCAATTATTTTCACGCTGTCCAGTGCACGGACACTCCCCTGGACGCCATCAAAGTGGAAATTCAGATCGACGCCTTCTCGAGATTCATCAATGGGCTGGACCCGGTTGTCAAGAACTTTATGGCGATGGCTATGGACCAGGGGAAGAAGCATCAGGGATTGTACAAGAGGGAATTCCAAAAAATCGGCCAGTCTTTTGTGTCTCTGGGGCATGCCCTGGAGGGAGACGTCGGCAGACTCACGCAAGCTCTGAAATTAACGGGAGAGGCATACAACGATATTGGAAAATTATACGAAGATCAGCCCAAGTTCGACTGGGAACCACTTGCTGATAAATTTCATATATACAGGGGAATCATTGGGAGATTCTCTGATGTCATCGGTATCCACAAGGTAATTATTTAAAATATTATTGAATTATGCAGTTTCGGGAAGTTATTTATATTTTTGAAGTATAAAACATGTAACAATAATTTGATTTTCAAATTGATTTATTATTTCAGAGCGCAGTACAAAAGCGAAAAGACTGCGAGCGTTTAGTAACCGAGCATAAAATGGAATTGAACCAGCTGGGAGAGTTATCACGAAAAACTGATATCATAGCTCGAACTCTTTTGGCAGAGGAGTCACATTTCCAAACGGAACGAGAGGTGCACATTCAACAAGCGATGAGAAAGCACCTCGAGGAGCAGATAAATTTCTACAAAAATATAGTGTCTAAATTGCAAGACGCCCTGGCAGCCTACGACGCATGAAATTCATATGAAAAATTATTTTTGCTCTCCAATTAATAATCTCCAGTTTGGTGCATTTCAATGAGTATTATGGTACATTTACATACCATCGAAGATCACTGAGTATTGATAACTATCGATTTTTAAATTCTCTAACCCTGGACTTGTATATATCCAAATAACAATGTAACAATGATGATTATTATTGATAATAAAGAAAGATGTCTCAAACGCTGAGGAAAGAATTCCATTCAATTTCAGAAATATGTGTATTTTCCAGTAACATTATAATAATCACAAGCACTGTACATATTTTCTTTAATATTTCACCAGAATATATAGCCTCGACTCCACTCGCAAAAAAAAAACGAAAACGTACACATACATAAATGAATAATGACGTTTTTTTCCCTTGAATTACAGACCTAAATACATTACTCCATTCGATAAATCGTTTAAAATCTTGTATACCTATTAATCCATCTGAATTTCAACAATATGGCCAAGGGTCGGACGGACCACCGTGAAATGCACGTGTATTCATAATTCATCAGCTGAAAGCTGTACCTTATACCAAACGAAGCGAAGTTTAAAGATCTCAATTGATATATTCCCGAAAACAGGGTTCACAGTTAAAAATTAAACGAAAGATGATATCACTTCTAATTAATTAAGCATTGTTTGTCGAAATAATCGAACGATCAGATCTAGATCCAACAGGGATCAATTGTCATTCCCCGTTTCACCTTTAGTATTTTTTTTTCTTTCGATAAACGTTTTGATCGTTAACACGAAGAAGGAAACAATATTGACGCTGACTAAGATACAAAATTCTACGATCCAGAGGTGAAATAATAAAAATATACATCTGATCTATTTACATTCGGAATTATGTGCAGATCTCACGAAAAACAGGATAAAAGAGGATAATGAAAAGTCGATGTGTCATTAGATGAAAAATATATCAATCACATCGAGACCCATTGAATGTCTGAAAAAAGTCATTCCACAAATCTACCTGCATTATTCACCACCTAATGGTGCATCTCAGTCAGCTTTGATAAAAGTTTTTAAAATGCCATATACAATTATATAACGAACTATCTATAGTATAGTGCATTGTACATACAATTCCGTTAAAAATATCAGCTGAAATTATGTATAGAATTTTATATATATGTACAATATACATATACACGAATACATGTATTGAGAGAGTCACTCCGTTAGTATGGCTCAAAATGTTTACAATAATATATCATATACCTTGTAGCGATTTTTCACCGATATTTCCATTGTTAATTCAAATATTCATATTAACTTTGAAATGAGAAAATTTGATGAAAGTCTAAAATAGCCTTACGTATCATAAACTTCATTATTGTTCATATCTATTTCATTAATCATTAATTATCATCAAAAAATATCTTAATGTAACTGGTGAGCTGTCATCAAACGGTTCGAGACTCTCGCCTGTCCCCGCAAAAATATCTTCATCTGTCCTCTATACTTAGCGTCATTATTCTGTCTTAATATACCTACCCTTTTTCATTAACTAAAAAATCATAAAAACAGAAATAAACAATCTAAAACGATATGTCGTTGTATCATTCGTAAATCGGATCTAAAGGAATGTCGATGTGTTCGAAAAAGAAATAGAGAGATTCGAATATCAAAGGTAGAGAAGCAAATAATTAAAAATCAAACAAATAATTATTACAAACAAAGAATAAACCGAATTCAATCGTCAATACCTCGAGCACCGCAACGTGAAATGTATCAATTAAAAAAATATTTCTCATAGATCTGAAATTATCTGAATTTTCGAGATACAAATACTGGGATATGATTTTTCGTTTTATTTCCCTGAACTTTGCAATGGAAATAAAACAAAATACAGCGAAGAAGATTCAAAGAATCCAATAGAATCCCAATAAAATGTCGCGAGAGTCCCTGGATTGGTGCTAAATTTATCAACATAATAATGTGACACGTGAAATCCCACGGATATGAGATATCGAAGATTGAAGAAGATAAACTTCTTTTATTAAACCATTGAAAAAGCTTCTGAGATTCAAGATTTTTTGTGTCTATGCTGTTTTCTAACCGGATAACTGGTATTTCTCCCGAAGAGAGTGGTAATTGCCGTGCGTGTATTATGCCACGGAAGCTTAAAGCGTTTGTGACGAAAGTACAATTGTGAGCAAGAAGCATTAGGTAAAGTGGTTGGATTAATCGGTGGCTCAATAATTTGCTTCAGTTGTATGTATTTGGTGTTCCCGACGTCCGATGGCGATGATTCGGATTTATCTGGGCCTGATCCCCTCTGGATGCCGTTGGATTGCCTATGGAGGGGCCGGTCAGTCCTAAGGATCCCTGCTCCCGTTGCTGATGTTGTCCACTGTTGAGTGCCAGCCTCTGCATCTGACGTATGACGGTGGCCGCGTGATATGCTTGCTGCAACCATGAGACAACAGGGAGACTTTCCTGAGGAGCCTGGCGAGTAAATACAGATCATGAGATCATTGATAAATACAACTGTCTACTAACCTTCCACCTCGACTTGGCAAAGTTCTTTTTAAGTTGTTCCGATACAGTACCGTGGATATTCTTATTGCTCGCTGCATTTCCTGATATCCTAAAAACATTATCACACACGATGATAACATCAAGCATTGGGGATTACGTGTGGTAAAAGCCTGAGTTGTTAATGATCATGATTGGGTTATCATGGGGTCTACCTTGGCTCCAAAAATCATTTATCCAAGACCTTTTTGTTGAGAAAAAAATAAATATATATGGTCCAAAAATGAAAAGCCCAAAATGAATGAATCAAAATGTGAATTCAAATTTATTAATTCAATTGGTTAAGGACACGTAAGGAAATAGGACGAATGAACAGAATGACCAAATGACCAAATGACATTGGGCAAGTGAATTTTGGAGAAGTACAGATCCCGTTATGATCATGTCAATGCTAAAGACAATGAAACAAACCATGGATGTGCGAGAGCCTGCTTGCAAGTGTATCGCTCTTCGACATTAACGCACATGAGTTTGTGAATGAAATCCTTGGCTGAATCGCTTATATCGTCCCAGTATGGTGAATCGAATTCAAACTCACCTGTAACAGTCTGGTTAACTTTCACTGCCACTAAATCGGAGGGAATTAAAATCGATTGGGAATGAAAAATAATGTCGATAAATCATTGGTGAGTTGAGGTATCATTCGAAATTGTTCAACAATTTCCACACGAGTTACTTACAAGCCCTGGGGGGATTACTCAATGTATCGGGGGCTGTAACGAATTTGGTCAGGACATATCAGAGATATTTTCCTCGCGTACGTGACTCATCGATACCTCGAGGGACCGAGATATCTTTTGAGAGTCTGAGTGGATTTGGAGACAAACTGACAAATTGATATTTCAAGGTGAATTATGTGTGACGGGAGAGGGGATTACCTTTCAGAATTTGTGCAAACAGATTGGCATCACTCTCGTCGTAAAATGGTGGATATCCACACAACAGGATGTAGGATATGACTCCTATGCTCCAGACGTCGACGGCTTTACCGTAGGGTCGCTGTGCAAGGACCTCAGGAGCTGAATAATCATGGGAATTAAAACAATTCAGGACTTGCTATAATTTTAATTCTCAGACCTGGAGATTAAACTGGAACAAATCACTTACCGACATATCCAGGTGTTCCACAGGCTGTCGCCATAATCCCTGAGTCCTCCATTTTCGACAGACCAAAGTCACTAATCATTATTTTGCTATCCTCATCAGGACTGTAATAAAGAAGATTCTCAGGTTTTAAATCCCGATGTACAACCCCCTGCTCGTGCATATAGTCCACAGCCTCCAGCACTTGTCTTATCAAACCGGAAGCATCCTTCTCAGTGTACGACCCCTTCTCGACTATTCTATCGAACAACTCTCCACCCGTCACCCTTGAAACATCACAGAATATCATGAATATTCATAAACACCACTCGTTTCTCTCTCAAATCACTTACAGTTCCATTATGAGATAAACTTTATGCTTATCCTCGAAGGTCTCCAGGAGCTGTACGATATTGGGATGTTTCAACCTAAAACAATCATCAAATTTTAATCATCCAATAATACCACCACCTCTGCATTCCATTAAAAAAAATTCCTAAATGACAATGAACGTGTTTATTAGATCAATTTAATGGAGTCGATTTAGATGAATCGTCCAGTCTTTTTCCCATCCGCAATCTCATGCCCCAGCGCAAATCCATCACGTGTGAATTACACACGAATTTACAGATCTCAGAGAGGGGGAGCAGAATTATGAAAAGACCAGCTATCACCTGCTCAAGAGTAATTAAACTCCATACCGAAGTTATCACATTGAATTTGGCCCATTAATCCATATGAATTACCACTAAATACTCGATAAAAACATTCAGCTGTTTTGTGACAATAAAATAATGGAGAGAATTGTTTAAAGGAATAGATAAAAAGCAGCGGGTGTCGTGCATACATGCGGCGCTAGCAAGAAGGTTTTACAATTAAAATACGACAAATAATTGAGCAGCTTGCGACTAGGGATACAACAATTATTCAGCGCATTATAAGATTATTTCATTGATCCATTGTTATTAGTAGATTATGTTCTTTCAATTTATTGTTGATTGAATTGTTTTATTCATTTATTTGACGCCCATTGGAGCGATATCGATGCCTCCAGCAACAATATTACCGAGGGATGTGATTCGTGTAATTATTATGAAAGTAATAACGTCATTATTGTTAAAGTTATTATCAATGGTTGACGCGTTGTGGATGGAGAAGATAATGGAGACGTTTCATCGGGAAAAATAAGACTCGACCTTCAATGGTGGATTGAATATCACCGATCTGTCATAACTGGATGGTTACGAACCAGTGGAATTTCCATTTTCTCATTCAACATTTCATCACCGAATTTATAATATTAAAGTGGCAATAATGAAAAGTGTCACCATGAAGACAATGAATTCATCTAAAAAAATCAGTCAATCACAGCTGTGAGAAATAGCTCGTGAATAGTAACAGCGAGTGAAAATAAATAAAAATAAATGACCAATAAATCTCAATGCCATGACTCTCAGACCCAATGACTCATCGTGCTAGTTTCATTAATTTCGAGTAGAAAATGAGTGCAGAATTGTTCTCAGTATATCCTGAATGAGTGATTCAATGCTCAATTTTGATTGATATAAAAAAAAATATATATAAAAACAATGTACAAATCCACAAATAATACTGAAACAATATTCTCGTAATAGATAATTCTATTTAATATAAAAAAGGGTGGTATAGGTAGCCTGGTTCCCGTTAATGTGGGTCCACACTTACCATCCTCTTTCGCCACTACTATCCGACATCGGGCCTGCACCACTCTGTGGTGTTACTGTTTCACTGAACCTACGAATTACAATAAACACCATACACAATTACATCATTAAATCTAATGAATTATTAAAATTTTTTTCAATTTTCTAATTTCTTTCACATCCCCAAATGCCGTACGTCGATGATAAACCCTAATTGGATGAATTAAAGTGGAGAATTGACTGAGAATCATCGACAGATCAATGAATCGGATGAACAAGTCAATAGTATTGGTAATTGATGAATTACACGGGGGACATGTCGATGGGAGAGTCTGATAGATGACTTGTGCTTTGTGTTTTATGTTCTCTGTTCTCTCTGTTCTCTCTGTTCTCTCTGTTCTCTTCTCGCAATGGTAATATCTACATTAGACAAGGTCCACAGTCCAGACCCAAATATCGGTATTAAATACTCATCGTATCCAGTGACCGCACCCTCGGAGTTATTAAACAAATAAAATATATCAGACGTATGATAACTCTGTAAGCGAAATGTGTTGTATACATACATATGAACATATACAACTCACATGTAAATGATATACATTTGAATTATAATATTCATGTGATACGCGAATGGCTTAGAGTGGAATATAAAGCGGCGCGCAATAAGATAGAAAGCATGCCAAATAACAAATACTCAAGTTCCAACAAGCGATTTTTTGGAACTAGTGCTAATTCAAGTTTTATCATCAATCAATGATTACGTATAATCAAGTAAAGGAAAATATTAAATAATATTAATAACATTGTCGCAATGGGCCACTTCTCTCAGACAGTTTCATCAAACAAGGTTTTAATGCGTCAGTTGTTTATTATATATTTTATTATAACTTCGCAAGTGAAGTTTCAGGAGATAGACAAATAAAAGGGGTGAAAGAAAAAATAGAATTTTGTGGTACAGTCGATCTGGCATTTGTCTCCTACCTTCGTAACACCCTGATTTCATTCTCCAATGAATCCTCCTTGCCTTTCAGTGCCTTCTTATCAATTATTTTCACCGCAAACATTTGCCCGGGTCTTTCCTTACTCTCCGCGAGTCTCACTTCCGAGAAAGCTCCACTGCAAGATAACATTCCTCATTTATTTATTTTTACCTCAATAACATTTGTTTTAATCTTGCGGACATTCGGTTTTTTGTTGTTACAACTGACACTCAGTGTTTGACAATTTATTTAAATTCTTGAATATTTTAATGTGGAGGCAATAGACGGATTATATATTTATGTTAAGGAATAATCTATTTTTATAAATACTACAGAGAGAAAAATATTATATTCCCAGATGATACGAGAGCCGTTTCTTTCTCAACAACAAGTTATGCAACGAATAATAATAAGTTGCTCGATGGCATTTGACACTAGCCCCAAGATTTCTATTACATTTCTCCGATAAAAATCTGTGTGACTTTATTTTTAATGGATAATTAAGACCCCCATTAGCGAATTGCTCGTAGCAATGTCAGGAGCAAACAGGTACGGTAAAAATATAAAATATATATGAGTCTTGGGGAGCTGTCAGTGTGGAGATCCACCAGCTGTCCCCACGATTTTCTCATGATGACGAAAACCGAGACATTATCCACGTGGACAACATAAAAATCCACCCCGAGAATTGATAAATATTTAATAATTTAATAAATAATAACTTACGTTCCCAGAAGTTCCTTAAGTACGTATTTATCGTCGACGGAGGCGGATTTATCGTCCTTGCCATCCTTCTTGAGCTTTTTATTGGACTCTTTTCTACTGAACAACGGCATCTCAGAATTTTCAGTGCTAACTGACGATTCGAATGACAATTCACCGTCTCAATGACGAAAACAATTAGAAAGTCAAAAATCACAGTTGAAATTCCCAAATAACCACAATTCCAGTATCGAAAATCCTCAATACCCTTCAACCATCCAACAATCACCAGAGTAGCCCGTAATCCTCAGCTCACACCACAAATCCTCTGAAATTTCACAATATTCCCATATTTGTTTTAAAAATGACCGTTTCACTGAAGTTTCACCATTTGCATAACGCCTTTAAATCTCAATCAGTCGTGTCCACCTTTTAATAAATTTTACGTAATATTGAAATAACCGAAAAAAGGGGGGAGAAAAAAAAATAAAGAATAGGAGGTGGCAATCGAGAGACAGCGATAGTCCCAATTTTCACACGAAGTTGCTAATAAAAATGAAAAAAAAATAACCGACTGTCTATCGAAGAGGAGCAACAGTATACTGGCCGTCAAAATTTCCACAGTCCACCAAAAACCGTCTCTCCAACACCACCACCAAAAAAAAAAACGACCCCTCACTAACACCACAGACACACCTAAAAAATTATTGCAAGCGGCAAAATACCCAGGAATTTGTCTGCAACTTGATTTCTAAAATTACAGCACACCGTCGAACAGTTATAATTACCCAATAATTCGCGCATACGACACACCTCGACCTCTCATTGCATATAATGAGCACTTGGTTCAGGTTGAAGTGATTATTTCCCCGGAGTGACTTATCCTGACTTATCCCGGAGACCCCAGTCGAAAAACATGAGTGACAATTGAGAAACCCTGCGGAAAAACCTCATGCAATAGTGATCAGGGGTGCTCAATGGCTGATTATCTATCAAGTACTTGTGTGTACTAGTTTTCCCGGTGCATAGCAAAACAAAACTGCGACTAAACTGCATCTATTGCCAACCCTGCCCAAATAATCGAGCACTTGGTAGCCTGCAGCTGTCCAAATGCCCAAACGCCTGCGCACTAACTATTTACCAACGCTAACGACCCATTGGTTGGCGATACAAACCAATACAAATTCTCATAACATGACACGTTTTCCTCGTTTTCCATGTACTTTTGGTACTTTCGCATGTGTGAGAGACTGTTGCGCCTTCTGGGCCTTCTGTCAAAAGATTAAGGTACAGTACAGTACTATCGGCGTGCGCATCACTCCATGTTCTCAGTAATAAGTGACACTTGTCATTACAGTTTACATGTAACCTTCTTAAAATCTCTGGAGGCTGATAGTCTGCTCGATCTACTCGATCTGCTCCAGCTGCTCCAGCTGCTCCAAACGCTCAATATCATTACCACATAATTCTCACAAAAAAAAATCACTCGTGTCGTTCTCAAGAATCAAGTCTGATAGCACTTTATTGGATTGTGCAGCATCGAGTGTCCAGTGATAGCAGTAATTCGTAGTTATTTGACATTATGCATGTTGATGACGAAATGCTCAGTGCAATGCTTGCTTCGTGAAGTTTGTGTCGTTGGGGGGATGAGGGATTGCTCGATAAATAACTCGTTTGCCATGTTAATGAGGCCTCGATGCTAATGAAGTAGACGAAGACATCGGCAAGTCCTTTGTTACATCTGTGCACATATTGGAGCACCAACGGATGACAGGATAAATTATAATTGATCAAGTTTTTGAGGGGAATTACATGATGCTCGGTGGGATAACCAGTGCAGTATCTCTTCGAAGATGTTTCTACCTCTCGGCACTTGTCTTCATCCTCTCGACTCTGATGGCTATGGCAATTATAATTAAATTATCACCTCTCGAGTCAGTTAAATGCCGACAACACACGGTTTTAACGACTCCAACGGTGGAATGGAGTAGCATAGCACCTGTTCCTCTGGGGAATGCCGGTGCCAGTGCTAAAAATCCACTCATCGAGGATAACAGAGAGAACAACCAGAAGGAGATTAATGACAAGAGGTACCTGGAGATGAGGGAGAAGAGTATACAGAATAGAATATCCAGGCTAGCCTGGAGGATGAAGAAGAAGAATATTCCCATGGGCAATCAGAATGCAACGAGTATCGAGATTAATTACAATGTTCATGTGTTTTATTACGCGTGGTATCGGTCATTGGAGTACGATGGGGCATGGAAGCACTGGAATCACGAGTATCTTCCGAATTGGAAGAAAAATGACAGGAGAACATTCCCAGAGGGAAGACACAGACCACCAGCGGATATTGGAGCTAGCTTTTATCCCAGTCTTGGGTGCTACAGCTCCAGAAATCCACAGGTGGATAATTGCAGAATTTTTTTTATTTCCCTTTTGCTACTGCTTCTTTACTTTCTTTTCCAATCCCTCAAAATCCTGAATTTTCATCTATTTGTTTATGCTTGTGTAACTTGTGTGAGTAGCAGATGGTGGAAAATACACACATGATTGAAAAATAGAGAGAAAAAATGAGAGAGATCAATACCTCTCGCTCGTTTTATTTTTTTACTGAATTGCCTTCGTATTCAAACTAAATCGATATATCGTAGGTAATTGATCTGCATATGCGACAATTGAGGGAGGCTGGAGTGGGTGTTCTGGTGGTATCTTGGACACCGCCAAACACACCGGATAATACAGATCCTGTCATGCCGGATTTGCTTGATGCAGCGCACAGATACAATTTGAAGATTGCACCCCACCTCGAGCCCTATCCTGACCGCAATCCAATTAATCTCATCGAAAATATACGATATTTGTTCTCGAAATACTCGTCGCATCCGGCGCTGCATCGAGCCAGGAGAACACGAGAGTAAGATTCCCTTCGTATTGTACACGTCGTAAATCTCCAACTGCAGTGTCAACATGAATAATATTACCCTCATTCACGAGCGAAGTGGTAAAGTGAGATAAGTGGAATTCAACGTTTTTATGAACGACGTGAGATCTATGGATTTGAGGTGGAGACATGGAGAGACTTTTTTCTCGAGTATTAAATGCCTGACAATAAAGATCTTTTCATATTTTCTTCTCAAGATAATAGATTCATCGAAAATTAAAAAAATTCCACTTGTCTCGATTTGGCACATGCCTTTTAAAATATTGCATTGTATTTCCGGCGGCTTTCATCATTTGGATTGAAAATTCCAGTGGACCAGCCCTTCCAGTAATCTATATTTACGACTCGTACGTGTTTCCACCGAGTGCGTGGTGGGAGCTCCTGTCAGAAAGGGGAAATCTCACCGTCCGGGGCACCGAAATCGACGCCGTCTACATGGGGCTCCTCGTCGACTCGAGTCACCGTAGTCACATTAAAAAATCACGTTTCGATGGCTTCTACACGTACTTCGCAGTCAATGGATTTAGCTATGGGAGTACCTGGAAGAACTGGAGGGATCTCAATAAATTTGCCATCCAAAATGGATTATTATTTGTACCGAGTATTGGGCCGGGCTACATAGACACTCAGGTAGGTCTCAAAAAAAAATAAAAACCCCTAAAAATCAATAATTTTTGGATCGATCAATAACACTCCGATCCTTGACGAGACATATTTACAATTTTTATCTCATGGCTATTTTTTTTTCCTTTCATTTTTTCGTAGTACATACCACATGAGCTGCACATAAGATGCAATATTGTTAATCGATTTTGCCCTCAGGTACGTGCCTGGAATGGCGAGAATACGAGGCACCGTAGACATGGTCAATACTACGACGTTGCGTGGAAAAGTGCGATAAAGAGTGGTGCAAATGTCGTATCAATAACTTCGTTCAATGAATGGCACGAAGGTACTCAGATAGAGCCAGCAAAACCAGTGAGCAACAAGGACTTCGTATACCTGGATTACGAGCCAGAGGGTTCTGATTTCTACCTGAACCTGACCAAGGGGTGGGTCCAACAATTCACCGACAGAAATCATCGACTATGAGCGTGAAAATTCATTGATAAATTATCCTCATGACTTATTAATTTATTCCGGAACTCTGAGTATCCCCAATTGTGTTTCTAATCCATAATTGCTCCGTACGTGTATCATTATGAATACTCGTAATTAATTTTCTTCTATTTATTTCGGTTTATTCTCAATTGAAACGATAAACAGAAATGACGCATTGATTCTGTGATACATATTGCTGTGTATTAATGGTGCATTCACGTAGAATAACGTCGGCACATGAACAATACAAACTGCATACAATTTATGCATCTTTTATTATGATTAATATAAAAAAAAACATTATATCGAAGGCTCTCTGATCAAAATAAATAATAATTACTCGCACAAATGAAAATGTAGTATGCAAAGGGCATGCGGACAATAAGCGGCGTTTCGAGTATATCCCTTACTTTACAGGGTAATTATTTCCTAATCCTTTACGGCAATTTAACCAATAAAATAAGGAACGAAATGACATAACTACGATGTACTTGAACGTATTGCATGTGTGAATCAGGCAAATAATTTTTAATGAGGGTGTATACAATTTATATATTATTATACATATAGACGATGAAAAAAAAAATGGTGGAAGAAATTTGGAAATAATTCACACTTGGAGAATTTTTGAAGGATAAACAAACCCACATATCAATGTATCCACGTGGACAAGTCCCCTAGTCGTAATAATAAAATCTATCGTTTAAAAAATATTTCATTTTTTAAATTATTCTCATTCACGAAGAAAGACAATACACTTTGAGTTCATAATATTTAGTATTTAAATATGCATCGTAGAGTAAAACTTTCAATAAAATTGTCATCTATCTTTCATTTATTCACGACGTTAACTTAATCTACTTAAACAATAAGTAAACATAGAACGAGATGTATGTACATGTAAAGTTGCATTTATCTTGGCAATATCGTTATTCTCGTGAAGAAATAAAATAATACGAGTCTGAATCAATCGACTTATCTTTCTTACATAATTACATTATCCCACTTATTCTCATGATTAAATTTCCCCCGCAGTCTCAATAAACCAATCTATTTATAGCTGTATATACACTCACATATACATCAGGTGTATCATCAATCACGTAAAAGTTATCTCCCCCAATTAAGCACATTCCATGGGTCCTCATCAAATCTCCTTCGTGAAAATGCAAAACAATCTCCTTCGAAAAATATAAAAACAAATATTTCGAGTGGATAAATGGGAGGGTGAAATTGAAAAATATTATATTAAGAGTATTGTGATGAGTAAATAACGTCAATTCATTTCTATTTAACCAGCATGAAGCCCTGAACAGTCACAACGAAAGTGTCAAAATTATCCCTAAACTTGAGTTTTGAAATTCGCTCTGTGTTCAATTGAACGTTCCTCGTGAGATTGTTGAATGCAACAGTCAGTCTCTGGGCGATCTCTGGGTCTCGTTGAGCGGCCAAAAAATTTTGTACAAGTGCGTGATATTGCTCCTGATAACAGCAGATCAGGAAATACAAGGGTATACTAGTAGTTGATACTAGATCGGAATCTATTTGGTTCGATAGAATGAGATTCATCAGCAGCTGAAAATATTTAAAAACCATGTAATGTAAAAAAATTGATTAAAAAATCAATCCCGATCTTTAAAAATAATTGAGTTAATACTCACATTCATAAACGGTGCCATCAGCTGATTCCTCGGTTGCCCTATATCCACCTCAGTATAAATATGTTTCGCCATTACTTGAATAATATCGCAGCACAATACTGTTATTTGATGGCCAAATGAGAATAGTCCAAGTTCGACTGAAGCCATTAATTGTTGAAGTAACTCAGAGGGAAGTTCACAAACTTTCTTTGGATATATCTCACAGACAAATGTTATCATTTTAAAATACTGGTGACAAAGTGATGGAAATTTAAGGAGTTCAATAGTCATCATGGGCATGACAATATTCAATCCAAAAAGAAAGACATCAGCAGGTTTTACAGGTTGTTGCTGCTGTTCCTGCCCAGGAGATGCCTCGCTCTGACTCAAATCAAGAATATCTTTGCTCAATAAATTTGTCAACAGCTGCATAAGCAGGAGAATATCCTGAAAGGTGTCCTCCTCTTTGGTGACATCGACAGTCAGTCGATTGGTATTGCACCTGGCATAAGTCTGAATGATCTGGAGACAGGCCTCGTAGACCCTGATGCTCTGAGGTTCAGGCAGATAACAGAGCATTCTTCTCGTACACTCGCAGAACAGCTCCAAAATCAACTGCACCATCTCCTGATAATTGTGATAGAGTCCGAGGGCATTGGCAAGCTCCGCCAGTACTGGAGATATATAATTAAAAACTGGCTTGACAGTAGAAGCCTGAACGCCCTGAGCAGCCCCAATGAATGATTCCAGGACATCAATGATCTGGACTCTCACCTCCTCTTGGTGATACGATCTCGAGAAATTATTATTCGACACAATCTGTTTGAACCTATCATGCAGTGGTTCGAGTGTCTGCCTCCAGTATCCTTCATTGCTCTCATTAGGCAGAGCAGCTCCAGCCTGAACAATTGCCCTCATCAATCCTCGTTTCGCAGTCTGCGGTAATTGGGTTTTAATTGCTAAATCAATGAGATTTCTAAACCTCTCGGATTTGAGCATGTAAGCAGCTTTTGATTGTGAATCAACCAGTGCAACCAGCAACTGCATCGTGCCTTTTATGAGATTCTGCTCGCCTTTGAAAGTGTTAACATTGCACTCGACCTTCTCTATGAAAAAATTGGCGAGCCAGGGTGCCCCCAGGCTATCATATCCAAAGGCTTGTAAAAGAGTTGGACTTATTTGAGTGTAATAATTCTCAATAGGGTAGGGTAGTAAATAATTCAGCGACCACCTCCGCAAAAACCAGACGATTGTACTGCTCAATTCTGGGCTTAAAGTATCAGCAATATTGGCCCCAATTGCTGTCTTCTCAATTTCACAAAGTCGAAACACTGCGGCTGTCAGTCGAATGACGTGATCTGCGGATTCCTCAGCACCTTGAATCTCAGAGATATTGTGCCCCAGAGATGCCAACAGCTGTAGAGACACGTTTACGTCCACTCGACCCTGTTGTGGCTGCTCAATGCTGTACTTCATCACCTCTGAGGGTATCAGAGCAGCTTCTCCATCGGATTCCATGCAGAGGACGTGCCCAGCAATGAGCACCAGCCAGTGGAGGTCCTCGTACAGTTCTTTCAAATTGGCATTCATGTTGAGAGTCTTGGGTTGACCCACCAGCTGGCTCAACTGCTGTCTCAACTTACTCGTTCTTGTTTCGAGGAGGTGAGAGAGGACAGGGAGGGAGTGACTAAGGACCTGCCTTCCAAAATTACCAATCGTCTGGAGTTGTTCCTTGTATTTCGCTCGATCGTCTTCCTCGCAGTTGTCAATGTCCTCGTTGGGATCGTCCTGAGAATTTCTGGTACCCTCTGGGGCAGAAAGATGACACTTGAGATAGACATTGAATATTTGCGCGGAACTCTGCTGGCAGAACTCAGCGGGGAACAGATGGCCCTCTGACAGCACCGAGGACCACGTCTCCAACATCTTCTCAAAGGCCTCCATGTATAGGCAATCCTGAGCGCATATGGATTCCTCCTGAGCAGCTCCCTCAGCGAATATACATGTCAGTCTTGACACTTGTTCCATGAATGATCGTAATATCTCTTCTGGGATTGAATTCAAAGCTGGACGGAAGAACGTGATGAGCTTGCGTACCATATTGGCAATCCCAAATGCCTCCTGATCGATTATCTCAATATTGGAGACAAGTTTGAGAAATTCATTCAGGTAATTTGTGAGGTACTCGATCTGAATTGCGTAGATGGCAACAACTCCACCGTTGAGACTGGCAAGCTGTACGAGACAGTTCCTGGCGTGATGGGCTAGTTGAGGATTTGTCCTGACCTTCCAGTACAACCCGAAGAACACTGGCAGAACTGGCTCGAGGATAACCTCCTGCCAGACAGGCCCCATTCGAAGGGCAGGACTGCTATCAGACTCGTAGACAGCCTCAAAAACCCCGATGAGCTTTTTAGGCAAATTAGCGGACACAAAACCCCAGACGAGAACCCCCTCAGCAATTGAGAGTAAATGCTTGACGAGTGGCAGACTCGCCTCAGGGATTCCGTCCTTCGTTAGCTCTGACAGGGCACTTATGCTGAATTTGAATATACGCTTCAAATCGGTTGATTCAAAATGTTTTTTAGCATTGAAATGCACTTCCCACCTCAACCCAACGTCCGACGATTTAACTGTCGATGCGTGCTCCTGCATCAGAGCTGATATCATGCTGCAGCCAAGAAGTTGCCTCTGCATATCACCACTCATAACCATACCCTCGACTTCGTTGAGCATTGCTCTCCTCTCTTCTCCATTATCCTCAATGCTACCTCTCTTCACCATTATGGCAATAACCTGGAGTATTCGTTCCCTGACAAATGGTGCAAGCGTTGGTTTACTAATGATGTAGTGCAGGAGATACTGCCTGAACGATATAATATCACTGCTCGGTAATAAATTCCATTCTCTGATGAGAGCTGCCTTGACGAGTCCTGCTGCCTCGAAAAGTACATAATCGACAGTGCTCGTCTCTAATATGGTTCGACACAACTCGTACGGTGACTTTGTTTTCCGAAAATTTAAAAAAACAGCCTCTGCTGACTGACGCTGTTCAGCCGTTACAACATTTGGGGGTGCCTGAAACCGAGATAAACTGTGATAAACTTGTTTTCTAGTCAACATAACCCAACGGATCTTAATTAACAGCGCATCAATTGGATTTATCAGTGATTAATCAGTGCTTGAGTGCAGTTTCGGGATTCATTGGGCTGGCGATTGTATTATGGAATAGATTTGCAGGTGCATTTTATTTAAAATATCCATGAAATATCTTACTAAAATTATTTGTGCCGCAGCTTCCAACTCTCTGACCATGTGATCCGCCATCTTCGTAAATAAAACTCTTTGTTATTAGAAATTTTTGGAGATATTGGATATCCACCAGGGGCGCTACAGGTTAATTTTCTCGGATTTTGTCTCAACAGCAGAAAATACTCTGGAGATTATTGTTGTTCAGTAGCTGCACGAATTTTCCAGCGAATAAAATAATTACGAATGATTCAATCATGTCGAGACATATTCGAAACAATTCAGAATGGTTGGAGTGGGAGGATTGGGAACAGGATCATCTGGGAGTGACCGAAAATGCTGTTTTTCCAGAACACGTAATTTTCAAAATTATCTATTCCTCACTACTATCCATAGAATTAATTTTAATTCACAATCCGTTTCTCTAATCACAGATCAATAAAGAGAATTATCAGCCACGCACGTTAGTCGATCAGACTCTGGAGACAGTGGATCCAATTCCAAACATTCACACTCTTTTTGTTCAGTTCAATGCGAAATTTTTTCGCAATGTTCTGCTACCAGTCGAGGTGAAATGGAGTCCTCGTATGACCTCATGTGCAGGTGTCTGCACGTTTAGATCACGTAACAGGCAGTGTGTAATATCCCTGAGTGCTCCGCTGTTGAAACTGCGCCCGAGAAAAGACCTGGTGGAGACTCTCCTCCACGAGATGATACACGCTTACCTCTTCCTCACGAATAATAATCGTGACAGGGACGGCCATGGCCCTGAATTCTGCAAACACATGAGGAGAATCAACGCAGAGGCTGGAACCAACATAACGATCTACCACAATTTCCACGATGAGGTGAAACTGTACCAGCAGCACTGGTGGAAGTGCAATGGTCCCTGCAAAAATCGAGCCCCCTATTTTGGGACCGTGAGACGAGCTATGAATCGACCACCAGGTCCTTCAGACTGTTGGTACGAAGCGCATCGCCGAACGTGTGGAGGGACTTTCGTAAAAATTCGAGAACCAGATAAACCGAACTCTAAGAATTCAGGTGGAAGGAAGCCTCGAAAGAAGTCGGAGCCTAATCAAACCCTGGACACGTGGCTGAGTCCCCCTCGGGAGCAGAAACCTGTGCCCCAGGGTCTTGTAAAATTGGGAACTTCTGCCAACAATGTTCATGGATTTGGAACAGGGGGACCTGGTTCGAGTCAAGTTAAAAAAAATGATAATTTCGGATCCTCAGGCTCGATAAAATTGGGGACCAGTGCGAATAACGTTCGAGGATGGGGGACAGGAGGCCCCGCAGGCTCAACCTCCAAAGGGAGCCCTCAGACCCCTTCTCAACCGAGGTACAAAATTTCTGGAGTCCTCGGAGGAGGGAGTAATTCTGGAAGAAGCTGTCTACTGGATAAATTCTCCACTCCCCCCAAGACCAAAGGCCCAGTAATGGATCTGACTACACCAGTCGCTAAAAAACCAAGGATTGAGTCCAGCAATCTCCAGGAGTGTCCAGTGTGTCACATTAAATTCCCAGAGGCCTCGATAAATACTCACCTTGATGAGTGCCTCGAGAAAGGGAATGCAGATGCAGGGGCTGGTCCATGTGATGCTGGAGGACAGGATCTGATCGAGTGTCCTCTCTGCTTTGATAATATTCCTGTTGATGGCCTTCAGGATCACGTGAATCGATGTATCTTCGGTGGAAATTCGAGGGCTGAGGATAAACCTAAAACTCCTTCCAGGAAAAATAAGTCCCAAAATCCTGAAGTCAGGACAACCCCTCCCGACACAGGAGCTCACGACTGCCTCATCTGCGGGACTCGAATTACTCCAGATATGTCTTTACTAGAACACTTAGATATCTGTGTAAAAATTCGTTACGGCGACGACACAGATGACGACATCTCCCCAGTGAAAAATAGAAAATCAAAACCGACTGAATATCCCTGCCCTGTCTGCATGGAAATGTATTCTGCAGAGGTCATGGATGATCACCTGAACGTCTGCATCTAGTTGCTCATTAGAAAATCGTGTTCCTCGTACTTTTTGTAAGTTATTGTTATCACTATTATTATTGTCTTCACTCCTGAACTTCTGAGTCACCCAAAGCGTGATTGTTATGTGACTCCTTATTTAAAAAAACGATCTTTATTCCTGTAGACGAACATTTTCTCTCACCTACACCTATAAATAACATAATTCGATACATAAAACTATCAGAGCCTCTCGTACATCCCGTCGTCGTCAAAACTGCTGGCAGTACAAACGCCACACGCAAATTCTTGAATATAATTAGGGAAGAAGAGGAGTATCTGATCCTGCGTGTAGTGAACAAACGTGAGAATATTGCTTAGGAATACATGAACCGACTGCCTGTCCATTCTGAACCTGAAAAAAAATTATAATAATTTTGAAGACACTTTAAAGATCTGTTTCGATAAAATCCGAAGTATTTAAATTCACTTCTTGAATAATTACAAAAGTACCTCCCAGACTTACCTCTTAGAATTCAATCCAGTCCACTCGAAATTCCTACTGATCATGACCTTCTTTTCGTAATTGGATATCACCACTCCATCCCCTTCTGGAATAATCGTGACATTGTCGAGTGCATCGTAAATCATCAGAAACAGTCCTGCTTCCTGAATTTTCACTGTCAGAGCGAATCCAGGGTTTCGATCATTGCAGTGGCCCAAAGCGAGATACTCCCTGTCGTTTTCTGTGGATTTCGTGGCATTTCTAGTAGATATAATGCTCTCCCGCGTGACACTGCAGAAACTGAAGAGAGCTCGACGAACAATATTATCGATGTACCGATGAAGCCTCGTCCTGGCGAGGATCGAGTCCACCAGGTCTCTGTCATATTGAATAGGAACTTGATTTCTGTTAACACTCATCGTAGCCTCCGTGGGGTCCTTGGGAAAAGTCGCTACGATGACAAATTGATTGTCACTCCTGACATAGCTACTGTTTCCCCCGATGACGTCATAGAGTGCCCTCATCCTCCTGAGTAGCCCCATCATCTCATCCGGCAAATTTTCATAGGAGACGAAAATCTGGTATCTCCTGAGGGTGGAGAGTTCTCTGGAGGCCTCGTAACAAGCTGGAGTGTAGGGGACAATATTTTTCTCATACGACTGCTGTCTGCACTGTTTGTAAGGCCAGACATCCTCTTTACTCTCCTCAATCTGTTCCTCGCTGACCTCAGCCGCGAGATTCATCGATAAACTCGATCCCGTGCACTTGCCCTGGGCAGAATCCGCGTAACCCCATACCATCTGGATATCCAGAGACGCTGGCTCCGAGTGTTTTGTGCTCAGCAAGTCCCAGCTCCAGGGGATGAGCCTGTCAATTTTCACACAGAACTTGAATACCCTGTCACTGCTCACAGTCTTGCTGGCCTTGATCTTGACAGTATCAGACAGCCAACTGATGGATTCATAGAGACCTGCCACGGTCCACTGCTGAAGGATCTCCCTGGACTCGAGCTCACTCCTCGTCAACGATAACATGTATCGATTTCCATTTTTCAATGCCTCCAGTCTCACCTCGGAGGGCTGAATATTGACTGGCTCGATGTAGAATGACAAGCCACAGCTGCCACTCGGTGAAACGTACGTCAGATAATCCAGCAGGTGAATCCCCATCAGGGGAATTCTGGCTGCTGTCAATGAGTGGTGATTGCTGTGGTGATGGGAGAGAATGTCACTCAGTAAATCGCTGGAGCTCACTTGCTTCTCACAATCAAAAACCTTGAACTGCAGTCTCCCACCTAATTCGGGGACTATAGTCTCGAAGACGACTTTGTCCTGCAGCATATCACCTCCTTTTCTCACGGTGTGCCGAAGAGAGCATTTCGAACAGATTTCAGACATCTTCCGCTTTGCCTCCATTCCCCTGATCGTCGTGGCTGTTCTCGTGTGAATTGTCACACCAGTCCTGAGGTACTCCGCTGGTGTATTGTAAGATAAAAATAATTTATCAGTGAGTCCAACAGTGACATTCGCTGGGAGATACCCGTGAATGGATAACGCACGTTCTGCTGCGTGCCACACATCGATTATTGGATTGTAAGTCTCCACAGTCTGCGTCCCATGAATAGCAGTTCGAAAAATTACGTGATTACTTCTGCCCCCGGGGAAGTGAGTGAAATTACCCCTCATCGAGAAAAGGGAGGTGGCAGTGGCTGCCATTCGAACAGTTGTCCCCAGGTCGCTGGCCTGAACTGATTCGATAGTCAGAGGGACATTGATCCTCTGCTGATTCACGTGGAACTCCATATTCTTATAGATGTGATAGGTATTATCTGGGAGTGCAGATAAATAAGAAACAGCATTAGCAATGTTGCTTTCATTGAAATGAAGACAGAGGACAGCCTTCTGCTGGACTCTGACGATCAGCTCGAGATGTATGTGCTCTCTCTGCTTTTTATTGAATTTAAATTCCTTGAGGATATCCTTGATCCTCGTCGGGCTCTCCAGGTACCTCGACAGGGACTGCATCAGCCCTGTGGCCTTGACGTACAACGAAAAATCGTTGAATGTCGTTCCACTGCCGTGGGAGTTCAACGTGAAATAAGCGACTTCCGGAATATTCGAGAAAGGGCTCGCGATGATGATACTCTGTACCATAGCCCCAAAGTTCCTCTTCGTGTCCTGATAATCAAAGAGATAATGACCAGTGACAACAGGATTACTTTTGTCTGGTTTCCTGAGAATTCTCGTGAACTGGCCAGCGATTGCTCGAATGTGCCTGTAGCAGGGAAATGTCGTACTCTCCATGGACTTGAGACTCGTGTAGAAGTAATTGTAGAGATGAACGTTGGGTTCACTCTGGATGTACCAGTAGAGAGAGATAATTCGATTGGCTGAGGGATTTGAAACAATCAGGAGAGTCAGGGCAGCTATTCTCATCTCCAGGTGCTCAGTCCTGTTCACCAGGATGGGCCAGTAGACGGGGTAAATAACGTCAGGCCTGAGTGGAGCTGTTGGTAGTGATGCCCAGGCTGCTAGTACCCGCAGGTGCCTCGAGTCCACGCTGTTTCCACTGGCAATTGGTTCCAGGAACTCGACTACTTTTCCCAGCTGAATATTCGATAGACCCTCCAGCCAAATCATTTTCTTCTCGTAGACGTTGCTCTCAGTGAACTTGTCGAGATACAGGCGAACGTAGTCGTCGAGCATCTCGTAGGGACAGTACACCAGGCAAGTCCTGTAGATGAGAGTTCCAAACGTCAGAATTCCCGTGTTACTCACCTCCGGCGATGTCTTGCTTGCGAGATTAATCAGAGGCTGGAGACCCACCAGCAGCTGAACATCTGGCTTTCTAATATGAAAGGGCAGTTGTGTTAATAATTGCATCGCTGTTATGTCTGAGACTTTGTTCTTCTGGATGAGCTCCAGGATAAACAACGCTGACTCCTTCGTTCCTATCTGGGGAAGTGTCTCCAGGAACATATTGCGGATTGTCTCCTCTTTGTAGCTCGTACCCGAGATGTTCCTGTATGCCGCCTGCAGGTCGGACCTATCCAATTGCCCCAGGTAGTACAGTAAAATCGATATCGTATTGTTGTGAAGATGATCTATATCGGTATCTAGACCTGGATTCTCTAATCGCTGACTCAGACGGTCTAGGAGAGTCGATATCCATTTGAATATTTTATCTTTCGAGGGAACCCCTCGCCCCTGAGATAAATCATTCTCGGCCAGTTCATGCTGGAGATATACTTCAGTAAATTTTTCAGTGTACACCGTGTGGCGTGAGTCCGTTACTCCCGTCAACTCGATTATCTGTCTTGTTGATAGGAATTGAGCCTCGCCGAGGCTTCGAAATGGTTGGATATAGATTTCTCCCGTTGCATTGATCAGGGTGATTTTCGTGGTGTTCTGCTGTGTCACAACTTTGTACAGTCGTTCACTGGATTTTATCACTGGATTCTAAAAATTAATTTTTCCATTTTAATTCCATTAACTCATTACTGAACGTCTTTTCAAATCGACAATTAGTTCATAGAAGAATTTAATCTGTGGAAAAAATCCCTTGGGTGTGGGAATTTTAATTATCATCAAGTATTTACCGACGAGAAAAATCGACTTGAAATGAATGAATGTTCACCAAATGCCAGATGTTTACGGAAGATAAAAAGAAAGCCGACGTGATATCTGCGTTTACTAAACCGTAAATTTCCCTATCTCTCCTAAAAACATGAATGAAATGATCTAAGATAGGTCAGAGTGCTCAGATAGAGCTGTTGTTTTCGTGATTTTCATTACCTCATCTCTATTTGGACACTCTAATCTCGGTACATTGGTCCAAGTTCTGTGTGGATGGCCTTGACACGTGCGAGGATCGAAAAATTTCCTTATAACCATCTCATTATCACCATCCGGAGCCACCACATATTCGATATTACATTTCCCGTAGTGATTATTCTCCAGAGAATGGAAAGCCACTTCTTTGTCGAGAGTAACTAAATCAAGCTGGAGAACACCAGCAATACTTCTCTGGATATTGATCGCCCAGACAGCTTCAGTTGACGCACTAAAATTGGCGATCAATCCGTCTTTGTAGATCAATCGAAAAGGCCTCTCCAGGTCTGCAATGTTTTTCCTCGTGAACCTGGATTCTTCTCGATTGTCCAGGCCATTGCGGAGGAACGTCTCCACCGAGTGCAGCTGAATGACACATCTTTTGTTTATACACCGAATGCTAACTTTTATTTTTAAAATCGTACCTGGACAACTGCAGCTGTATCCGTCGTCTCCACGTCGAGAATTCCTTTCAATCCCCAGGTGGAAGCCGCTCTCGATGGCAGCAACGAGCCGGAATTCACTTCCGTGAAGTAAGAGTACGTGTACCTCTTTCCATTCTCGAATAAATCACTCGCATCCCCTGTCCCAGCCATCAGCAATAATATCCATGATATTTTTAATGTCCTCATAATCCCATCTGTCCAGAAACCGACGTCAAACGTCAATCGTCAAACGTCAATCCGAAATAGCCGACGAAATGGATTCAAATTCATTTGAATTCTGTTTAACTACTCAAGTTATGGGGGAATATCTCTGAATCTGAGAGAATCAGTAAAATTTTTGTTTATCCTTTTTTTTATTTGAATAAAAAAAAATTCAATTAACAATTAAAATTAAAATTTTGATAACTGTTGGATTCAGAGATATTGGGGAAATGGGAGAGAGCAATGGGAAATTGTTCGGTGGGTTGTTTCTGGGATAGTTATTAGAATATAAATGGATATTGTTGGCTGGAGTTTTAGTGGGATTGTGATTTTTTTTGAAGTTGAAACGTACCTGGAGGCAACATTGTTGAGACCGCTGGGAATAGTGATGTCGACTGAAGTAATCAGAAAAGTCACGGGTCTGTTTGATGACCCGGTCGAGTGTACGTTAACAGCTCGACTATCTCAAAGTTTAATAAACGTCAATGTGTATCCCCAGCTTACTCGTGTTAGTTTAAATTATCCCATCGGCTGATTATCCTCAATCTCATCATGTCCTCTTTGTACATCATATCAGTGTAGCCCCAGACACTAATATCTTTTTTCTCCTTTCCCCTCACTCTCTCCGTTCGTCATCCTCTTTCTTCTCTCCCTCTCCAAGTCATTGAGAAAATACATAATATTAGGGGATAGCCAGTGGGAAAAAAATTCCACACGATAATTCGAGGGTGATTCTTCAGTTGCAATTTGTAGTGTTATTTGTACAAATATTTTCATGGTGAAACGTAATTTGTGATAAAATGACCTTCGACCTCTTCTATATTTAGAGTTCAGTGAATACTATGGTGATAAGAGCCTCTTCAGAACTCAAAAAAAGAATTTGGAATTGGGAGGAGAGATTAACGTCAGTATGATTTCTCTAGAACTTTATTTTCTCATCGCACTGCAAATATCCACAGTCAATTATTTATCATTTTAGGGTTTTATTGAATTTTAGCGCTATTTGTCGTGCATTATTTTTTTACTATACAAAATGTGATTGATGAATTCAGATTTTTACAACGCAAACGCCTATTTCACCCTTACAAAGCAATTTCAATAAGAAATATCGTTAGATGACGTTGAAGTGAAGTCTAGGCGTGAAATTATTACGGTTTAATTATCGACAGAATCGCTTTGGAGTAGTCCCAGGCTTCACTGCAAAAAAAAATATATTTTTATCTCAGAATCCACCGATTGGTATTAATAGATCATTCTCAAAGTGTGAAGAACAACTCACTTGTGGGCAGGATTAGCTTGATCTAGTTGATCACTTAATTGTTGAATGAGTGTAGCGAACATCTTAAGATGTTCAATGGTCGCGCCCTGAAGCCAAGCTCTTGGTAAAGTACTCATTATCTGTAATTTCAATTAAAAAACGACAAATTGAATTTTTTTTGTAATCGAAATATGTTTGATTTATCAAAATGACATTGAAAATGAAATTACCATATTTGCTTTACCCAAAGCATCGACAGGAGGTGAGACCCTCAGCCCAGCGAGGAGATATCTATTGAGCAGTGAGCCCAGGGCAAGATTCTTCAGCTGTGTATCCCCGAGAAGTCCCTGCCAGCTCAAAATATTCCTCAGCAATTTAACAGCCATTGCGAATTGTCGTTGAAAAAACGTGTGCTTGGTGTTCAGCACTTGTTTAGGAAATATTGGAATGAACACATCGTTTTCAACAGCTGCTTTGATTTTATCTAAAATGATATTGAATAATTTCTCAAGATTTTTGCTGGTGTCGTTGAGATTAGGATAATCCCTGACGAGTCGACTGACAGTTCCCACGAGCCTCAAGGTCTGGGACGTGGACAAGGGATCCCATATTTTTTCGACAATGGCCGTAAGTTTCGGCAAAATGACCTTCTCGATGACCAGGGGAATTAATCGCACATCTGGGTCACGTTTCAGGCTCTCCTCGGTCTCCCCTTTGTCCAGGGCGTAGAGCAGCAGTAAATTGTACCACTTTGTTCTCTCGATGTCAGCACTCTCCATCAGAGGATTCCAAGTGATGAGGTGAAGTCGAATGATCGGTGAGATCATCTTGGGAATGCATAGGGAGACGTAGGCCTCGGTGTAGGCCTCTATGTCGGTTTCCCTCCAGGACTCCAACTTTGTCAGGATCCCCCGGACTGAGCAGAAGTCCTCGATTACATCGGAGAATATCGTCTGGCTCTCCTCGTCGATCTCCTCTTTTGTCTGCTTGAATATCAGATTCTGCTGCTCAGTGACTTCCTCGTCGCTCGACATGCCGTCGATGTGTTTGGGAATATTGCGGTTAAGTTCACGAGCTCTTCGACGTCTCGCACGTCGTCCCTCTCGTTCTGTTGCTCGACGGATTCTTGCATCGTCCTCTGGACCTCGACGCACTGGTTGACCTCCTGGAATTGAATAACAAATTGATTTAGTTGATATTTCAAAGAGTTTTTTAAGGATATCTCTGAATCTTAGAGAGATAAATTGAAAATTTAGAAATTCAATAGAATACAGACGTGCAGCAGAAGTGATCTCCTCAGCCTGATCCCTGGTGTCTTGCCTGCGTCGTTCAATTAACTCATTGGATCTGTCACCATACAGATCCACCCACCGTTGCTCCAGTCCCGTCAGCAGAGGCAGCTAACAAATGAGAGAAATTCATTGTCATCACGAAATGATTGAGTTCCAGTAACAAAAACAATTCAGTTGACACAGAGAAGATTGTGACCCCCGACGTACAAAAATAAATTTAACCCGAACAAAATAAACTGTTGCATCCAACAAAAATAATCATCGGTCTTTCAGATAAGTGAAATAGAGAGAATGAGGAAAGCGGACAAATGAAAAAACGTGATAGCGTGAGAACCCACCTTCTCGTCAAGACACTCTACCAAGTCAGTGACATACCCACGCAACTCTTGGTAATATCTGAAGCGCTGTGCCAATTCGGGTGCACGCACTGAGCCCTCATCCAGCTCCTTCACGGTCTGCTCTAATTCCTCTTGCAGCTGAATTTGATCCTGTTGATGACGTCTGTGAACCTGCTGCAAGCTAGCGACTCTGCGGATAAAATTAAAAAAAAAAGACTAGTCCCTGGAGAGAAAGATAATAATTTATGTGAGATCATACCTCGCCCTCATTTTCTCCAAGACTTCCTGAGGTGACACAGGGACAACTTTGGTGGGATCAGGGGGTTGAATTGAGGGAGGTGGTGGTGGAGCAGGCATTAGGACCATCTCCATTGGCACTCCACTTCCTCCAATCATTTGGTTTGGATTCATTCCCATGCTGTACTGGTGCTGCATTATTGAGTCTTGTTGAGCAGCTGCAATCTACGATAATATTGTTATGAATTATCACAAGAATATTATAATTTTCATGTTAATGGAGAGGGATCAATACCTGGGCTCCAGTAACTCCTTTTCTGATCTGCTGGACCTCCCACTCCTCTTCCTCGAGTCCATGCTCACTCTCATCGTCTGATACTGTATGAAAAAATATATCTAATAATTCAAGATCCACCATGTAAAAACGAAAATGTCAAAAGATTGAATAAATACGTTTTATGGTAACTTGGGAGGCGAGGAAGGCTTCCCTTCTCTTCTCCTTATCCCTGGCTTCAGTATTCACTGTCATATCGATTCTGTCCTCATCATCATCATCACTACGATCATGATCTTCTTCTCGAACTAGCCTCGATTTTCCCTTATCCTCCCTGTAAGAATATAAACTCAATCATCAAATCCCCCAGCTCAATTATTTTCCAATTAAAAAATTTTGAAATCTCACGTTGTTTCCTCAATTGGTATGTAATCAGTGCCCAATTCCCTTGCCTTCTGGCGTTTTTTTCGTGCAGCATGAATCATAGCTGCATCAGGAATACAACCACCTGCAAGGAATACATTAAAATCGAGAAACGGTTCTAGATAAAAATTTTTATATGAAAGCGAATGAGTGAACTCACTCTGCAAAAGCAGTTTCATGGTATCTGGTTGGGCAGTATTTTTCCTAAAAGTATGTGTCTTACTGGTCTCCTCGTCCTCAGAACTATAATCATCCTTTCCAGCTACTAGGGCAGCTCTCCCATTTAATATGAGTGGTCCCGCATTTTTAATTTTAACCTGCGAATTAAGGAGACGATAAACTCATGAGTGAAATCTGACTGAAAAAATTCTGCAGGGGATAAGAGGTCAGTAACGATTGGGCCACCACAAATAGCTAATCAGCCACAATCAGACGAACAGGATTATTTATATGAAATGACCCTGTCATTGGTGATAACATTAAATATAAAAAAAATTGTAGTAAATACTAATAACTAATAAGACATCATAGAGATAGCTTACTACTAGATCATCTGTCTTTATTTCTAAATCTTTGTCGCGCTTAATGGACATGTTTGCTTGCTCAGAGTCCACTTGGATTTTCTCTTCACCTTTCTTTTTTCTCCTCTCGTGATCGAGTTGTTTCATCAGTTTTTTGCTCCGAGATGATTTCTTCACTTTAAAAACCTCACCATCATCAGCTGAAATATTAATCAACATTACATAATGCATAATTAACTTGCGTTGATTCATCAATTGTCTATCATTTAAAGCGATTATCTGGTTTACTGCATTTCGTATTATATCCGTTGTGAATAAATTAGGGATACACGTGGAAATAAGGGCATTGAGTGATAAAATGGGTGAATTCAGGATTAAAGGAAATAAATTCGATGAAAAAATAACCTTCATCCAGCTCCTCGCCAAAACTGAGGAGCGTCTGCTTAGGCTTATCCTTTCTCCTCGGCTTAACCTTAACGGGTTCTTGATCAATCTCCATCCTGTTTTCATTGTCCTCGGACTCGTCGTTGAACGACCTCCTCCTGATATTCCTCTTCGGTTTATTAAAAAGAGACATTTGTCATCCAATTATCGTGAATTCCAGCTCCAAGGAAAATCGACCGATTAATTCATGTCACACACACTGGCATCGGTCGATCGACGAATTAATTACAATTAGATCTCAATGATTTATCAGACTGAATTATTCTCCACGATTATCTGGATCGATAATTCGATGCACTGGATGCACTTGTAAATTGAAGATATACCTGGAACAGGTCTCTATTTTCTTGTTCCACTTGTGAAGCAGAATCAGAAAGAACTCAGGGCAGACATTGTCATTGCAGGCAATTTTCAACATACGAAACTGCTGTACCAGTGGAGATACTCAATTTGTTTCTACTTTATTTGACCATGGGAACGCGTCTTGACGCATCAAGAGTCGTAGTTTAATTATTTTTCTCCTTGAACGAGTGAAAAAAAAAATGAGTCAGTGAAAATCGGTTTTGCGAGGAAAATCATGAGCTGGCCGACAATCTCCGAGAGCTGAGTAATTTTTATCAAGACAACTAGTGCAACATTTCATCATCCTGACACTGTCTGAGACGTATCGAATGGTTGAGACAGTCTCTCAGTAATGTACGCCATCCAGAGCCATAAATTATTACTTGAATCCTATCACATAGCAAATTAAGTGATTCCGAGGGGATCGAGAGTCTGACAAATGGGCGGAGTTTATTAAAATTTTTCATACAATTATCACAAGTGAATTTCTGTCATCTGTATGACATCCGCATGACTCACGGTGATGAGACGATTTCCATTCGGATACTGACTTCACTAACGACTTGAGACCGTTGTTTTTCTTGTATCCGTCAAATTGACTTAGTGAGGAAAATATTGAAGTATTTGGAATATTTGTGGGAATAGTAGAGTGAGGATTGACGATAATGGCCAATTGTGCACCGATAAACAACGAGGACGCAGAGATGATGGAAATTGGAATTAATGGTGATGACATTGATGAGGAAGAATCAGATGGTGTTACCGTGCCAGAGCTTCAGGGCACACTGTCGAAGTGGACGAATTACATTCATGGGTGGCAGATACGTTTTATTGTTTTGAAAGATGGCACATTGTCTTATTATAAGTCTGAGCAAGACAGTGGCTTTGGATGTCGTGGCTCCATCAGTCTGTACAAAGCTGATATCAAGGTATCATCGTAATTCATGCTTACATTCCTCTTATCATATTTTCATTATTATACCTTTGATTAGGTTCTTTTAGTATTTATTATTGAAAAATGTAATTAATTCACGACTGATGGACATTTTTTAATCGTAGGATAGTGCGCGTTAATTCACTCATCCAAATTCTAATGGATAAATTCCACTCAAGTACCTCGGGGGAATACATTTGAGTGGGCATTATTATTCTGATAATTCTGAATTATTATTTTTAACTTCAGGGCCATGAGTTTGACGAGTGTCGATTTGATGTGTCGGTGAATGATTGTCTCGTCTGGTATCTTCGAGCAAATTCTCAAGAAGAGAAACAACGCTGGGTTGATGTATTGAAATCGTACAAAGTAAGATTTTTATCACACTTTCATTTAAATATGATGGGACCAAATGATAAAACATGTCCTTTTGAATTTTTTGTGTTACTCAGAAAGAAGTCTATTAAGTAATTGAATAGAAGAGGGTGTTATCTCTTTTTTTTTCTACTTGAAATTATCATTAAACTGACCTTCGAACTCGCTAACAGGCCGAATCTGGATACGGAAGTGAGAACAGTTTAAAACGTCATGGAAGCACAGTCTCTCTGATATCGAATACTCAGTCGACAACGAGTGGAGGAAGTTTTAGTAAACGAGTATCTCGGAGTTTAAAGGAAAAACTCAATGAACTGGAGACATTCAAAGATATCCTGAGTCAGCAAGTTGACACTCTTCAAAAATATTTCGACAATTGTGCGGAAAATGCCAAGACCTCTGGAAAAATTGAGAAGAACGAGACATTCGATCCAGCCCTTCAGTCCATCGATTTCAAGGGCGAGGCTATTACCTTCAAGGCCACCAGCGAGGGAGTGCTAGCAACCCTTCAGCATTGCGTGGAATTGATGAATCAGAGGGAGGACTCGTGGCGGAGGAAACTTGAAAAGGAGAACGAAAAAAAACGAAAGATGCAGGAGTTGTATAGAGCACTCAAGGATCAGGTCAACATCCAGAAGGGGGACACCACGAGACCCAGAGTCGTCATCCATGGTGGCCCCGATTACGAGGTAAACTTTCCACGTGTGAAGAATTATTTATTTTTTCGGAATTTCTATTAGAAATATTTTTCGCTAGAGGATTTGTTTTTCTATTTTTTAAATCAGTGATTATTGCATTTTTTTATGTTATGAGAACTCGAGGGGAATAATCATTTTTTTCCCTGACCCATTCCGCGAGCCTAGATTGAAATACCTAGACCACGATTAAAATTCCACAGCACTTACCAATATGATGAAAACTATTCTCTCTGTAACCACGTTATGCAACTAATTGGATAACAATGTTACAAAATTCCGGGTACGCGTGACCTTGCAATGCAAGACGTTTCGATTTCTCATTTACATTGCCGTCCACCGGAGAAAGGAGATGGATCCCAAAATTTCTAACGGGCCCACTACCGGGAATAGAAACCGCATACTGAGAATTTTGGTTCATCATTGAGTGGTAATTTCCCAGCATTTTTCATCTCTAGAATTAATCGAACTCCATGTATGTCGCTTCATGTCCAGAGGTTTATGCAACGTTTGGTCCCACAACTGCGAGCCAACTCGTTCTCCATAAATTAGCATTACGCAAGTATATAACGACGGGTAAACAGAGCGATAGTGTGCTCAGTTTATCAGTAGAGTTTGGTGGATTAGGGTCTCGATCCACTGGGAACAATTCGTTCAGAGATAATATTATTTTTTTATAACTATGGGAAGGATTAGGCTGCGATCAAAACCTGTTATTGTAGTGAGTGGAAAGCGCTAATGACATCGTCGCGGAATATGAAGCAACAAATAACGAGACAAATAATAAATAATGTTAATTGAATTTTAAAGGAAGGACCACACAGTGCTCTGTGCGATGAAGAGTTTTACGATGCCGTTGAGACAGGATTGGATAAGATAGACGAGGACAATCAGCTGAGAGATCGTTTGAAGAAGAAATCGATTTCAATTGCCTTGAGCCCAGTGACACCAGCGAAAAATCATAAATTATGGCCTGAGGTACAATTAATGGTTTAATTAAACATAAATATTGGAGAATTGTCACAATAAATCGTTGAACTAAACGAATTGCCAAAATTCACATTTACAGATCGAGAAAGTAACTCTCGAGCAACTGCATTATGCACGTTTGGGGGTGGGTGGTGCAGGGGGTTGGCAATTATTCGCAGAGGATGGTGAAATGAAGATGTACAGACGTGAAGAGGAGGCAGATGGTCTGGTTGTGGATCCCCTGAAGGCGTGCCACATGGTGAAGGGAGTGACAGCGAGAGAAGTCTGTGAGATATTCTTCAGCCCCGAGTACAGGAGTGGCTGGGAGGCCACCCTCGAAGACATGACTGTTGTTGAAACAATTGCCAGTGATACCTTAGTCTTTCTTCAAACCCATAAGAGAATTTGGCCAGCGAGCCAACGTGATGCCCTATTTTGGTCTCACATGCGAAGTGTCGCTGACAGTGAGGACCAGGATGCTGCAGATCTGTGGATTGTTTGTAATCACAGCACAGAGCATCCCCAATATCCAGTAAAATATCATTGATTCTCTCGTTTCATTGACTCTTTTATTGCAATTTTTTGGTTAATCTGAGGTTTTTAATTTTGCTATAGCCGAACTCTGGGAAATGTGTGAGGGTCTACTTGACAGTCTGCCTCGTATGTCAAACCTTCATCGATCCCCCGAAAGATCCAAAGAATATACGCCGAGAAGATCTGACTTGTAAAATTACGTACTGCTCTGTTGGTGAGTACAAGCGAAATTTTCAATTTCCCATATATTAATGAATTTTTTTGAATGGGATTGATTTTGAATTGCAGTGAATCCTGGTGGTTGGGCACCAGCTTCTGTCCTCCGTGCGGTCTATAAACGAGAGTATCCAAAATTCCTGAAGCGCTTCACCAGTTTCTGCATTGATCAGTGCAAAGACAAACCCATTCTCTTTTAATTAAACCCGTAATCTACGTTATTTCGTATTTTTTATCATCGTTTTCTCGATTAACGAGAATTATCCTTTAATCAGCTATTTTTACTGATCTATCGCTACGTAAGTGTAAATTTTGTCACACATTGAACGTAAAATGAAGATGAAACTTGTACAAAATGGACAAGAAAAAAAAGTAAAACAGAATGAAGGTAAAAATCCAGAGGAACTATCCATTGTTACATTCTGCCAATTATAATTATATTCACCTCTGTATAATACGGGAAAAAAATACAATTTATATTGTTACTTTTATTTATACGAGGAAAAAAAAAGAGGAAAGAAGATTGTGTAAAATTGTGAGCAAATAATGAATGAAACTTAATAAAGACTGTTCTAGATTTATGCTATCATGAAAGTTAATTGAGAATATACATATTGCTTAGATCTGACAGTGAATCCTGCCTAAATAAAAATAAATGGACATTTTGAGCTCATCGTGTTTTTAATTATTCAATTAAAGGTAATATAATCGTAATCGTAACAAAAATGGAATTATTTCGATTCGAAAAAAAAATTGAATGAAAATGCGCTATTTACAAACTGCGCGAGCGCAATAAGTTTATCTACTCCATTCATGAGTCCCCAATTAGCAAAATGAATTTTCATTTGTGCGGACGTTTGCCCCAGTAAATTGACCTCCTCAGAGTACGATTAATATATAATTCAATGAATAAGTTAATTGCACATTTAATTAGACATTAAAATATTTGATTTACCTGATGACACAAAATACAAAACACTTGGTGGTATAAAAAAAATGTAAAAACACTTATGCGAACTTCTGAGGATACCGCACAATGAAAATTCACCCCATAAATCATTTCACCGAGAGATTTCCCTCTCTATTCCCCAAATTGTCTCATTATATTCACCGAAGAATATTAATTACCCTATTTACATCGCATCATAATTGTCCAACTGTTTCAACACACCCAGTCCCTTTTTTTCGTAATCCTCTCTCGTAATCCAAAAGGAGTCTCGGTTTCTCGTCAATTCTGCTAAGACAGCTCCACCCATGAAGACGAGGTCTTTGCGCCTGGGTGAATCTTCGATTTTTATTTTAAATTTCTGCAGAATACACAAAACGAATCATAACTAATTATTTTAGAATACATTGCGAACAAGTTGAAGGTAAATTCACGGGATCTACAATAATAAAAAAAAAAAGAATTCGCTGAATTACCCCTAGTTTCGATGTATCGTTTTTCAGCACTCGTTCAAGGTACAGCTGTTTTATTTCCCTCTCTAATCTCGATGGCAATCCTGGGTACATCGTACTGCCCCCACTCAAAACAATGTGCTTGTACAATTCACTCCTCATGTCGATTTCTGCGGACTGAATAGTATTGAATACTAGTTCAGCGATCCCTGGGGCCTCGACGTTTATTAAATGCGGTTGGAAGAGAGCCTCAGGTGCAGAAAATCTCTCGCCACCGACTTTAATCACTCGACCATCAGGCAGCTAAAAATATAAATAAGTTGAAAAAAAATTAAATCCCAAGCTTTCGAGGTAGAAAATTAATTTTCGCATACAGTATACGATTCCACAAGAACAGTTGTTTCAACTGCTAATTTCTCTTCAGTCTCGATGTTGTACCCAATGTAACACAATTTCTCCTTGAGCATCCTGACAGTCTCAAAGTCTGCAGAATGATTGAAAGCATAACCCCGGAGCAATAACAATTTAATAAGATACATTGTGATGTCTCGACCAGCGATATCTAGCCTTCGAGTCAAGTGGGGCAGTGCATATTCCTCGTATACAGGACAGATATGGGTGACACCATCTCCGGAATCGACGACAACTCCACTGATGAGCCCTTGGGCGTAAAGAGTCAGAACAGCTTGCATCGCGATATAAACTCCAGCAAATTGGTACTTCTCAAACATAATCTGTAAAATTCCTCCAGTTATTTCGCATATTCTTTTAATATTTTCACTGACATGATCATTGTGAGGAGATTAATACTTTGATCATGGTCTCTCGATTTTTTTTTGGATTCATCGGTGGCTCCGTCAGCAATATTTTGCACTCACGTGGATTGATATTCATTTTTTCCGGGCCAAACGTGTAATCCCAGACGTGACACATATCCGTCCAATTCCTATAAATATATTTTCCATGAATCTTATTATTCACCATTGACCTGTGGAATACATTGAGTATCGAAAGGTAAAAGGTGAAAAGTCGATTTATCTCGGAATCTGTGAAGGATAAAAGATGAATTCAGAGATATTCGGAGAGAACTGGAGGAGGGACGAAGTCGGCTTGTTACCCTTTAGCTTTTGGCTACTATTTTCTGACGCATACCTGACAATTCCATTTTGCATGGGATAACTAATCTCCAGAAGCGATCGTAGCTTGCTGGCTTCATCACCCACCATCAATGCCTGTTTCATATCCAAATAAATCACAATTAAACAAATACCCAAGGCTTGCATCAATCACACATTCGACACACCACGACAATAAACTTGCACTAAAAAACCATGACATGAGGATTTGAATAACTAAAGGTCAAGCAATTCAATTGGGAGCAAAACAAAAACGATCATGAGCACTGGATGGACATTCATAATTGGTTACAGGGGATACGTATTGACTTACAGGCATGTTAAGCACGTCCTATTCGTTGGCAAATGTGTAAAGCACATAAATACGATTAATTATTTAATATAAATTTTTTGGTTACATATCTGATCGGCTTGGGTACGTGAGTTTGTGCTATTATTGAGGGACTTTTTTTTTTTTTTACTGGAGTTTAGTCTTTACGCACTCGGAGATAAGAAAATCACTTCCCCTTTTTTTCTTGCTTTTACTTAATAGATCTAGCACAAAAGACTATTGGGCACTACAAATTGACTTACACGAACGCAAAGTTCTTGCTGAAAATACAACAATATGATTATAAATTTCGTTTTACGATAATCGGGTTTTCCTGTTGTTGTTAAAAAGATTTCACGTGAGGGAGAGTTGGGTAAACGTTATGCTGAATAGCTCCCAATTAAATGACGCGATTTTGACGAGTCCTAAGTAGACGAGAGAATTCATCTTAAAGCTTGGAAAATCATCAAGAAAAATCGGAAAAAATCGCAGAATTTCATTCTTCAGTTTGAGAGTTATTAACAACCAATGATTGCCTCACTCTTCCTCAGCTATAAACAATGAATCAAGTTAATGAGAATTTCATCTTCACCTTGACATCGATATCGCCGATTTTGTTGACGGCTCTGATAATTGGTCGTCCTACAATCGATGGAAAAATGTGAGCTGGAAAATTAGCACCAGCATATCCACACTTGACAAACTAATGGGAAAGAAAATTCGTAGATTTATAAATACTAAGCAGTGATGGATCTCAATAAACCGACAATATTGTAAACGCATATAACATCCTAATTAAACATAACCTTACCCCAGTTCCATTATCACAGACAATGACCTTACGCCCTTCGTTGTCCATATTTCCTGAACCCAGTAAATTACCCCAATGTAATCCTGATAATTTCGTTGTAGCGAGGTACGATAATTAAATCCTGCCCACAGATGACTAATTCTTCAGAATGGGAAGGGCGTCACCGGCATGGCGTACTGATAACGTTTGGTACTGACTGTCCACTGATAATAGCCCTCCAATGATTACGACCGATTAATTTCAACCTGATATTGTTTGCACATGCAAATGACTGAATATTTTGTATTTTCTGGATAATATTGAGCTCGATAAACCAAACACGTTTGATCTGTCAACGTTGGGGGCCTTTCTCTCCTGTCTCAATGGCTACAGAGTGGGAGACTGAAACTGCAGCCAAAAACAGGGGACAAGTTCTCTCAGGTGGCACGAGACAGCGCGGCGGTCACTATCACCTTCCCCTCATCTCCATGTCATCCCCACTCTGCAGCTGTTCGGCACTGGTGGGACTATTAAAAAAATGATAATTTAAAATAGCAGCAAAAAATATAAAATATATTTTTAAAAATTTCAACTTACCGGGTAAAAAAAAAATTGTAATCAGAATATTTTTTCAAATTTTCGAAAAATTTCTGGACAACTTTTCAGAAAATTGTTCTTTTGAAACAAAAAAAAATCGAAACAAAACAACTGTATTTTTGGGAAATATTTTGAAAAATTTTTCAAAAATTTGTTTCGGAAATTGATGGACCAGACCAAAATCCACACGCTAAATTCTCTTCAATGAATTATTTTTCACTGACTATTGGATTTTACGTGATTGCACTGTTTTTTTTAAAGAGAGAATTATTTATCGGTTAAGAATTTTCGCAATTATCGTATCTCGTCAAATTGAGACTGCCCGCGGTGTGCGTGCGTATGCGCACGGAGTATCGCCTGGCGACCCCCCACTCGAGCGGTCTTCTGTGCGCATGCAGGGTGTTCTGTGCGCATGGGAAGTGTTCTGTGCGCAGGCGCGGAGTATCGCCGGGGGACCCCCCACTCGAGCGCCCCCGTCTCCAACGCCCTGCCATTTTCAGTGGGGAGTCAGTCGTTCCGCGACCGCGCGTCGAACAACTAGTCGCGCGTCGCGTACTTAAATTCCGTTAATATCGGGGTCCTAGTGAGCGCAAAAAACCGGCGCCGCGTGTGAACATTGAAAATACAAAGTGCGGGACTCAGTGCAAGTGATTTTGTGAATTTTTTAGTGTGTGTTTAGATACGGACTAAAGTGACAGTGCGAATTAGATTCGAAGGATTAAAAATATTATTTAATCTTTGATATTATTTTATTGATCTTTGTGGATTTTGAGTTGATAAAACATTCTTGGTTGTGTGGTGAGTGATTAGTGAACTTTTGAACTGTCTGCTGTCTTTGAAAATGCTGGTGCTTCCAAGCCGACTTCAACCTTTGGCGTCAGAATCACATGGAGAGATCTTCAGGATTGGAGGGCATCTTGCAACCGACTGCAAGGTGAGTTTCGTATGCATTTTTTTATGACCTTGAAGCATCATTTTCATTTTATTTTCATGTCATTTTTTTCATTCCTGATTCTTGATATATTCAATGCTTACATTACAAACAATTTTTAATTATTCAATTAACTCTCCAATAAAATAAAAAAATTTAAAATAAAAAGTAATAAATAATTTTAAATAATAATTTAAAATAAAAACTCTCAAATCAAAATTAAAAATCGCCTTTGCAGTAAAAAAATTATTTGGTCGAAATTTCATTAACAATTTGTTTTTTTTTTTTATGTTTACAGTTACGGTAGGTCTGTTCGAAAGGTAAAAATTGAAAGCGGACTTATTTTCATCCAACGCCGGTGAGTGAAATTTATTTATTAACTAGCGCCGCCGGATATATCGTATCCGTTCCGTGGATTTTTTCATGGTCGGTTCGGGATTTTGAATTTTCGAGATGTTTTCATCTCTCGATCAGATGATGTCGAGATGCCAGTGATATGGCTCCATCAGATCAATCGCGAGTGCGTGTATAAACAAGTGATTGACTACGCTGGAGTGCCGCATTTTGAAATTGGAATTAAAGCCCGGTTGGATTGTCTGGAAAAGATGATTTACTCCAAAATTGCCACTCCTAATTACTCCACCAATTAATCGATTTTTCCGATAATTGTTAGCTAGCCCTCTAGTTGTTGACAACCGCTACGGTGCTAGCTAACAATTATTGGAAAAAACGATTAATTTCCGGAGTAACTAGCAGTCCAAATTTCGGAGTAAATTATATTTTCCAGATAATCCATCCAGGCCTTAAATTTACGTCGTATTTTATATCTCCGCCCAAAACAGTAAGTACGACATTAAATTATTATTGAAGTAAATCAAGTAAACAGCACTGACAAATCTGTGAAGATATTTTTAATAACTGTTAATTCGTTGAAACACAAATAATCAGCAGTCGGAGGCTTTGAAATCAGCTCGTCAAAAATTCCAGTCAGTGGAATCTGAGGCATCGAAGAGCTCAGAGTTATTAAAAGGGAAGCTGGAGGGATTGAAGGAGAAGGTACAGGGAGTCATCGACGAGGCAGGAAAAACGGAGCTGAGATCAGTCTAACCAAAAAGGTTCATTCAAAAATACTTTCATATATCCAGATAAATGCACCATAGCCTAATACTTGTAGTATTTACCGATTGAATACAATTTTAAAAACCAATGTTTTGTGTGTCTTTTCAGTGTGTGGTAATAATCTTTAAATTCGACCCAGAGTGGATAGTGCACTTTTTGAAAACTACTATAAATTTATTTCTGTTGCAGGTCATGTAAAAGTCATATCATTCCATAACATTCCTGATGAAACATTTTTATATTTCAGTTTTTACTTATGAGGAGGGCTGAAGGTATTTATAACTCAAATAAAAATTCAATATAAACCCATGAATAAATGTTTATTATGTTCGATCAGATTGATTCAATTCGTAATTTATCATTTATCAGTGTGCGTGACGTAAAAAAATAATAATACAAAAAGGTATGAGAATAACTAGGAAAATTCGATCGAATGAGAATAAATCATTCGTTATCAGAACCACTGTCGTCAGAATTTGTTCTGCCTCGAATTGTTTTTGGTTTCTTGTTTCCAAAGAGTGGATTGGACGGCTTTTTTTCTTTTTCTGGTGAAGACTGGGCTATTCTCCACTCCATCATGTCTGTGGAAAAATCGTCGTAATTTCCGAGGTCCGTGAAGCCTACGATGTAATCTTTTGTCTTGCTGTCTGAGATGAGCGCTATCGTGGGAATTATTTAATCCTCAAACACTCTGAAACCAAATAATTAGTTCCTCCAAAAAATGCACGTATCTGAGTCGCAGTCCATGACCATGACGAAGGCACATTATGGAAATAGCTTTAAGAAAACTTGGGCGGCGAAAGGTGTTCACTGTTGGATAATCCCCTGTTGACGTTTTCGGTTTCCTCTTCAGCTCTCGCATTTTGTCTACCTTCACCTTTCGTAAATGCATTATCTTTTTTCCGCTCAAGAATTGATCCAGGAATTCATCGACTTCTGTATCTCCCGATAAGAATTTCTCAGCTATTTTCTGGACACGAAGGAGAATACAAATAAAAATCACAATTATCATTTAATAATTGTTTATATAATTGCTTAAATAATTACTTACGATTCTTCTTTAATTTCCGCAGCAGCTCACAGCCTTTCTCAGACAGTTGATGTAATGCTTTTTTATTCTCCACGAGTTGGGGTTGCTTTGCTAGATTGACTTCGGCCAGAGAACGATTTCCAGCGAGCAGAACTTCCTTTTCAGATTCCAATTCTTTAAACTAGGAAACCTCACGAAAAGTCAGTAAGTTGCATATCTAATAATAAGACAAGAAAATAATGAGACAACCGCCTTATTATCCATTTATTGTCATCGATTAAATAATTCACCTGTTTTATGTCATTGACAAATTTCTCGAATCTTCCATCATTGTTCAATATTTATCCCAAATCAATGTCGCTGAGATGATTCAACATCGACAATGCAGCTAGAATATCCAGCCCCTGGTCCTGACTGTACATTTCCAATTTTTATTATGAATATTTTAAATATATACACAGAAATTTAATTTTCATCAGCTGATGACATCGACCACAACAATGAGCACTTGTGTTATTGAAAATAATATAAGGTATGATACAAGCAGGTATTGTCAAGCCAAAAACAGGGGACAATTTTTTTCAGGTGGCACGAGACAGCGCGGCGACTATTTAAAAAATGATAATTGCAAATAGCAGGAAAAAATGTGAAATATATTTTAAAAAATCAAAAAATAGAGGAAAAAAAATGACAGCAAAAATTATTGTTATTTACTGTTTTATGTAATTTCCTTCCATGGAAAAATCTTTTTTTCCCATCCATCCCCATTTCCCATCCATTGCCTTAGTGGATTAGGCCTACAGGGGATACCACGTTAAAAAAAACGCGTCAAACACTCTACCTCTTGGGTGACGTGGAAAGAGTTTCACTTTAATTACTTGATTTATGAAAAAATAGTCAATACTGGGGAAGAATCTCTCGTATTGAAATAATCATATACCCATTATTCATTTATGCTTTTGTAGACAATTTTTATGCCATACCTTTTTTTTTTTTCATGTCAATTTGAAAGAAAAAAAATCAAAGGACTCGACTGGCATTCAAATGTAAACGCCAGAAATCGTTGAATTGAAGGGACGAAACGCACATGAGGAGAAGGTCCCCTTGTCCCCTGTTTTGGTGTCGGCAACATCAAAGCTTGGCAATACCTCCCTGTATCATACCTTACACCCCAGCATTGTGTTTGGCGCCCTCCCTCGCTTGGAGTGCAGTACTATGCAGCTGGGGTCATTCAAACCCCCAGAACTGAGCCTCTACTTTAGTCAATCCTCTTGGGCTGGCGCTTTGCACTCCACGAATGACAGATGAAAAGTCAAGAGAGTGTTTTGACAAGTATTTGCTGTAGAAATTCATCAATGGAGTTTTGTCGATAAACTATTGAGCAAGTGCTCCCGGATTGATGGGGTTCACACGATAAAATATTGTTTAATTAATTCGGAGCCGCAATTGGAGCAAAATGTGAGGTTATCTGTTCTCGCCTCCTTCATTACTAAAGTCACAAAAAAGTCGAGCAGGTACATGCAATTATCAGGGAAATAATAATTATAGAAAATCCGTAGAATCTGACAGTTTTGTTCCATATCAATGAAAAAATTGTGAACAGACATATTCGACATTCGATTAATCATGAGAAATTATTTTCAAGGGCTTCTTACTGATTACCTGAACATGTAAATTCAGCAGAATCTTGACTCATATATAATCGAACAAGTAATTAGAATAAAAACCACGATGACTTCAATAATCGATCAGTACGAGAAAGCGTCTCAAAGGTCTAAACCTTCTGGGCCAGAGCCAATGAGGCCAGACATCGTAAGTCCTATTTAATTGAGAAATCAATACAATGTTACTCCTCGATGTGAAGGAATGCTCATTAAAATTCCAGAGCACAGCAGGCTTCATTCAGATGAAACTCCAGGACGAGGAGCCAATATTCATAAGGCAGAGGGTAAATTTCCGGCCTCCTGACAATATCCTTCACCTCGCAGTCAGCAGCAATCTCATAATAATTGCCATGGCAAACAACGTTATCCTGAGGATCGACGTTAAAAATCCAGAGAAAAAAGAGGAGATCGATGTGTCCAAGTGCATGTCACAGATGAAAATGAGTGGATTATTTCTAGATCCCCTGGGAAATCATTTATTACTGGCATTAACACCTAAAAATGGAGAGAGTCCACCGTCTGAATTTTTCTATCTCCACAAAACTGCAAATAAATTAAAACCCGCTGGAAAATTTCGAGGGCACGAGATAACAGCAGTTGGATGGAATTTCTCCAACACATCGGACACAACCACTGGTCCAATTCTCCTTGGTACTTCCAAGGGACTCATTTTCGAAACTGAAATTACTCTTGATGTCGATAAAATATTCAATACAAGTTTAGAGCAGTATTGGAAGCAGGTAATTAAAATCCCATCGACTCCAAATTTTTGGAGGCAATTTAATTGACTCCTCATAGTCTAGGTAATTAAACGAAATCATCCTTCATGTCATTATCTGTTACTCCTGAAAGCTTCCTAATTATTTGCCTCTCTATGGCAGTAAAGAGGTAGATGGACTGGTAAGTATTGCCGAATAATCACTCCATTATCACTTCACTCACACGTAAATTCGATAAAATCCATCAAAAAAATACAAGGCATTCAGTAGAAATAAAAGTACGGCAGGGCACAGTGAATTCACGAGTGAATGCAAATATTTTATTATCCAGGTATTCGATATAGGTGAACACAGCAAACCCCCCATAACAGGGATCGCCTTCCACAAGGTTCCGTACACCGATAAATACGTAATAATAGTAACCACGAAGATCCGGATCTACCAGTATATAGGATCAGTAACGAATGCCCAGGAGAAGCCCCTGCTTCAGCAGATATTCAGCAGATACCTGAACGTCGAGGAGCGTTTCAGTCAATTGGAAAATTCTTTGCCATATTCACGAATGCAATTTTACTATCCAGTGGCGAAGGGCTATCCAAAATCATTTGGCTGGCTGACCGAAACTGGAGTACTGTACGCAGAAGTGAGCCCCAAGCCAGCCCCTGACAATGTCCTCATCAACCAGGTGATGCTGTACTCTCCAGAGACGAGTCTCAGTGGTTCGACAGTTTCCACGTCTCACAATGTCCCAATAAATTTCATCCTCACAAAATTTCACGCTCTTCTCTTGTACTCGGATCACGTCAAAGGTATTTCCCTGCTGAACCAGGAGCTGATCTTCGAGGACATTTACAACGATACATTTGGAAAGCTGGTGAATATAACGAAGGATCCGATAACGGGGGCGATATGGGCGCACACAGAGCGAGCTCTTTTCAAATACAAGGTAACAAGAGAGGAGAGAAATGTCTGGCAGGTGTACATGGATAAACGTGAATTCGAGCTGGCGAAGCAGTACTGCAAGGGTAATCCAGCGCACATCGACCAGGTCCTGGTGAAAGAGGCGGAGATGCTGTTCAAGGAGAAGGACTACGAGAAGAGTGCACTCATCTATGCCGACACTCACTCCTCCTTCGAGGAGATATCCCTCAAGTTTCTCCAGGAGTGCCAGATCGAGGCCCTGAAGACCTTCTTGAAGAAGAAATTGGAGGGCCTGAGGCCACAAGACAAAACCCAGATAACAATGATAGTTGTCTGGGTGGTGGAACTATTTATGAATCAAATGGGAGTCCTCAGAAACGATCAAACATCACATCTACACAATCCGAAGTACATGGAACTTCAGAAACAGTTCGATAGCTTCCTGTGTATTCCTGTCGTTGAGGAATGCATTAAAAAAAATCTGAGTACTATCTACAATCTGATGGCCAGCCATGGAGATAAAGACAATTTGATTCGCCTGACGATAATGCATCGCAATTACGAGGAAGTTATTCGCCAGCATTTGTACAAGAATAATTATCTCGAGGCGCTCGAGGTGCTCAAGAGCCAGGGGAATAGAAATTTATTCTATCATTTCGCTGGGGCATTGCTGCAGGAGTTGCCAAAACCAACTGTTGCTGCCATTATTTCCAAAGGGAGTCAATTGCAGCCGTCGAGATTACTGCCGGCTCTGGTGTCATGTGATAGCGATGAAAAACACGTGAGTTCATCACTTTAATTATTTTTATTTTTTCATTCTCCATGATTACAATAATAAATACAATACAATAAATAAATGAATAATACATATTTTTTTGTGGGTCATCGGATAAAGAATAATTTCATGAAAAAAATATAAAGGTCTGTATTCTTTTACTGATTCAGGCAAAAGAAGTGATAAAGTATCTCGAATTCTGCGTCTACAAGCAGAGCTGTCCCGATCCAGCGATTCATAATTTACTTCTATCACTCTATGCTAAGTATAAACAAGACGAGGTGATGCGTTACATCGGCTCTCAAGGTATCAAATTCACTATCAAATGATAGCCCTCTTATTGTCGTTAAATCCACTGGAATACTTCTCTTTAAGGCCAAGACATAACGATGGTGCACTACGACGTGCATTACGCCCTGCGTTTATGCCAGGAGAATGGTTTGACCGAGGCTTGCGTGCAGCTCTCCGCTTTATTAGGCCTGTGGACTACAGCAGTTGATCTTGCTTTAACAATAGATGTAGATCTGGCTAAAATAATAGCTGCGATGCCATCGCACAACGACAGCGAATTAAAGAAAAAGTTGTGGTTGAAAATAGGTAATTCCTTGTTCACGTCAAACAATCATTTCCCTTTGAATGTTTTTTGTAAAATTTTCAGCTGAGCATGTCGTTAGGGAACGCGACGATATTCAGCAAGCGATGGAGTTTTTGCAACAGTGTGATTTGGTGAAAATCGAGGACATTCTTCCCTTTTTCTCTGATTTCGTGACAATTGATCATTTCAAAGACGCTATTTGCAATTCACTTCAGGTACAGATTCTACATTCTAATTAGACATTCTAATTAGTTATCTCATTCTACGATTGGAAATAACTCAATGGTGGAGAGAATTGTTGAAGGATATTTTTGGGTTTGAGAGTGATATGACAGTCAAATTTCAATAATTTCATAAATGTGGGGGAGCTTTGAATAATTAAATAGGATTGTTACTCCAGGAATACAACCAACACATTCAAGACCTCAAGGAGGAGATGCAGGAGGCGACGAAAGCAGCTGAAATAATCAGAAAAGATGTCCAGGCATTTCGCACTAGGTGAATCATCCCACCACGCGTTACACACAATTAATCGTTGATGAATGTTAATCCGCGACCTCTCATTATTCAGATGTACATTCGTTCACGTGAGGGATACGTGCAATTCATGCGAGGTGCAACTTCTTTTGAGACCGTTCTATGTATTTCCCTGTGGCCATCGATTTCACAGCGATTGTTTAATCGCAGCACTGACGCCGATGCTTTCAAACGACCAACAGACAAAATTGGCTGATCTCCAGAGGCAGCTGACAGCGGCTTCGAAGAAACCAGATGACACGACTTCAGTTGGTTCAGTCTCCCTATCTACCAAGGATCAAATCAAGGCGGATATAGATAATCTCGTGGCATCCGAGTGTTTGTACTGCGGAGAATTCATGATCGAGTAATTATTTCTCATTTCTCACTTACAAGTGTTTAATTTTCATGGCTGATTTCTTGATTGTCTTTCAGATCTATTGACAAGCCTTTCATAGAGGAGGAGAATTACGAGAGAGTTATGGCTGAGTGGATATAAATTTCTAGGTTTCAAAGACAGTCGAGGCAAAACTACTCTATCATGTGTATAATGGGCCAGTGATAATTTTTATAAATTATTTTTGAATTTAATAATAAATGAAGTGTAAATTATCTCGTTGACGAGGAGTTAATTGAGTGCAATAAAAATCCTCTTTTTATATTCAGGTATTATCAATGATGAGATTATCTTCGGATTTTTTATCACGTTTGCTCACAGAGGAGTTGCCATAGATATAGAATCTCAGGGGCTTCTTGGACCATTCTGCCCCGACACTTTCGATTCCTATTCGCGATGTTTTAATTATTTTTATATCCTCTCGTGGATACCCTGGATCTTCCTCAATCCACATTTTTTTCCACGTACACAGCGAGTACTTGCAGCTGTCTTTGTTAATTCGAAACGCTGTACAGAGTTTTGAGGGCCCATTACATAATTCGTGAGTACGAAAGTCTTTAGTTCTCTTGGATTTCAGTAGTGAGAGACGATTATTCTGCATTTCCTCGGTATTTTCCAAGGGCTCGAGGGCTCTCAGAAGCACAGCCGCCCCTTTTCCTGGGGAATTTTTCTCGTGAGCAAGGCAATTGATGATTTTATTGGTGTCAACTCACCTCCACTCGAAATATTAAAGCAGTAGTACATTCCGTACGTCATGTAGACGTAGATTGTTCCTGGAAGCATGTACATTGGAATATTCCTGGGAGTTACACGATTGTTGAAGGTGTGGGAAGCAGCGTCTATTTCACCCAAGTAACTCTCTGTCTCGACGATTCTCCCCTTCAGGACGATTCCATTATCCAAACGACGAACTAATATTTTACCTGGTGAAAACGAGATGTCTCTCAGATTAAATATTTTTTTACTTATTGTCCCAGTTCATTGCAATTTTAATATTATTACAATGTAACAATTCCCATTGTTTACATTTACCTAGCAAATTCTGGGCCAATTCCTCACACGGAGTATCATAGAACTCGTAATTTAATCTGTTGACACTAATTTCCTTTTCGAGATCAGTCTCTGGGGGGTCCTCCAGCTGTTTTAATTCCTCTTTCATCGAGTCAAGGTCGACCTTTGCTCTTGTTTTCTTGGCGAGTACCTTCGGATTTTCGTCTTTACACACTGCAATTCGAATTTATTATCTCCATTGTAGACCCTAAACTCCAAACATACTCACGATTTTTCGATATATTTTCAAATTTCAGTTTATTTTTGGATTTACTTTCACAGGAATAATCGTCTCGGTCAGGCTCAGGAGGCAGATCTATTCGTTTTTTCCTAGATTTCTTCGTGGACTCCTCAATCTCCTCCTGAATCGATTTATCGATTGGTTTACATTCGTACCGAGAAAAAAAAATGGATTATGGCCAGATATGACTGTGAAAGAGATTTCAATTAAATAATTTCAAGGTTTCAATTTCGAAATTCCTGGAAATAAAATTTATTGAGTAATAATGATGACTATTCGCAGATAATTATTATCACCCTGAAGATGATTTACTCCACTTACCAAGGGGTGAACATTGACATCTGTCTGATGGCCTGCATTAAGGTTAATGACAGTGCGGGTGTCCTTCGCCCGACGAAACAGTCTCGCTCGTTTCATTTGTGATATCGCTCGATATTCTAGATGAATTCCAACGGTAAATTCACAGTAGAACTCGACATTTTAATTTCCGAGGAGTCAAAACTTGTGCTCATGCTTGTTTACTTCCGTGAAAATGAATTTGGCGCACGTGAGTCAAGGATTGTACAGCGGGGAGGGATAAGGGGTGAGAGTCAATTGAAATAACCAGTGGAATACCCCCCTGCATTGTCAGACAGCAATAAAAAATGTCGCATACAATCCCTTTCCCTTTTAAAAAATATTTTCGGTGCAAAATATTTTTTTTATATCAAAATATTATATTGTACTGTACATATATAATATAGTATAAAATAATCTTTCAATAAAATAATGATTTGTCTAGGATAAGAAAAAAAATATAGTATTCATCAATTGAATTTAATTAATGAGATAATATACGCACGTTCGTCGAGGGACTTCACCCCAAATTTTTGAATTAATGCAAGCATGACGTAATTTACGACTCATTCACAATTTCATTGACTCAATCCTTTCATTACAAATTGATAAACGAGTCTCCCGAGATCCTGGTGAATCACTCCTCAGTTTATAATTATCGGTTATTTGCGGTTGTCAATTACGCATGAGATGACGTGCGTTGTAATTAAAACAATTGAGGGTGTAATATATCTGATTGATGGATGGAGTAGTTAAATTGGTACTTGCTAAATAAAACGATGATTCTCAAAATTGAATTCGGAATTTAATACAGAATTGATGAAAAATGTGAAAAAATTTCAATTGGAGTGATTCACGATATTTGTTAATAATGTTTAATTTATTATTTATTCTAGCCAGTGGCCAGTGAATGAATAAAAATGAGGTTTACGTGGTATTACGAAGTCATGAAGACGTTGCAGATGTTTGGCTTGTAAATAATTTTCTTTATCAACTCTCAATGATTTATTCGACTTATACGAGTTGTATCACCAGGAGTCACTGGGAAATGTATTTTCCCGGTGCTTTCGAATGATTTATGAACTCGAAGATGGAGAATTCATTGGTTTCACGCTTTTCGCTAATGTCTGTTGCTGTCGTCACGTACCATCCCGCCAAAACATTGTTAATATTGAAGAGGCGTAAGTGGTCGTGGCACTTTACATAAAGCACTCGGTAACCTAGAGGTACATAGACCCATTATTACATAAATTACGAGCCTGGAAAACTCTTCACCCTCGTTACTCTTACTCACGATAAAAAACAAGAAATCACTCGAGAGAGCAAACAACTCTTAAATCATCAAAATCTTTATTATACACATTGATAACAAACAGCTTATCACTTATCATTATCACACGCATTACGCGTGAATGAGTCATGAACACGATGGGTTTTTAATGTTTAAACATAACGAGCATACACTATTAAAAAATAATAATAATAAAATAATATGATTTGCAATATGAACAGATTCTCAATGTCCAATCATTTCTTCATTCATTAAAATGACTAATTTTTTAATTTCTCCTATAAATATTCGCAAAACGACAAGTTCGAGAGTGAAAAAAAATCGATAAATGGGAAATGTCTAGAGTCTCGTGACGATATCCTCCTTCTTCCTCCCCATATTCTCCTGAATCTCAATGAGTGTCTTCCCCTTGGTCTCAGGAACGAGAAAATAAGTGAATGGTGCAACGCACAGTGCAGCCGAGGCGATCATAAAAAAAATGGCCCTCTCCCCAACGAGATCGAGAACGGGTTGGAACGCCCTGATGGCGCAGAAGGATATGAAAGCTGCGGTGCAGGTGAACGTCAAAGAGGCGATGGTTTTGAGGGTCGGAGGGAATAGCTCGCCAAGTAGAGTGTTGGGCATGGATAGCATACCACAGGGAAGAGCAAAATTGTACAAAACAAGAGCAACAATGGGTAGCCAATCGATAGCATGAGGATCAACCTGCCATGCTAGAAGATTGAAGTGAATCCCCAGCATCACCATCGAGGCACATACCCCGAAGCTCGAATAAATCAACAGAGGACGTCTTCCACACTTGTCTACGAATACCATCGCAACACCTCCAGCAATCACCATAATCACACCCAGAGCCATCACCACGATACTCGGTGCTATTCTTATGTCACTCTTCCTCACAATTATCTCGGAATACGAGCTGATGACGTTGTGACCACCGCAGTACAGGAAAAGATTGAGCATTGTCACTATTGCCATATTTTTGGCATTGTTCGGCTTGCAAAACACTTTGATCTTGTTACGAAAACTCTCACTATCGTTATTCGTGTTACCCATGAACTCCTTGAGCTCGGCTATCTCCTTGGGGGCATCGGCGTGCCTCTTGTACCAGAGTAATGAGGCTTCGGCCCTCTTTAGGTCCCCCTGGAGGACGTAGTGGTACGGGGACTCTGGTATCCATGAGAAGAATATTATGAATGCAGCTGCTAGGCTCACTGCCACGTAACCGTATTCCTCAAGGCCCAGGAACGGACCTATCGCGTTACCCAGGAGTGAACCCATCGACGATGCGTTCAGATTCAGGAATATCTGAAAATTATTCCAATAAAAAATTATAGAAAACTTCAATGAATCCATTGAGTAATTAAATCATTGCTGAAAAATTATTGTGAGAGGGAATAATCAATTGTTTAGGCGAAAAAATTATTTTATTGGGATGAAATAGGCTTACTAGGGACCCCCGAATGGATGGATCGGCTATTTCTCCCATGTACAATGACAGGGCACCCCAGATCATCCCGGAACCCATGCCGTTGCAGAATCTCGCCACATACAGGTATTCCACTGATTTAGCAAAGATCATGCACACCCAGCCGAACGTCAACGGCAAGGCACCCACTAGCATCGTTTTTTTCCGGCCTATTGTCCCTGTTTGAGAATAATTTCCAGAGATAAGATACCAGTGACCAACGAAATGTATGACAAGTGTTTACGCATAACAAAAGTCATGCAAAACTATAATTATTATCTCTCTAGCTGCATTCATGCGAATGCGTTTTATTTTCAATAAAAATTTCAATTAAATTCTCAATATTCTGGGATTCAATTTGATTCAGATACAATCATCCCGAGAAATTCAGATAGTCAGTGATATTTCAAGGTAAGAACGAGGAAAAAGTATACAAAATGCGTATTTACAATATTTATAATGAAAACTTGAAAGTGTCATTTTGTAATGCATTAAAATATAATTAATCACCCTGGCAAATAGCCCCCGCTACAGCCCCGAAGACCCTCCCAAGGCTGAGTAAAGAGGCGACCCAAGAGCCTTCATCAGGAGTGATTTTGAATGACGTATCGACATCATCGGAAGTGAGTTTAGCGAGAAAAGGTGAAGCCCAGCCATTGGCAAGACTAGCAGTCAAGACAGCCAGAGAAACTATAAATAAACAATGAAACAATAACAACTAATTGAATAAAATACATCATACATCATACAAAGTCTCCAACGAATGACTCACCAGTGAATCCAGCAAGCCACTGAGGCCAGAATGTTTTCTCGACAGCTGTCGTCATCTCACAATAAATTCACTCAATTATTTATAAAAAAAATCGTGTCTAATACCATTCCCTTGTTATGAGAGAGAATGTTCAGCGCCGACTGTGCAGTATCGACAGTTTTTCCCCAAATATACAGTAGTGTTTCTCGTTTCTCACTCGCAATCGCTCACCTATTGCCTGATAACACATGACATATATCACCAGGTCTCACAAATTTCCATAATTAAAATCAAGGTCTTCCAACGGTTTCAGATTCATCCGGCAATTTAATCACAATAAATATTTCTTCCCGCAACGATTGCCACTAGTCACACAGTTAAATCGTTGGAGACAGCCAAATGAAAAAATCCATCTGTCCCCCGAGTTTTGTTGACTGACTGCTGTTATATCCACGTGCAGCAAATGCACTTCTCCTTTAATGAGATAACTACATGCACTCATCACTTCTGAGAATGTATTCAACGCCGAATGAATTAATAGTATCATATGATTTCAGAGGTATTGATGTAACCACCAATACTCTCAAGGTTTTCCTGTTTTTATCTTCTTTCTGGGAGCAATTAATGATGAAATTTATTCGATCACTATTTTTTCCGGTTATCGTTCGCGGGAAATTATCAATGAGGGAATTGCGAGAGTCGTTTTCATTCTAATCGGATTTGTGATGACACGTGAGGGGTTCGTGTCTTTGCCGAGATTATTGGGAGCTAGGTTTCCTGAGACATGCCATTCAGAGAATAATAAGTCATGAGATGAATTCAATTCGCATCTCCAAACGATGTCTTTGAATTCAGTGATAAAGATCAATAAGTTGCTTTCTGAAATTTTGTGGAGTGCCTCTCATATCGAAATTCTTTTTTCCAACGATAGTCTCCCTTATCAATAGAGAATTTAAATAAATTTCTACTTCTGCTACCCATTTTCAACTTCTAGGAATAGTGATTAGCGAATGAGCTACGGTGACGTGTGCACGCGGAAATTCGTCGGGTAATTCGCGTCAAGGAAAAATTAATACCCGGGGATTGACGGTGGAACAGCTGCAAACTAGGAAAAATATCATAATTTTCCTCATGGTGATTTCCTCCAGTGGAATCCCCCGATCATTGATTTCCAAGTCACCGAAGAATTACACAACCAGCACATGAAAATAAAAAGATACAACCCCCGACCTGAAGATTCTCTCATAAAGAGTTTAATTATCTCGCCCAACCATCGACGAACAAAAAAAAAAGACTTTTTCATAAAAGTTCCAGAGGGATAATGAGCCGAGGCAAATGAGAATTAGTCCCCAGTAATTTTCATTTAATAAGCCCTGAGACTTCCCCTCCATGCAAATTAATACGTTGAAAATGCCCCCTCCCCTCGTGCACATAGTCATATAAAATTATGCAATTGTATGCATAATCCGCGTAATAAGTGTCGGATAAATAGGAAAAGTCTATGAGAACTGAAATTAGAAATTCTAATCCCCCGGAAAAATGATGGATGATGGTAAATCCTGATGTTTGTAATGCCCTCGACATAAAGAAAACTTTAAATACGAGTGTTGTGCCTCGTGCTGGTGCCCGACCTAAACCCGAAGGGTATTTCATCCCTTGCGCACTAGTTCGCACCCCCTCCAGCCCCTTGGGCTTTTCCACATAGAAAAGCTGGAGATGCGGGTGGTAATGGAGATGGGGGTGCAAGAGAGAACGTGAAAAACTGAAAGAACACTGACGCCAAGGGGCGGAAGGGTGGAAGGGGTGAAGTGGGGGTTGACACGGGGAAGGGGGTTGACGCGGAGGAAGGGGTTGACGCGGGTGAGAAGGGGGAGCAATTCGTTGAATTTTCGTGTGACCTCGTGCATCTTCGTGGACTGATTGTGAATAGTTCCATGCATTGTGGAGGGGTTGGACTTAGTCGTGTTGGCGCAGCCGCCGAGTTGGATTCAACATTAAAGTGTACGTGGGGTATTTCACCGATATTTCCCCCCAGCAACTGCACAATATTCCATTATAAAAAATATCCAAATAACCCGACAAATGACGGACAATGAGGTAGCAACCTGGTGATTATCGTGCGCGAAGTTGACTCGATTCGTGGACTCATTAAATCAAATGTTAAATTCAAGAAAAATGGAAAGTAGCACAAAGGTCGCGATATTGACGCAAGGCGCGAACCCCATAGACGTGTGTGGCCATGAGGGCTTGACAGTTGTGCTCCAGAGACAGATGTCGCCTCCAACATCACGGTCCACCCTATCTTACTAATGCTTATCCCCGAGTTGTCAACGAGTTTGTTGTTTCCATAGAGGAGTTCGCTGGACAGTTGGTGGGACATCCCGGTGCTATTCGGTTGTGATTAATTTGTGATTAATCGGTGATTAACTGGTTGGGAGGATTGAGGGGTTTGGTGGAGGTGGGTTGTAATCGGAATTTTGAGTTTATGGTGACCCCCATTTAGGGGATGATAGCAATGTCTCCGGGAGTTGTTGTTTTTGTCCCGCGGATTGAGGGGAGTTTTTGGATTTTCATCGGTGTCACTGGGTGGTGATCGTTGATGAGTTGATGATGATCAGTGGAATGAGTTGTCATGAGGCGATCGTTGGATGGGCAATCGTCGGATGTGAACAACTAGTTTTGGCAATTGCTGGACCCACACCAATCCAGTGATACGAAATACGGGAGTGTCGGCCACCATTTTGACTGCGCTGAGGTTATTCTCTACTACTTTGATCAACTCTCGTATCACTCGTCAATTCGGATATCGAAGAAATTGTTGTATTTATTTTTTTTCTTCGTTATCTGTCTATCGGGAATTAATTGGCATTTTTTGTGATACTGTAATCGCGTCGTGACTTATCGTTGGTTATCGCTGGATGATGGTAAGGCCCTCGCATTATCTCGAAAATTCGTTGGCGTTTTTTGTTTTGACATTTTTAGGGGATGCTGAGGATGTGGGGTCGCGAGGGGTTAGGGGTGACGATTTGTCACTGTTGTGCCGTTTTAATAACGACTCAGCGCTGAATCGAGGGGAATTCCTTTGGATCACTCATCAATCCCAGTTATGCCAATTAATCCTATGAATTCACCTTCGAAATTGGATATCGGTGGGGATTGCCGTGGGAATCCGAGAAATGCCAGTGGTATGTGGAAACTTCGGAGAACTTGGTGATGTCGGCCAATCATCCCCACGCATCAAACCGTTAAATAACTCAAATAAATTCGGGTGATAAACAACATTAGGATAACAGAGGCTGGCAAAATGTGGACGAGTGTATTGATTTTCTGAAGATTCGGAAAGGTCTCTTCGTTACTCGTGCGCGCGTGTGTACTAGTGTTGGTTGTACCAGTAATGTGATCTTCATATCGTTATTGAGAGATCAATTTTAAACAGAATTTATTGTTATTTACCGTCTGCCTCGAGTTTGTGCCAAATCGGTGACCCGGGGGTTCGAGGAATATTTGAGAAATATTTGAGAAATATTTGAGAAATATTTGAGAAATATTCGAGAAGTATTCGAGAAATATTGGATAAATATTAGAGAAATATTGGATAAATATTGGAGAAATATTGGAGAAATATTGGAGAAATATTGGATAAATATTGGAGAAATATTGAAGAGATAAATCAGTGAAGTATCAGGATGTGAAGTGAAATGTGTCAATGGATAAATGAGTACTTAACGAGTTTCTCTGTTGATCAGCGATATTGTCGGTGTGATGGAGACCAAGTGACACTTGAGATCGCACTGGCTCATTTGGATTAATGACGGGAACAAAGTTTTTCATTTCGTTGACAGTTTTTCCGGCTGTCTTCTCCGGCAAATCCTGTGACAGATTGATGTGAGGATTATAACGCGGCTTGTTGTCATCGGTGTTACACGTAAGTTATTCATCAATTACACATCAATTATTATTAATTACGAGGGCCAATTGGGGGAACGGTTTATTAGAATTTTTGTGGAGTACACTAATGCTGCTGTGTGGTTGTTTTATTTTTGAAGAGTCGACGTAAAAATTGAGATCATGCCAAATCATTGAGCATCGAGTGCTGGCCACTGGCCAATGCATATGCACAAGTTTTTCGTGCATGTCGTTGTTCAAAGTTGTACATCGATAAATACAACATCCGTGGAAAATCGTTGCCACCAATTTCACGGGATTTTTAACCCTCGGTGCGTCATACAGCGGTAACGAAGTTATTGCGGATGTAAATTGAAAGTTTTTTTCGGCGAGAAAACTCGCGGGATGCGGTGGGGGGTGGGTGGGGGGTGAGGGGAGTAAATCGCGCGTTGAAAAAACTATCGGAAAACACGTTTCGAGGGGTCGAGAGTGATTGGCCCGACTTCACCGTCAATCCAATTGTTTCTGGTTTTTCTCGTATCCGGAAATTTTTCTACTCGAGGGATTATTAAATCTTCTTGCTAGCAATTAAATAATTTTTTTTTTTTGAGGGGTTTCGTTGGGTCTTGGTGATCCAGTTATTTGAGGTATTCCTCCCTTTTTATTGACGAATTTATTTTCATCCGGAATAAAACAGTAACCCATGGATTTTCACGACTTCCCATTATTTTTATTATTTTTTTACGCAGCTGTAAAAAATAGAATTGAATTGAGGGTTCGATGTCGGTGCCTTCGTCTTATAATTTTTCACCATTTATTATTATAAGGGATCTCGCGAATTTTTTTTTCCGTATAAATTCACCAAAAATTTTTAAAACATTAAAAAATTCATTGAATTATCATAAAATCTGGAATTAACGATCTGAACTGAATTATTTCGTATTGGGACATACGCCGGGTTCATTCCGTGCAGATTGACTTGATTTATATTAATTGAAATAATTTTTTTCCACCGGTTAAACAAATCTAATTTAAATCCATTAATCTCTCCCGATGACAGGACTACCTGCGCCAAAAACAATTGGATTGATTCAATTTCCGGAAATCTCCCGAGGTATTTACATCGATCGGTCGAGTCCATACCAGTGTAAATCCATCTTCAGATTGAAATACCCTTCACCCATTCGATTCATTACGATATCATTCCTTCGAATAGCATCACTCTCCCGTTTTTCCCCCCTGGTTATGATTTATCCCACTGCATCGTATTCAATTTCCCTGGAGTTAGCATGACGAATGTCCAATTGCCAATCCCTTCTAAAATTCTCCAAGATCTCTCATCTCCACCCCCAGAAAAAAAAACTGTATGAGATTTCCCCATAAAAATCAAAAATCAAAATCCCTCAAAAAATTACGAAGCATCCGGCAAAAATTGCCGCATACCAAGGGACCAATTCCGCAATTATTCCCAGATTTTTTTCTCATCGCAGAGACCGACGATATCAGATAGGACGTGTCTCACAATCGAGATGATAAAGAGCTTTCTCGAATAGATTTGTTTACCCCACGGGCAGATGAAAACGAGGGTAAATACCCCGAGATGAAAGATACAGAATGTGCACAGAGATTTGACCTATCAATACGAGCTTTTGTCGGTGAATTAAAAATCAATAGAGCTGTATCGTTTGGATAGGCCTCGTCTATAATAGACTTCAGTCGTTATGTACCATCAATTTCAATTGATTGTTGGATTTTTTCCGATGGCTACGGGATTACGGATTCTTTGTGCTTGTCAGGTGGAAAAAGGGGTGCAGGGGGAGGAAGAGGAGGAAGAGGAGGAAGAGGAGGAAGAGGAGGAAGGGGATGGAAGGGGTTGGAAGGGGTTGGAAGGGAATGGAAGGGGGTGGAAGGGGGTGGAAGGGGGTGAAAGGGGGTGGAAGGGGATGGAAGAGGATGGAAGGGGAAGGGGGTTAAAATTCACCTCGAAATATTGGCTAGTTTGATGGCCACTGGAGGAGTGCTTTTGACAGGTCGGTGAAGGCCCACAGCTTTATATCGAACCAGTTGTGCTGGTGATTCCCACAAATTTGAGGTTCCAGTGATGACAATGTCTCTGCTCTCGGCATAAACTCGTATGGAATTATCAGTTTATGGGTACATGCTTTATTGACTACTTGATTAAGTCAAATTGAATGCCGGGGAAATTGTTTCGTCGACCTCTCAATTCTGGTATTTTATGTTCCGGGTTAATTGGTGAAAATGAAGGTTTTGTTTAATTAATGAATTTTGGTGATACTTTGGCAAGTTGCTGGGGAGTTCTCGGTTACATAGATCTTCACACTCGAGCGTTAAAGTTAGGGCTATAGGAAATTGACGGAATCGCATGTGGGTCTTGGAAAATGAAGGGATTCGACTCTGGAGTCACGGTTTCTGGGCTGAGGGTCAGGGGAACATCCGATTGAGAATGTTTTTGGTGCTCGTAAACCCGTGCACCGGGGGTTACTCGGGGATTATTTCAGGGGATGTTTCCGTGGGGTTAAAAATCGATAGAACAATTTAGAGGTTTCATGAAAAATTCACGTTCTATTCTCAGGATACTATACAAATTTTATTGGAATTCCAGAGAATTCAGGTTTTTAATAAAATGTCAATACATTCCTCTGAAGGAATTTTTTGGAATAAATTGACTAATATAAATTCCACATTTCCTCCCTCCAAATTTTTCAATATAGACTGAAAAAATATGAGGGAATACTCTCTCAATAATTATACAAAAGGTAAATAATAATAATAATTGTAATGATAAAAAACGAGTAGAATGAACGCAGAAAAAATGAATAAAATCAGCGCGTCCTGGGGTTAATTGTGAGATGAGGCAAAATAATCCATGAATTACTTTCTGGATGACAGAGTTTTCTCTCATGGAGTTCTCCATGGCGATGACGTCCAGGCCCAACGATATGAGCCGTGAAATGTAGGTTGACAAAGTATACCGAATCGATACGGCTCCAGTCTAACACTTCACCGTTGAAGAATAGCTTCAAAGACTAGTTTGAACTTTTGAAATATCACTTAAGTAATTAACCAAAGTGGAACGAGAAGAGAAAGAAATATTCTCAGGACAAAACCCGAAGTGGTGAAACTATGGCGAGTCATGAATTATCATCAGGAAAAAAAGGACAAGTCAAACAATTTAATACCAATTCCTTCTCCCAAGAAAATTTGATATTCAAATAAAATTAATAATAATTTATAATAACCATCAATAATTAATAATAACCAGTGATTTATCCAAGGACAAATGCCAAAAATCAATCTCTAAAGCCATAGGATAATTATTATCAAGATCGAAATGGAAAATTACGTTTTTCTCTCAAGTAAATGAACCCATGAGAGGAATAATTATTTTTCCTCAGTGCAACCGCTGGTACTCCAATCCCTCCAATCAATCCCTCAAAATCAATTGACATCTGATACATCAACTCGATGAACTCAATATTGCCCGGAGGAAATCTTATAAAATCCCGCCACAATGCTGGATTACATGAGCTACTCAAAGTCTTGACTGAAAAGTGGAGAATCGTGTCTCAGATAACCATCCGGGTCCAGCGAACGTTGAAGATACTGGAGAAGATTTAGGGTCAGTCGTCAGAGCCTACGAACACTGAAAATCACTTCCACCCGTATTTCTCATTTCAAAAAATAAATAAATAAATAAACATTCCGCATCGGCTGAGTTCTTCTCCCCCGAAGAAAACCGATTAATAAAAAAATGCCCGGAATAAAATATCTCCACGCAGAAAGTATAATTGGGGAGACTTCTGGACAATTGAGCACGGGACAATTATCCTTGGCGGTGGACGTTAAATCTCTTGAAAAAATAAATAAATAAGGGGGAATATCGTGGCTTTGGTCGTACAGTCACGGTTTACTGGGAATGGAGAGCTAGCGATAGGCACGATTCACTGGCACTAGTAAAACCGATGCACCACATTCCCCGTTGTGAGGGTTAAATCTGGGGTGACAAGGGGGTAAAGAGGGCATTCAATTGTGAATTCACGGCTTGTGCTCTCCCCTGCATTTTGCTGATAGGACATTAGGGTATTACAACCCTATCCAGGTTTCGATCAATCCGCCAATTCTCGACACCACCTGACGGCCATACCCAGACCTCATCACGTTTTTATCCCGAATATTTTTCTCATTTGCCCTCATTGCATCTCAGGACTCTCCTCAAAAATTGAGACATCAGTAAACAACTTCAATGCAATGATTCGTCAATTTAATTGAACAATGAGATTAATAACGAGAAATGCTCCTTTCACTTTTATTGAATGGGAAATAATTTCCGTTGTCGTTACACTCTTCTTTCTGATCAGGGGAAATATTATTCGCGAGAGAATTGGCTCAACTGATCTCATGATCTGCGACTGTCGGCCCGGTTTACAACGGGTACACGAGAAAGTATTGGATTATTCTTCTCAATGTCGAAGACATTCTGAGGCTCTCGGGTCGAGTCTTATCTATGCTAAATCCGGATTTAGCAATCGAGTGTTTCACAATCCGCGAGATTATCCTACTTTCTATGAGAGAAAAAAATCATCCGTTCTTACGTGTACGTATCTGCAATCTCCATTGGTTTTCGTTTGCATTCCAGACCACTGAGAATTCTCAGGGAATTCCGTACCGGATGGCACCTGAAAATTGCTCTCGATTTTATATTTATTTGTGTAATACCATTTCACTGACTGCAATTTTCTTTTGAAATTTCTTTCATTAAGATAAAAAAAAATTGTCAAACATCAGAATTTCTTCGACAATTCGCGATTTTTTGTATTAAAATTTATTTATATTAATTGATAACTCGGAATAATTAATGAGCTCACTTTTTAATTATCACGAGATTTCCGAATATACCAATTAAATAGGGAAATATATGGGGTGAGTTTCATTGAAAGCTGGGGATTAAAAAATTGTTTTTCTTCACACGTTTATTTATTCTTCGGAATACATGCCACAGTAGTGATAGCCTGATCACGCATTCCCTAACGAGATTCCGACTTTCATGCAAGCCCAATTATCTTGTCCATCAAAATGGAGCGGGAGTTAACCAGATATATCGATCCCTCAAAGAAAAATATAAGGGATTTCCCTGTAGCGTGCCAGGTCGAGGCTAGAGTGAAATCGATAAAATAAAAAATAACCGATGTGCAAACATCTGCGAGTAATTACAATTCCCATCGCAATGCGTGGACTAATTAATTGACGGATTGATTGATTAGTTGATCGATTGATTAGTTGATCGATTGTTGTTTCAGGAATCTTGTTATGCGTAAATCCGAGGTAAACGACACGGGGAAGATTCACTCTGGGATTCTGGAGGGATGTGATTCCAAGGAGGGATTGGCATCTGGCGGGACACGTGCTGATAGTGAGGTGCTGACCGATAACAAAGTAAAGGACGTGAGGTACGTCGAGATTGGGGTAATTTCGAGGTACGAAGGTCGGTGAGCACCGAGACGGGGCGAACCACCCCGTTGTCTCGGTCAACAATTAACAAATTTTTCGTCTACCAACGTCGAACAACCGCAGAACAGGTAATGATAATTACATAACTGATTAAATCCTGATAATAATAACCACAGAAAATTAAAATTATCAACATTAATGCCGTACAATAAATTACCGTACGTATAATAAATTTTAATTCATGTCTAGACCCGCGACATCAAAATCCAATCAAAATTAAATTTTTTTATTATTCCCAGAATTCTTATCTTTATTATTTATTTTTATCAAGCAAGTGACAACAATTGTCCTGCAATTTTGGATAATCATTATTTTTTTAAAATGTATTTCCATTTTTTTTTAATGCATAGCAATACACTTTACAATTTCTTATGCATGATTTATTTATGCAGTACGCGGAAGACTGCATCATGAATAGTTTTCTGTCTGTACATGGAAAGAAATATTCCATAAAAGTTACGGAAGATGTCACGTAATCCGAGATGGGGAATCGTTTTCCGGCAATTTTAGTGGAATTGAAAATGGCGGAAACCAATATATTCAGACAATTCTCATGTTCCACCCGACAAAGTGCGAAATATTATTTTTAATAATTCATAAATAAAAATCGTAAATTCCCCAGTTATCAATAATAATATAAAATATTAATCAATAATCGTTAATAATTGCATAATTAATAATAATAGCTGCAAATAATTTTTTTATTAACACTCAACATTAATAAATGAAATAATAATTTTTTTTATCCGAATTGAAGTGGAATTATTATTATTATTTCTATAAAATGATTCTCAATTATTTTTGTATAGAGTTTTGTCTAGGGATTTTAATCCCCTAGAATTTAAATTCAATGGGAATTATTTGGGTCATACCGGGGCGTCTAGGTGCTGTGCACATGGGGTCTGGGTGGAAATTTATGAAATTAATTTCCTCGGTACATCACCTTTATTTAATGGTGGTGACCGGCACCCGACCTCCTGAAGCATTTAATTTTTCAGAAATGGATTACTCAACTGTTGAAACTAAAATTAATTAAACAACTCATTACTCTCATCAGTATCCTAAAAAAAATTAAACAAACAACAAATGAATATAAAATAATCATCTCTCGTGACTAGGTGCATTGAGGAATTGAAAAACATTTTTTACTTCAACTCCAAAATGAATTAATTATTGCCAACAAATTTATTCCATTCAATATTTAATTCTCATTGATTCAATTTAATTTCACAAATACGGAATCATCCTCGCAGATGAATAATTCCGTAAATCATTTAAAAGTCAAACCAAGTACCTAGAAGATGAGAAAATGATGGGATCAGGATAAATTTTACTCCCTCGATCTGGAGTTATTGACGATTGAAAAACTTCTATTTCACGTCGATGGTCCGCAGTGAACACTTTCCAGGTTTCCCATTATTCCGACAGTAAAATAAAAAAATCCCACCAATTCCGCTATTGTGGGGAACGCCATAAAAGGAAGTAAAATTCACCATAAGCAAGATGGCGACAGGATAAAATGTAGCCGACGAAGGTAGTGCTGGATCCGAAAGTTTCACCGGATTCCTCCTTCCCCTTGGCATTCACCATTACTCGAAATTCCCACATATAGAGTTCCACATGAGGTTTGTAACTCCGAGGAAGCATATTTGGGTCAAATTAATTTGCTTGAACCCCTGAAAATACTGCCAAGGTAGTTTCACTCGTCCCTTTTCAAGCTTTGCCCTATAAATCTCAACTGTTGTTTTTCCGTGCGTTAATCTACAAAATGTCTCCGCTAATTTCTCTCCACAATTCATTCAATCGACGAGAACTATTTATAATAGTTAAAATCAAGTTGTCCATGCAATAGCAGCACTCGACAATTGCCAATCCATTGGCTGCAAATCAATGACAATTATCAGATCGCAGGCTACTGAACCTTGACTACCCCATAATTAATGACATTCATCCATTCACCGTCTGTCATCGATTAATTCTCCCCAGATGACAATTGACCCGGCGCTTCTCCGAGTGCAGAATTCCTTACTCAAAACGAATTTCCTCATGATTGCCAGTGATTCCCCTGAACTTTCAATTCAATTCTATACCTGCAGCTTCAATTAATACACACGAATAAACCCGACGAACAATGACTTTATCATTAAAATAAATGATTCACTCGGTGGACGATGCCACCATGCCCCGATAAATAATCTGAATCCCGAGTATTGACTTCCTATAACTTCCCATAACTTCCCATAAATTCCCATAACTCCCAATAACTTTCCATCACCTCGTAACTCCTCTGAAGGTACCTAGAGTCCTCCACAAAATCTTGCACTCCTCTGCTGTTCTCCTCAACCCAATATAAAATGAACCTTGCAAAATTGAGAAGCCCAACGACTACCGAGAAATTTACACCCCCTCTCAACGATTTGAAATACAATTGCAGTGAAAAGCTCCAAGCGAATCCATTGTAAACAACCATTTGTCAGTTTGAGAGCAAGCGGTAGCCCAGTAGTTGGCCATATCTTCCACTCTCCCTATGGCTTTTCTCACCATTTTAAAAAATCGTTGCCCTAGTTCATCGGCTTGTACTCCATTCGCAGATTTCAAACAATGCCAAAGGGTATTCTGATCCCCCAGTGACTTCCTGCATCCTTCCGTTGATCAATTCCCCTTTATCCTTCTCTCTTTCCTCTCGCCTTTGTGTCATTTCCGATCACAATCATTGTAAATTCTCTCTTACCCATGAGTTGCCATCGTTGCTATCGTTGCTATCGTTGCCATCGTTGCTATCGTTGCCATGTAGAAGCTTCTTTCCGGTGAGTATACAACAGGAACCAGACAAGAACCTGGGAATCGCGAATTTTTCACCGTCCGTGTTTCTACGGGAAATATTTCTTTTCATTTGTTTCTCCATTGAGATTTTCTCGGTATATTTTTTTCTCTTAATACTTGCTATTTCGCTGTAAGAATAAGGGTTAGTCACGTTTTTGGGTCATGCTACGTGACTCGAGGGGTGTCCGAATGCTGGTGCTCGATAACTCTCCTCTGAATTCTCCTTCTTCGAGAATTTTCTCTCGTGGTAGACGTGGCACGTACATCGATTAGTGTACCTCTACCCCTTGCACAACCCTTCCAATGGTTTATTCCAACTACCCCTCCCATCCCTTTTGTTTCAAACAGTCAAATTACTCTTGTAAAAAAAGAAATGAGATTTCTGTTTCACTCGATAAACTCCGGACTCTCGCTTTCGTCGTCTCCTGTATTTTTCATTTAACTCCACGATCAATTCGCTGAATACAATTTTAATCTCTGAATTAACGAAATAACTCGACGAATGTATTCCCCTTGGTTTATTCGCTCATTAATTTTTATCACCGGGGGATTCGGTAGCTGTGTGAAGCTTTTCTCAAATGGCAAGAGATTTTTTATTTTTGCCATTTTTTAAATTCCACTCAGCCAGAGGAAGTTGGAGATGAGTTGCGCTCGTTGTCGGAAGTTAAATTAAACCGCAATCGTTGTATTTATTCGGTAAAAATGGATGCTCATGTGAGGAGGAGTTTGGATGATGGTAAAATATTCTGGGGTCTGCACAGCCGCCAAATTTCCGACAATGCAGCTTCCGGATTTGCTGTTATCCTCAGGTAATTTGGTTGTACAGAGCTTATGACGATGTAACCAGGAAACCATACGGGTTTAGTGCTGCCATTTATTTGTACTTTAGTGAATTGAAATCTGCCCATTGCTGGTATTTTTTTTTTCTCACCACTCGGTGGGGATTTATCCACGGGTCTGGAAGTATAAATAATGTCATCATGAAATATTAAAACATTTCGGTACTTTCTTATTGATCTTATTCGTACGTGGAATAGCCAGAGGGTTCGAATTTATTTCTCACTGGTGGAAGATTGATGTATTGGGTTGAGTCATCGAATTCTTCATTGCTCAAGGTATCATCTACAGGACCGGCGATATTTTCCTCACCGTTGGATTCTATTAGTGGAATAGTCCTCTGGGTTTTGTTGGCGGTTTCTTTAGCCGAGGAGTTGTGGATGGGATTTGCGGAATCTGCAGAATGTACAGTGGATTATTATTTTTTTCCTTTTGCCTGATCCCGAGAATATTTATACGGTACGTCGTGGACGCTGATAAACATCACTCGAGATTCCCTGGGAGATTTCTAGGAATTTATTTGGGTGATGGGATATTTTTACGAGACTACGGTTTTGGTTTGTCGAAATCCTTCATTCTTGGAGCAATTTATTAGTTTTATAATTAATTAGGATATTAATATTTTGAGACGTGTATTAATGACTGGATTCAAGAAAATTTTTGTGAATAAAATTGATAAAGTCTGCGAATGCCCAGAAATTATTGATATTCACCGGAAGTAAAATGGCGAGAGTCGGCAAAAACTTTGTTAAATATATTGGAAGGACTGAGAGAGCTGAGATCAGCGCCATCGAGATCAGACATAAGAAGAACTTCCGCAAGGATTTCTGGTTCCGGTCTGGTCACCGTGCTATCAGGCACAGAATTTTCCGATGTTGTTTTTATCTTTTTCAGTAGATGAGAGAATTGCGTCCTAAGGGTATTTCTCCGATGTTTATTCGCACACTCGCGCCCTGAAATTCCCAGTGATAATCCGATTTTTATCTCCAGTTCGTGGAGGAAAAAAAGAAAAGCCAGTTGAGAAAATAAAATGAGGAAGGAATTACTTCTTTTTCGCTGGGTCTGATAACGATGATGCCAGGGCTAGGAAGAGCGACAACTTTTATATTGGTTTTTTAGATGCTATAACTTGAAAATTCATGGGGACATTCCACCGTTAGTTATAATGAAGTCCGAGAAAGACATTCTTACTTTTTCCAGCGATTCCACTTGGCCCTCAATATCCCCATCATTCCCATCATTTTCATCATCTTCATCATTTCCATCATTTCCATCATTTCCATCATTTCCATCATTTCCATCATTTCCATCATTTCCATCATTTCCATAATTTTCATCATTTCCATCATTTCCATCATTTCCATAATTTCCATAATTTCCATAATTTCCATAATTTCCATCATTTCGATGATTCCCATCATTTCCATCGTCCTCACTCCTCTCCAGGTGATCATTACAATTCTTCACCTTTTGCACATCCCAGGAGCAGCCGCAGGTGTCACGTGTCACCAATCCATGACTGTTCCCTCAAATTGAAAAATAAATGATCAAAAAAAAAATCATCACCAGCCCGTCCCAGTACTAATGACCTCCTAGTATTGAATAAACCGCTAATTGCCAACTACCCCATAAATTCCCTAAGAATTTCTCAACGATTTGACAACTCACGAAGACGTCGGAGCATAACAACATTTTTCCACTGGAGAATCTTGCCAGTACGAGGACCTCACCCTCGAGCTTTCTCCCCTGCAAGTGGGTCGAGATTTTGGTTTCAGAGAGACACAATTGTATCTCACCCCCAACTCCCTCATTCGCTCCTTCATCTTTCCCCGGTAACTAGAAATTTTTACCCCAAAAATTAACAAACAACTTTGCTTTCAGTCAAAAACTCCTCACTCATTTGTTTCAACTCCCTAATTGCAGGCACCTTCCCTCCGAAGACGTAAAGTTTTAAAAAAAAAAAAGAAAGAAGATAAAAAAAGAACGTACAACTCCACCCCAAAGTACTTTCCGGATTAATTCAATCCATTAACATACATTCCCCAATCCCTGATGAACTATTCCATTAGCTCGGGGTTATACTTCTGCAAAATCCGACTGCATAATTGATAGTAACAAATACATATTCATCTGATGCTTACGATTAAAGGTATGCCTTTGAAAAGAGTTGGCTTGCCATCCGACAAACGTAAAAGCCCCTCAGACATTTCCATGTAATTATACCACCCAATTAACGAGAATTCCCTGATTTTCGTGATAAAAATTCCATCCATCACCCGATGTGATTACAATAATTCCAATAATCGTGTAATTCTAGACAGATGCACTACGTGGACGGCAATCGCAATATTCCCCGGTATTAATTAGCAACGATTAATTTCGACGTATTCATGCATCTGACAGGCATCACGTATTCCTGGGCTCTCGGTGCACTTGTGAGTCGTCACCGATGAATTCTCCTGCAGGTGGTGGTTATTTATTGGCTCCAGAATATCGTAGTTTCTCTAATCTAATCGTGTTATACGTTTCTGGCATATGGAATAATAAAAACAACCGGTTGAGAGATAGGGAGAAATAAAAAATGGCGATATCGTTTTCAACCTGTGATAACCGGGTTGTCAGGGGCTTATGTTTGGCATTGGAGTACAGGGCTGTTTGTATTCTGGGGTCAGTTGCGTAAGTCGCACTGTGCAAACAATTGTTCACGCCCCTAAAGTCTCTTAATTAACTGGCGGTAATTAACAAACGTGCACAAGAGCCACAAAGCTGTTGGATGTACAAGTTACGCGGTAACTTTGAGCTCGAGGTTTCGTTCTTCAACTTTCCTGGGGTTTCTTCTTGTTTCAATGGGATACGAACTGAATTCTCATTTACATCATTTTGCTGAATAAAATTAACTGATTCCCGTTGGATAATTTATTTATCCCAGATATATCAATGGTCCAATACAAAGATAAATAAAATAATGCATAATTTAATGTCTTGTATTGATTCTCCAGTTTTTTTTTTCAAACAATTATTATTACAATTATTTGTTTAAGAAATATTTTTGAATAAAAATTTTGGTAAACAAAGTGAGCGTTAAAGAATATATTTTCATGTCGCAGATGTCCTGACAGTGGGCCGCAGGCCACCAGAATGCCGACAGACGACGACTATGGCCGAAGAGAACCTCTCCTGTTGCATCAGCACTCTACCTCACAATTTGGCGGAACCCCGTTGTACCCAGGATCAGGAAGTACAACCGGTGCATCAAATTCCCCGAGTGTTACAATTGCACAAAGTAGTATCAGCAATAGCAGTGCTGACATTGGAATTTTATCAAGCTGTTATCACAAACAGCAAGAGCCACGAATTCATTCCTCTGTTTGTGGTAATCACAATTACGATTCAAAATGTACAATTATCAGTAGCAGCAGTATCAGTAATGAGAGACAAGTACCGAGTGAGCCAGTTGGCTCTCTCAAGATGGATTACGATAAATCAGATTCACAGAAACTCGAGGAAATATCGAGAGGTGTGTCATCGTGCTGCGACAGATACACACATCAGGATCGCTACAGTCAATCCCTGTCGACGTCATCCCCCAGTAATCATCATCAGTACACAGGACTGCAGGGATTGCAGGGATTGCAGGGATTGCAGGGACTGCAGGGACTGCCGGTACACCAGAGCGACAGATACGTTTTGCAGAACGATCAGAGAATACCCACCTCGAGTGATCGTTATCAAAACGAAATTACACCGTCATCCAATGCAAAGAGTACAGCAACGGGTGATTATGCTAACGCCGGTGTACTCTCCCTATCAACACCGAGTAAATTGTTCTCACCGGAGAGCTTTCCCTCACCCCCATCACCCGCTCCCGCCAATGATCGTTTTATACCACCACCACCTCTATCCCCAAATCCCAATGAGAAATACGCATCAACTCAAAGTCTCTCTAATTATCCCCCTAATGACTGTACAGTACCGAGCTCACCGACACCTAGAGATCGATACGGTACAGCACCAGCCTCACCAATGCTCAAGGACAGATTCTCATCGTCAGACAGACTACTCGTGTCCTCGAGTAGCTCAGGATGCCACGATAATAGAGATCAACGATTCAGCACATCGAGTGAGCGTCTACTATCGACTGGCTCACCAGTACAAATATCCCACCGCGACAGCCACTTCCAGGGCCAGCAAATCAAGGATCCCAACAGATACACCATCTCCACGGAGAAACTTGTGTCATCATCACCGGTGCACGCACCAGTTCCTGAGCGTTTTGCTGGTAAATCCAATGAGAGATTTGTCGATTCACCGATGCATGATCGGTATCAGAGGCAGGAGCGATCGGAGAAGGATTTGTCTGGTATTCACGACAAGTACTCAACCCTCACCACTTGCGAGAGGTACCTGTCGAGCTCACCGAATCCCGAGGGTGCCCACCAGAGGTACGCCTCCACGGAGAGGATTCTCGGTGAGTCCCAACAATCGAGAAGATACTCATCAGACAGAACCGACAGAACCGACAGAACTGACTGTCATAAATACTCGAACGAGCGATGTTCAAATACTAGCTCACCGACACCGGTATCCACTGAGTACTGCAGATACTCGGGCTTTCAGGATGTACCGAGCCAGTCACGTTACTCACTCGAGCGTTTCAACGATCTCGCCCTCCAGAGATACACACAGTCCTCACGTACCAATGACAGATTCAACGAGCGCGCTTATCTCTCGAGCTCATCACCATCCACCCACGACGGTAGACTCATATCAGAGCCAAGATATCCAACAGCCTCCACTGAGCGACTCCTCGTATCCTCTTCCCCATCGTCATCCGAGAACAGCCGATACCTGTACTCAACCTCGTGCACAACATCCGAGCGTTTTATACAATCGCCAACTCCCGACGCAATTCGCTATCAAACTATTCAGAATCAAAATTCCAAAAATGATAAGTTCATTCAGGTATCGAAATCTGTGTCGAGTTATGATCGATATCAGCTCACTAATCCTGAGCATTATAATCAGGATCGTTTTGTCGATCGATACAATTCAAGTACAATCGACAGGTGCCAAAAGAACGAACGATATCATGGCAATATCGAGCGTTATTCTCCGATCCGGAGTATCGGTGACAAGTACCTGTCACTTCCAAAACCGAAGGACATATTTTCGGGGAGAATAGCCACGTGCTCTCCGGTCAACACTGGCAATGATCCACGATATGGTAATGCCACGGGTGTCGGTTACGTGCCACCACATGCTCACACCCCAGTGGAGAGATACGTACCCCAACCACCACCTGAGGTACTCTACCCCGAGAGATACGTGGACAGGTACATATCAGCTGTTCACACACCAACCGATCGTTATGTGCCAGCTGCTGATCCTGGGGATCCGTACATGCGTCGAGATCTTGGATTTCATCATCACTATCGGCTACCACCACCTGGATATCCCTATCATCAGGGAAATTATCGATTTCGCGGATTCGCGTATCCCTCGCCTGGGAGGATATCGGGGAGTCCTGGCTCCAGCAGCTCCAGCAGCTCCACTTCAGCTCAGAGAGAATTCTCCACGTCGCCTCTGCTGAGGCCCAAGGTCAGGGGGTCTACCATCGACTTCACCAGGAATGGTCACACCTGCTGCGGGGAAACCGGACAGAAGAGTTGTTGTCAGGTCAGGCGGTCTCTACCACCAGCTCTACCCTCCATTCCTGCTAGTCAGACCGCACATTCACCCTGGTGATTATTTTATCTATTTTTCTAAAAAAACACCTGCAATCTTCCTGAATATTGAAATTGAAATTGCAGTTTTCCCCCAGAAAAATTTCGATCCTCATTATAAAATATCTATTGAGAAATCGTTAAAAAAAAATTCCCCATTACGTTGATAATATATAATAGAATAAATGATAAATTGTCCAATTTTATTGCTCGTTCATTAGTATCAGTTAATCATCAACTCTCCACGGTTTCAAGTGATTTATGATGTGTTCCTAACGGTTCGTGATGAATGCACTTGTGAAACCATTTACCGGTGTTGTACAGATAATTTAAGCCCGATATTTATGCACTGGTAGCGGACAAAGTTGAATTCAAGCGGTTAACTTAGCATACAAAAGACTGCACCACCAACTTCGGTACTTTATTCTCCGTTCGAAAGAGCTGTTATACGTGTGCTGATGATATTTTTACCGTCCAATCGAACAACAGTATTAATTAATTTTCATTGGAACATCGTACGAATTGGTATTGTAAAATGAGTACTCCGTATTCTGACATTAACAGAGAACACAGAGCCGATAAAAATCTGCACCGATAGCAGAAATAGATGGGAATAACATTCGGAATAAAATATTGAGACGTAACTTTATCCGAATGTCCCTGGTAAAAAAGCCCGAAGGACACGAGCACTTGGTGAATTTTATTTTTTTTACCTCCAGGTCATTGACCCCCGAAGTAACATATCTTCCCTCAAGGTTTCCACTGTACTCGTTTCAATTCCTTTCTCTTTTCCCCACCAACTGACTCACCATCGTCACAACATGCTGAGCACTTGTTTTATCTTTATTTTCCGTCTGTTTTACGTTTTTTCATCTGGAACCCGGCATTAGTGCCGTCAGACTGCGTCAACACAGCGCGTATTTTTCCATACCAACAGCTCAACATTTCCATTCAAAATATTGATGAAATTGGTGGAACTATAGTTGGGTTGTCAACTAAAAACCGTATTACAGTGTATCTGTGGGAGTCTCACTCATTTTGCGATGTAATCGGGATTTTCTGATAGGAGATAAAATGTTACTGGCACACAGCACGGAGTGCCTTCACTATTTTACCCAGTGTTCCGTGATTTCCAGTTGTATCGTCGTTTAATTTACGGATTTATCTCGCATTCACTGACAACAGTATGTGTAAAAATGGAATTAACTGGTTATAATCAATGACAATTGGAGGAGCGATCGTTATGGATAAACCGGAGTAAGTGTTGGTTATTTAATTGCCATTGGATTTTACTCCACCTGCTACTCGAATATTATCGAAAGCTCATTTTTATTCGCTTCAAACTCATTCATGAATATCTGCAACGAACGATTATTCCGATATTTCAGCCACCAGTGAAATATCAATCCTCACTCCATCGAAAATCTTTCAATTATTCGCGTACCTCGGTCAAATAACAATGCCACTATAATTGTTAAAATTTTCACGATCGAGAATTGGTATCGAAAAGTGCGAGTTAATTCTCCAAAATATCTGAATCATTCCGTCATATTTATATTATTTTATATGAATGAAAATGGTTTTGCCGAGTAACTTCGGAGTTGTGATCATGAAATTATAATAGCAGCCATACAATATTCATGGAAGCTGTTGCATTCTCCGGGTCTCCTTCACCCAAAAAACATCAAGTAAAAATAATGCCGAGGATAGAGATGTAATCCAGTGAATTTGATTTTGTATAATTTCAGGCAACAATCCCCGAGCTCTGGCACAACTGGTACCTCGACGATCTCGTCCTCGGGGGCTGATGGCGAAAGTTCACAGAGTATTGGTATGTACGCCGTGGGAAATACAAACAGCGGTGGAACAACTGACAAACCAATAACAACTGTACCAACGATATCACCTTCTGTGCCTTCAGCTACCAATCATGGATCAACATCAATCAGTCCATCAACACTGGCTATTACGAGGAGTGTCTCAGCACCAGCGGGACCAAGGCCCAGTGTTGAGACTGGCAATTCAACCAGTACTGGATCAATTGGACAGAAGCCACGATTAAAAAGAAATATAAGTCGAACCGAGGCAATCAAAAAGTGAGAATCTCTCCATTTTCATTAAACCTACATTTTCCCGATGGAAACGACAAATTTAATCTCAAAAAAATTTGACAACTCGAGATTTTATGTTCTTGATAACAAAATAATAATAATTCATTCGCGGCTTGATAACTGGATTTATTATGAGCCGATGATTGGAGAGTTCTGAGTGATTTTTTTTTACAGCTACATTAAACGGGAGACTGCAACGTTTTTCGGTGTTGATGAGGAAACGGAGAGCCTAGAGCGACAGAGATGGCTGGACAGAAGGAGGCGAATGGCTTCTCGAAAGTACGGTGCTCTGCTGCCCGAGCCAGTGGATCCTGACATCACCAAAGATATACCAGACTCCACGGAAATACCAGAGGTATGACGCCATTATCACACGTCCTATTCACTGTAATCTACGATTGACATTAACTGATGGATTTATTTTTAGAATATTACCCTGCGACGATGGCAGCAGCCAGTCCGAAGAAAAGACTCGGTTGCACGGATGACGTTGTCAGGACTTCATTACGTCGTCGAGGTCAGTATTTGCATGGAGCTGTAAAAAAGAAAATTCGTAAAATAGAGAAGGAGCGGGAAAAATACAGAAGAGATTCATTTTCTTTTATTAAAAAATATCTGATAAATATTTATCAAGCCTCTTACACGCACTTGAAATATTTTTATCCTTTCCAATTTAACGTGAATAATAAAATAATTCAATACTCCAATTCCAGCGTAATTGAATTTTGCGATTATTTTGAAGTGCACAACTTTTCATTGAGTTCTGAATCAATTAGCCTATTCAAATACCATAAAACCATTACGTATTTACCCAGCAAACCATTCGAGATTGTTCTGAGTTCATCTCAGAGATTCTAAATGAAATAATAACAGGTGATGTACGTTTTGATTTATTCAGGTGGATGACGTCGTAACTACTGTTATCGCGCTGCAATATTCGAGCGTTATAAGTTCAATTAGTCGACTATCCCTTATTTACGTGTATTACCTTCATTCCAGAGTCTTACTCGACAGCGTCCACAGGAGAGATCCGAACCACAACCGGAATCCCGTAGCTTTCCACCCAGTGTAATTTCATCGTTTCCACCCACCGATGGCATTACCTCCGACAATGATGAGCACAATTCTGCCGGGGATGAGGAAGAGGAGGCATTCTTCCAACGACCACCACCACCACCATCACCGCCACCACCACCACCACCACCTCCTCCTCCTCCTCCTCTACCCTCGACGACGCCTCATCAGCAGTCTCAAGTTTCTGAGCAGGGCATCGGAGAAACTCTCAAGAATGAAGACATTTCCACCACCGAGGCTGATCATCTTGACAGTGGAACCAGATCCACGGAGCGTATCTCTGGTGCTCCAGAATTCCCCAGGTAATTTATGGATAAATTTACTGAGGATTCAGTGTTTCATGCATGAGTGGAAATTATTATTATTATTACAAACAACCTAGAGCACTTTCTTTTGATAATATTCATATATGTAAATGTCGTGAATTTTTATTAGAGCTCGATTGAAAAATTATTGGCTATCCTTCCGGCATTTTGTACCGTTTGATTTTGTCAGTGAATGAAATGATCACATACATTAATCCCTGACTGTTGGAAAAATCAATCCTTTTAGATTTACATCACCAAAGAAGGAAGGCCCATCCGTAGACGCCCTACCCACACGTAGAGCACGATCAATTGCAAAGGATCATTACACCTCCAGGTACATGTGCATCCGAATATTCCACTCACGTGAAATACCATTTTTCTTTAATAAAAAACTCCTACAGAACAACGAATTGGCGCAGGTCAGGGCAGAGTGGACGGATTGAGGGTGATGCATTGAGCCAACAGCAAGACGAAAGTGTAATACTGAGGCGAGACATTACTGGTGGAACTAGGATATCGTCAAGTACCATTGACCGAGTATTCGACAACAGCAATAGGCGACAGTATGGCATGGGCATCGTCGGCCGATTCTTGGGGTTAGCAGATAATCTTAATTTATTGAACTACGGGTGATAACTATATAGTGGAGTAATCCGTTTTATTTCGCCAGGCGATCATTTCGAAAGAGCGTGGCACATAAACCCCACGTGAGGAAACAGCTGGACGATATTGAGGACCACAGGCCGTATTTTACGTATTGGATAACCACTGTGCAAATTCTCGTGATGATTATTTCACTCGTATGTTACGGCTTCGGCCCTGTTGGAATTGATCTCAATCATAGATCAGGCTTGGTACGTTCATTTCATGAATAACGTCAAGCCTCTATTTATTTTCCCACAATCCACGTCCATTTCGTATTGATCAATTTAATTATTATCATGTCACAATATTTTGTGATTCAGGTACTCGTTACGAGTCTCTCTCTGCAGCAAGTTGATTACCAAGAGCCTGCGAATTTCTGGATCGGCCCCAGAGCAGCTGATCTCATTCACCTCGGGGCGAAATTTGCCCCCTGCATGCGGAGGGACCTCAAGATCCTGAAGGAGATCGACGTGTGGCGGGAACGAGAGCGAGACACTGCATGCTGCATCAGAAATGATGACTCGGGATGTGTTCAATCCAGCAAAGCAGACTGTTCAGTAAGTACTTCTGGAATAATATATTCATGACCCACTAACAATAAATCAGGTGCTTAATTGCTGGTTATCTTAAAATGGTGCTATAATAAAAATAATTTCTCCATGCGAACCAACTGATCCGGGGGATGAGATCAACTCTAGCGGTAATATCAATCGAATTATAAAGAAATAAATTGCACTAGCATGAATGAAAAAATTGATGTTGTGAATTATTCTGGGGGAGAGTGAGAGCTACTTTGCTCGAATAATTTTCAATTCATGAATGTGAAAGGGAAATTTCGAATATTCAAATCCTAGTCTTCACTCTCTTCCACGTTAATGCCTCAATATGAAGGAAAATTATGATAATCCCCAGAATACCATATCAACGTGGAAGAAGTGGGTCCCAGGTGACAGTGGACCTGGAGGAAGAATAAGCGGATCAGTCTGTGGATTAGATCCGAAATTTTGTGATGCACCAGCGAGTATTGCTCCGTATGAATGGCCAGACGACATCACCAAATGGCCAATCTGTCGTAAGATGAATCCCTTCAGTCAACGATTCAGGTAATACCCCAATATTTTCCCCTGTCCTCTCCCCAACGATTTTAATAACTATTAAAAATTACTGGACGCAAAAAATGGATAAATTACTAATTTGAGATTTTCTATTGATATTTTTTATGCGTATTTTTCTATTATGATAACACATTGGATTTCAGGAGCAACAATGGGCATCCCCCGAGCAATAGCAATTTCCCAGTGGGACGTTACAAAGACAAAATGGCTGAGCACATGGTGTGCGAGGTGATTGGACATCCCTGTTGTATCGGTATTCACGGAATGTGCAGAATTACAACAAAAGAGTATTGTGACTTTGTTCATGGATATTTCCACGAGGAAGCCTCATTATGCTCGCAAGTCGAGTGTCTGCATGATGTGTGTGGAATGATTCCTTTTTTGCATCCTGAATGGCCGGATCAGTTTTATCGGCTATTCACTACCACATTTCTTCATGCTGGGTGAGTGCACACTTCCGATTTCATGAGAATGGAAAGCCAATTTGCGTTTTCTTGACGTATTACTTGAATAGCCACATAAAGATGCACATGGAAAAATCTCCACCAAAAAAAAAAACTCACCCTCCGATTTTATTCGTTTCTGAGGATTTTATAATTATTTCTGAGATAATTGCCTAATGGAAAATTTCGATTGAAAAGAAATATCAATTTTTCTGGAAGTTTCTCTAGGTGCATTCCCACGAATTTCTCCAGGCAATTGTCGAATTGTTCCGATTTTCAGAATTTTCCACTTGGCGATAACAATCCTAGTGCAGTACTACCTGATGAGGGATCTGGAGAAGTTGACGGGATCCCTGAGGATAGCCCTGATCTACTTCACTGGAGCCCTAGCTGGGAATTTGGCGAGTGCGATATTCATTCCATACAGAGCAGAGGTAGGTCCAGCAGGTGCCCACTTCGCCCTCCTGGCGACATTAGTCGTGGAGGTACTGAACAGCTGGCCCATGCTGAAACATCCCCGTCGTGCCCTCTCAAAGCTCATAATTATCCTCGTGGGGCTTTTGATCCTGGGCATCCTCCCCTGGGTGGATAACTACGCACACCTATTCGGGTTTATCTTCGGTTTCCTGGCGTCGTACGCTCTCATGCCTTTCATCACATTTGGCCACTACGACAGGCGTCGTAAGGTGATCCTCATATGGATCTGTCTGGTGGCCATTCTCAGCCTCTTCGCTCTCCTCATTGCCCTCTTCTACAACGTTCCTGTATACGAGTGCGAGGTGTGCAAGCTATTCAATTGCATTCCATTCACCCGAGACTTTTGCGCCTCCCAGAACATCAACTTCAAGAGAGAGGAACCCGTATGACATATGGGGCCGCGGTTACCAGTCGAGCGAAAAGTACCGTTCGGCCCACAAATTTACGCTCGCTATACCCCAGACATCATCATCCTCGTTATCACAATATTTCTCATAAATTCTTGAAAATACACGACGGAGACGACTAATGAGACACCAGTCTCAACTGATTACACCGGGAGAAGTCATTTATTTCGATCGAATAATCTCGCTGCTTACATTAAACAATTGATATTTATTTCATTCAAATAAATAATTTCTTCATTTTCCAAATTACACGAAATTGACGGCTTCGATTGAATTATGAAAACTTCTTCATTGGAATTAAATAAATGCTCGGAAAAAATATTCCAGAGAGTTATCGAGTAATGAATGAACAAGTACACGTTTAGTTGATTGAAATGATGTATTCGTCTGGGTGTATGAATAATCAGGAGATAATTAACAAAGTCGAGTGCATCAGTGTTTTCCAAAAAGTATTTTTAACAAGGTATAAATATAGTTATCACTCTCGACAGTTTTCTTCTACTGCCATTCACTTTAATATAATAAAACCATGAAGAGGAGAATACTCTGTACGATTGCGAGAGCATGCAGAGACTATTGATGCCTTAAAATTAATCAACCGTTAATGAGTTGTAAGATCTTGTAGACTGGCGATGAATTTGAGGCAATGTAAATAGCCAATCGTTACGATTAATAACGATAAATACATTGGAGCTTCTGAGGCTGCACAATGGTTACCAGTTACCCCATCTTATTATCACCGATCCTACGGTTTCTCTGACTGTTCGGTATGATCATAATTGTTCAACCACTCGTGTGTATCCCCTTTTATTAATCAATAAATCCCTGTAAATACCTCAACTACACTAACATGGCTATAAGCAACGACTTAAACTGATGTAAACGATGTGAAAAAAAAGGCAACGTGTATATGTAATATATTTTATATAGAAGGAAAAAAAGTAAATGGCGTGATGTATCGCGCACTTGTGCGACTCTCTTCGTGAATGTGTGACATTGAAAGAAAAAAAATACGAGTAAAGGTGTAATTTTCATATGTAGAACGAACAAATCCTCGATAAATTTAAAAGAATGTAAGTTTTTTATTAAAGACAAATTATTGCAGTCGACTATGATAATGGCACATTGATATAATCAACAATTAATTGTATATATCGAGTCCGAGGGGGTGATGGATTAAAGTATTAACAGCAGATAGACGTGTGGGAGGTACTAACGAAAGTGGTTTGAGTGACTGAATACTGTAATTATATGAATGTATTTTATTATTACAGACGGAATAATGTCACAAATGGGAAATGGACAGGTCTATCAATTGAATAATTCATGAAAGTGGTGTAGATTCAGTTCCATTTTTTTTGGAATTGAATCCTTTTAGTTTAAACTGTAGGCTGCTGTAACTGCTGTAACGGGTATTACTGCGAGGGAATGTAAAGGAATGGGGGTAAGTTAATTATAAATATTGACAGTAGTTAAAAAAAACAATTTTCAAGTATAAATTACACGAAATGACATGTGCCACGATATGAAAAAATTAAATCAGAATGATCCATAACGTTTACAGAATACGTATATTATCACTGCGTGTAACGTATAAAGTACTAACTTAATGATATAAATTCGCCCTGAAGATATAAATATTCATTGACCTATTTTTTGTTTTTTCAATCATCGTCATTTTGTCATTTGTATATGGTACTCATAGATCTTGGAGTTGAAGGATAAATAAATATATCATCAAGGTTTAAGTCTTACTGGATATTTATTTGTTGATGAAAATTTTATATGGAGAACTTCATGATACATTAATTATATTATTTCAACAAAGCTGACATGTACATTGAAATATATATTTATTTTAAACGTATGGGACAACGGGGTGTACACAGTGACATGGAAATAATTAATATTTTCAATTGTTAAATGGCGACCAAAGAATTAAATTAAAAAGAGAATGTACATTTTGAATTTGGTGTTCTGGACAAACTTTTTCGTGTTGTTATTGAGATTACGATGGAATAATAGAATCAAATCGAACGCTTAATCACTGTAGCTCGTCCTCATGATCTATTGCCCCTGTTCTCTTCAAGTTGACAAGAAAAAAAAAAAAATAATAAATCCTATAGCCCAATGAATTAATTGAATAAAAAAATAGTGAGAACACGAAAGAGTTTTTCTTACAGCCCGTTTAAACTTCATAATCATAATATACAATGACAACCACCAAAAAAAAAAATTAAGAAATAAAAATAGGCACCTTCTTTATGTATTATGCATCTCTGTACAATCGCCCTATGTGCAACGGTTATTCATGAATAAAACGAAATTTGTGGAAAATTATCGACAAGTATTCCCAAGTGAGTGTAGCACCGGGAGAATGCGGCCCTCAGTGTAAATACTTTAGCGATTAATCAACATCCAGAATGCCTTTATCAGTTGATTGAGCCCGAACTTGAATTTTTTTTTTTTTGACGATGTATATTTTATCCCACGTGGATATCTCTTCGATTTCTTCAATTTCTTCAATGTTCAAATTAATGAATATTATTTATTATTCTTATCGTGAATAAAACGAGTATAAACAAGATTTTATTGTCTCAATACATCACCTAATTAATAATCATTAAAATTCATTAAAATTCATTAAATCCAATCCCATCGAATTCCCCAATTTATTTTTATTTTTTGACAATTGCATTTCTATGAAAAAATGGAATGAAATATAGATATCTATATATTCCTGGGCTCCATCGACACCCAGAAGCCGCCCTTGGCAGTCATCGCCAGGGACTTGGTATCCAGCTGCAAAGGCAGGATCATCTTCTCCCCGATGGTGAGATTGCACTTGAGAACGAGATAAAAAATGAGAACCTTCATCTCGAGCAGAGCGAATCGATTGCCGATGCACATTCTAGGGCCAGTGCCGAAGGGATAGAACGCGGGGGAGTGGAGCAGCTTGGGATCCTCGATGAACCTCTCCGGATTGAATGTTTCGGGGTCCGTCCAGTACTTGGGACTCATGTGGAGGGCAGCGACCGGTATCCATATACGATCTCCAGGTTTCAGGAGGACGGGATTTTTTCCAGGTAGCGCAGGGGGTAATTCAAACTCTTTGGTGCATATTCTGTCGATTGCGACTCCAATGGGGTGCATCCTGAAGCACTCGTTCACCAGAGCATCGAGGTACTTCATGCCATTGATGGCATCGTACGTAATCTTCTGATCGCAGAGCTCTAACGTCTCATTGATTTCCTGCTGGAGCTTCCTCTGGACGTTGGGATCGAGAGCGATGTGGTGGGCGACGAAGCACATGGCTGAGGAGGTGGTTTCAAAGCCCCCGAAGAAGAACACAAATGCCTGGGATACCATATCCCGGATACCGAGGACAGGGCCCTCTTTGTTATTCCTCGTCTCCATCATCAGTTGTATCATGTCCGGGCGGATGATTCCCTCTTTGTCTCGTGCATCGATCGTACCCTGGACGAGCTCCATGAAGAATTCGTCGACTTTCGGGTCGAATACCTTAATCCCCAGCGCTTTCGTCAACCTAGGGAACATTCGCGATAGTTGCATCTTCACTAGGGCCGATTTTTGGAAGATACTCATCTGTTTCCCTAGGAGGTAGAATTCGTTGGTCGGATTCTTCATGGAGTCGACTGCGATCCCAAAGGCGCAGGTTGCAATGACATCGGTTGTATATCGACAGAATAAATCTTTCGTGTTGTAAGTGACGGGCGTTGAGGATGTTTTCTCGACAATGTGAGCGACGAAATTCTCCGCGCAGTCCGACATTAGCTTGAACATTCCCTTCATCTTGCTGGAGGTGAACGCTGGACTCAGAAGATTCCTCATCTCTCGCCATTTGTCACCCTTCAGTCCAGCCAGATTATTCCCGAAGAGGGGCTCCTGCTCTGGGTCCACTATTGTCGTACGATCGACAAAATGATCGAAATTCTTGACACCGATGCTCTTGATCAGGTCAATATCCCGGATCACCGTCACGGGAATTCGAAACAAATCGTAGAAACCGACATACTTCGCCTCCTCGTCGATGTCGTACATTTTTCGAAACATTTCGGAGAATGAAATACGCCCCAGCAGCACTGGTGACATATTTCCAACCAGGGGATATCCTCCATCGTGGATTATTCCGTTTTTCTCGAAGAAGCTCTTCCTCCGGAAGGTGTAGTACACCGCGCAGAGGACCCCGACAAGTGCCAGATAAATCCCCAAATATTCCATTGTTTCGTTTAATTGGCTGATTGTTTAATTAATAAACTGCAGAAGGTGTTGCTCTCGCCGCGAGCGATGACGGCCTGATACTGAAGGCAGTAGAAGTTCCGAGTGCGTTTTAAATTTCAAGTGGCGAACAAGGACAAACTCTTGGGAATTATCAGCGCTGATGCAATGGCGTGTCTATTCGCTATATGTATATACATTTTGCAATGTATGTGAGTTACGTATGTATTTAAAAACCGTCTGTTATATAGGGACGTGTCAGCAACAAGTTTAAAATTCGCCTGGGGCGTCATTTCTAGAGATTACGAGTCAATCGCGCAATGACCGTTTATGGACATATCAATTATATCAATTCAGTCAACAGCAAAGTCTGATAACGAATGTATCTATGATGATGTATGCGTCCGTCACTACTGATGTCTGTGACTACTGATGTCCGTAACTATAATACAGTCAGCATAAGTTTTTACTTCCCTGGGTACCCCCACTCCAGGTAGTTACCACTTGTAACCATTGCCCCCACTCCTAAAATCGATGTTAAAAGTTACGCTGACTTCAGTATACTAATGTCCGTAACTACTGATTGCGTAGAGCAAAGAGGATTGACTAAGGTAGAGGCTCAGTTCTGGGGGTTTGAGTAACCCCAGCGGCATCGTAGTATTGCACCCCAAGAAAGGGAGGACGCCACACGCAATGGGGGTGGCTGCCCCTCAGCCGACTCGGTACTGTCTCAATAGTAGTGCCGCTGTCAAAAGGACCAGTCGACGGGATGAATGTTATTTTCTGCGTTACGAAATTGATATTCACTGGAATTTTTCAATTTTATAGATTCACTTAAATTTCATTTTCAATTTGAATTTTCAAATTTCCGTGAATACCTCCTCGATTTTCATGCCCTCCTGATACTTTTTTGAAAATTTCGAATTTTCAAATTAAAAAAAAATGTGTATTGACGTTCCAATGGGTTTTCATCTTTTTCATGTAATTTTGAATGTCGTAATTGAAAAAAAAAAAAATGGCCCATGGGGGGATCGAACCCGCGACCTTCGCGTTATTAGCGCGACGCTCTAATTTTTGTTTTATTTTTTTAATTACCATGTTTTTTTTATTATTACAAAATTATTTACAAGATATATACTAGCACGACGTTCTAACCAGCTGAGCTAATGGGCCATATGTTAAATATGTTTTTAAGTAATTCAGAAATAAATAATTTTTGAACAAATAGAATTTTTCAAGATATAAAAAAATCTTCATTTGGAATATTATTTATTGGTTACAATAAATAGATAAATCAAAACAATTAAGGGGAGAAATCAATAATTATTGAATGGTTAATTGCATGTCATTATTATTACGTGTTTACTAACAATACAAATAATAAATTAATAAATATATGTATAGTACAAGATAAATGGAGATACAATGGAACGCGAGGCACTCGTTTATGTATTATTTATAAATAATTATTACTGACTATTTCCACACTCCAATCGGATACGAAAGGCTCGAGGGAACTCTCTCGTCGGTTTTATATCTTACATTAAATCCCGTGTGTAGTTGGACGGATATTTTGAAGGCATTATTTTTTTAATCAAGAGAAAAACACACTCAATTAAAATAATTGTATCACACTGATGGTGGAACGTAACTAGATGCGTATTATAGCAATTTATACATTGGAAATAACTGCGAATTATCCAGAAATATCAATTAAATTCTTATTACTACATAAGATCATTTCAAAACTATTACCAATTATCTAGAAATATTTTTGATTCTATACTCAGTTTGCTCTGTTTTTTAAAACAAATTTTTAAATAATAGATTGTAGATAACGTATTTACAGCAGCAGCTCGGCCGTAATTATATGGAAATTAAATCAGTAACGAAGTGATGAGTAGTTTTATCCGGCAATAACTGGTTATTGATGTTGAAAAGATATTGAAATTGTGGAGAAATTAAAGAATTCAGTAGCGAAGAGATAAAGTCATGGAAAACATCGGAATCGGGAGGAGATGGCGATATTTTTGTAATGACCTTTTTTGTTGCTCTCGATTCAATCTGCAAAAAAGGTTTCTATTGAAAATTCGATATCTCTCGCTGATTCCGAGATATCACGCGATAACTGGATTGTATAACAAGTTGACGTGTTGCTCTTTACCATTTTGCTACTGAATTGTTTAGATCGATTAATTAAAATTATTTCACCTCGACAAAATGACTTTTTCCTGTTTTATCACTTCGCCGCTGATATATACATCTAATTCAACAATAATCTACAATTTTTCTTAAATTGAAAGGCACATTTTTAATTTATTAATTTTCACTGTCAAAATCCTCAACTTATCCATGAACAATAAAAAAGGGAAATCCCTTAGATATCGTCACGTCTATTGGTCTGAAACTACTCATAATTTAATAATTACTCTTTGGATTAATGAGCCTCCACGGTCCTGCACGGAGAAAAATTTATTTAAATAAATTACCCTGACTACTGATTAATTACTGAATCGGCCGAATTCGTCGGTATGAAATAAATTTTTATTTTCATTTTTTAAGATGCAAAAATATAAATTCATTCTAGAATTTAGGGGACAAAACGATTTGTCTTGAATTTTCGTTTTTTGGGTATTTGCTTTGTGGAAAAAAATATAAATTGAATGCAGAATATTTTATAATTTTCTTTTGGTTGATTAAAGTATAATTTTTGTTTTGCTGGTAAAAAATTTTTCTCCGTGTGTCCCTGAGGGGATTTACAGGGAGTCGAGGAGGGAATCGAGAAGATCGAGTTGATTTTCGTCCCAGCCAACGGTGGCTATGAGCAGACCCGTCAGATCGTCCTCAGTTAAACTTACTTGAGTGGATTCGGGGACTTCGGGGAGACTGTCAGGAATAGGTGGTGAGACACTGCTCGGTGGTGTCTCGTAGAGTGTAGGATTTGAGGTGACAGGTGGTGGTTCGCTGTCGTTTTTCCTTGGACGATTGTAACGAGACGTGGCAGGTCGTCTCCTGGTTCTCTTGCCCTCCTCCAATCTCTCCAGGTCGAGCTTCCAAAAACCACCCTTACCAGGCTCATCCTTCGACCGCGGTAATTTCACGAAGCACTTGTTCAAAGACAAGTTGTGTCGAATTGAATTCTAAAACAAACAAATAATTAATTATTTATGATAAAATAGTGAAAAATGAAAATTTCATTACTTAATAAATAAATGGTCAATGAAAAATCCATAAATTTTCGAATTACCTGCCACGCCGGATCAGCGTTTCTATAATACATGAAGTGCTCTCTTATCCACGCGTAGATATTCGAAAGAGTTAATTTGTTGTTGTGAGCCCGCATGGCTAAACAAATTAATGTTGCATAGGAAAACGGAGGTTTAGCGTCCGGATCTGTCTGGTACTTATCTGCATTCTCCGCCAAGTCTGTCCCCCAAAAATTGAATAATCAATAAACAAAGACAATTAATACTCATTATAAACAATTTACTTTCACTACTAAACAATGCAAAAAACATATTCGTCCGTCATAATTACACGTCGCCAGAGCAATATAAATAAACAATTACAAACCGCAAAAAAAAATGCGTCGTAATTCGAAAACGTAAAAAGTGAAAGACACGACATTATTGAATATTTAAGGATGATAAAATCATTAAACAAAAAAAAAAAATAATAATAATAATAATAATAATAAACAATTCCCTTGGATTGACAGAACGTTGACGAAATAAATATAAACGATTTTTGACGAGAAGGGGTTGTAGATGGTACTTACCAATTTCAGCTTTTAGAAGGGGTGACATTTTCTTTGGCGGTCGTCGCGCTACCGGTGGTGGTGGTGATGGTGAACATGGTGGCGTAGGTAGACTCGAAGCACTGGTGATGTCAAGTGATTGCAGCCACGACAAACTAGTCAATTCAGCCTCAACCCCAAAATCGGTCTCCATGTTCTCCAGGTATGCCACATGCTCCGTAACAGCCCTCTCGCTCTTCATATTTCACACCTTCATAACCCAGAATTTGAACTCCACCGACGCCTCCACCCACGAGGTAAAATAAACGATCGAAGTCCTGAGAATGGACTGACGTGGACTTGAAAGCAATGAAAATAAATACTTAAATTTTCAATGGCGAGGTACGGGACCAGCGGGAAAAGTCTCTTTGGTCGACGAGGGGCGTTTGCAGGGTGACTGTGGAGTTGTCTGTGGATTCCCCTCTCCTGGGGGTGAACGAGGGTGAGGGCGCGTGTGCGGCGTCCCCGACAGGTGCTACCGTTCTTTCGCAGGTGGACTCTCTACACCCGGCACAACAGACACGCTCTCTCAAACCCCCGAGTACACGGAAACATCGCAACTGTCCACTGCTCTATAGATTACCCCTATTTCCACGAATTTTCCCTTTTCCCTCTTTTACTCCCTTTTATCCCTCTTCTCCCTTTTCTCCCTTTTCTCCCTTTTATCCCTTTCACAATTTTCATTTTATTTCAAAAAAATAATCATAAAAATAATAAATAATAATAAATACCTCCGCAAATCAGATTTCCTGACACTCAATCAATTCGTTTGAGAACGGAAAATTAAATATTCAAAATATGAAATACTAAATTGGATTTATAATCAAAAGATTTGTTGATTAATCTAATCGAATACCACGACCCCTAAATTCAATGAATGCGTTATTTTTCCATTCGCCAATAATTACAAATTACGCAAAATTATTGATAACCAAATAACTGATCCGTTCCAAATGATGATGTCGCCAAGTGCAAGGGCAACAAGATCAATAGAAAACGCAACGAGTTTGTTGGAAAGTGTAGAAATTCCAATGACACGACAGCAAGTGCCCATCGAACTTGCCAGGTGCTATAGCCGTGAGGATCGATCCTTAGAGCTCCCGATGAGCCACAACCCCTGGAATTTTCAGTATGCGTCACTGGGTCAAGCCATTACATATTTATCCGTAACACATCGCGCCCAACAAATGTTTCCCAAGAATTAAAACGTGTCACGGAGTGATGACTCTGTCCGTCTTATTATCACTCCTCCAGGGTGGCGGAGGTCCAGGTGAACCGGAAGTTGTGGCGCGTGTCCCACACGGGTATCACAACCCCATCGAATTAAAAAAAAAAAAAAACCATGTGGATGATTATTTTTCAAGACGATGACCATAACGTCGGGGGGGAGGGGGATACCCCCTGGCTACCCCAGCGTCCATTTATCGACGTGGGAGGAAGAGAACCGCCTATGGATGATCAGAAGGGGAAAAACGCCCCGTCCACTCGACAATACGAGACACGAATAGCGTGTGAGACCTCTGAGACCTCAACTATCATTGGTCGAGGGCTTTTTAACGCAGGGAGGATACGTGTGGAGATTCCCTCGTCAAAGGCTTCTCGAAAAATATTCAATTATCACTGCGCCATTTTGTATCTTCGGGTAAATTATAATTGCCATTTTAAAAATAAAAACTTATGGCAATCGATAATATCGTCGGAGTATTTATTATTTCAGTCATCATTCGACCATTTCTTATTTTCATCTAAAAATATCTAGCTCTAAAAAATTTGCGTCTCGGTTGAAGGAAAGAAACTTTAATTGCTGTGAGGTGAAATGAAATTGGTAATTGTATCGATATTTTTCGATATTTTTCTATATTTTTCGATATTTTTCGATATTTTTGGATATTATTTCCATATTATTTCATCGAATTTTAAATTATCGTTGCGTTTAAGTGCTCATGGAGGTTTTCGGGAATTTCTTTTGGTTTCCAGGTCACATCGACCCAAGATGAGGGGCAAGTGACCAATCACTGGGCTCTGCGGATTTTCCGGAGGAATATTCCCCTCCGAATATAATCGCCGATGCAAAATGTAAATAGCATGTCATTACACATTTTTCCTTGACGCACGTGGTGGTCAGGTCGACTTTATATTTACCCCGAGGGAAAAATGGCAATAGGTCACAGCCATGGGGATGATGTGGACTTATTCGAGTGGTCAGACCTACAGAAAGTCACTCGGTTATTATCAATATGATAGGACTGTTTAAGACCGGATATAGACTCGGTGCGTCCAACTATAGTTTCCGACGGTGTTATAAATTATTCAGGAGAATTGATTCAACCCCTGGGGCTGCATCAGCGGCTATTCTCCAGGGGAATTTCCAAAAAAAAAAACAAAAAAATCAAAACCAACCGATAATTTGATAAATCCTGATCTGCAGTGTCTCAACAGGATTACGTACCTGATGTGCAATTTTTTTTTTCAGCAATTCCTTCGTAATTTCAGTTGATAATTCCAGAAATAAAAATGATAAATTTCCAGCACTTCACTTTTTTCGGAAAATGGAATAAAAATGACAACTGTTTTGGGGTTTGAATGGGTAAAATTTAAATTTGCGTAACGCGAATTGAAATACCGACTAGGAAACGTCCGCTGCCAACACCATCCCCTCGGACACTGAGCGATTCGACCCCTTGGGTCGTTGCATGCCCCAGCCGGCCATATTTCCCCGCACCTGGGAACAGGTACGAGGCCTATCAGTCCAACATCACGACGACAGGTTACCAGCCGATCATTAAACACCACCAGCTGAGACTGAACCGAAAATTTATCCAACTGCACCGATATGAATGAAACTCGTCATTCTTTATTCCTCATTCATTTTTATTTACCATTTTAATTGTCTGCGACCACCTGGACCCGCAGATTGTCGTCACGGTGCTTGAGCCCCGACCCTCCTTCATTTTTATTTCCATTACGCAGGGAAAAGGCCAACTGCGAGGCAGATAATTTCAGCACTCGAGTAAATTTAGATAAATTGCATTTGAATTTTTAATCATTCATTGATCTCCACTGATTTTTTTACAGGTATTATTATTATTATTTAATCAGTTGTGAAAACGTTCCATACCAACATCGGATATAATTAATGATTAATTATAATTAGGAATAATAATAAGTCAGTCCATAATCAATATTCAGGTATTTATTATCACTTACATTACAGTATATTTTCTCAATTCTCATTTATTCAACATCGGTAATAAGCATATCTCTGCAAATAATGCGCCATGATTTTTCTTCAAAAGATAATTCCAAGTACTTTGTACTAATTATTCGCGAGAACATAATGTAAATAAAATTCGTATAATTATCTATGCTTCTGGGATCCATTACACTATCAACTCTTTATAAAACGTGAAATGATTCATCTCGTGATCGATATTTGTGACAAAATCATCACGTTTACATCGAGGGTATACGCAACACCTCAAGGTTTAATATCATGAGTTATCGGTGATTGTGATTTATCAATTGCACACCCTCACCTCATGCACTAAATCATTCTCTTTAGAGGTATTTATATTTAATTTAATTATCATTTAAAATGTGATTAAAAGCCATTTTCTGGATCCTATGTATCATCTGTAGGAAAAATTTTACAATAATTGTTTCAATCACAGCAACAATGTCCCACGAGCGTTAGGAAATGCAGAAGATATTTTTTTAAAATATGGATTTCAATGGAACATGATCACCTGTTTAAAACTAATTAAAATCTACAGATAAATGATGGAAAATTAATCTTGGCAACAGCGTATTTACAATATCCACTAACTTATTATCACTCATTAACTCATACTCCGAATTAATCGAGATCATGGGACAATTGCCATGAAAAAAACTTGGTGTCCACTGTTTCTCTACGCGGGCAAATCCAAATCACCCTCTACTCGCTATAAAATACGAGTATTCTCATAGTTAATAAATCCTTACCTTCAGCATCAATTTATTTTCATTTTTACACGTCTGAAAATCTTTTATATAGAAAATTCCATCGACTTCCCCAGAATATTCTATTAAAATTCTATGAAAATTCAAAGAATTCCCTTGAAAAATCCGCGATAAAAATAATTCCAGAACTTTTACAGAATTGTAAAAATTTAATAGGATTCCTCAGGAAAATTCAGATTTTTCGATAAAAATTTTTTCATACGTGAATTCTTTACTTTTCTTCAATAATTTCAGTTTTAATTGAGGACACGACACGACGACGGTACAGTCTCTAAAGCGGGACAACGAATGGACTTTAAGCACGCTAGATGGTTACAGCCCATGGATTTTGCAATGTATCTAACGCTTACGAATTTCAATAATTAATAACTCCTCACTCTACTGTGGATTTAAGGCTGATTGGTTGTGAAAGGCGTAACACCATTGTTAGCCATATTGTCTAAGATTCCACCGATGTACTCTGCAACGTCAATCTGACTCTCCTCCGATCGACGAATGAATGGGTGTTCCAGCAATTTGTTGTACTTGGGACGCTGATTTTCTTCTTTTATTAAACTGCACAAAAATATGCTCTCCAATTTAATGAATGACCTCATAAAAAAAGAAAATTGAAAAGAATTTCTGAGGAATGTCAAAATGCTCTCACCATGTATTAACAAAATTGACAAACTCAGGAGTAAAATGATTGCCATTGCCATTGGGTGACAGTCTCGGTGGATCGCCCTGAACGACCTGATAAAGTTGTTCAAAAACAGAATTCCACTTTGGATATGGAAAATAACCAGTTGCAACTTCCATTAGAGTAATTCCGAGTGACCAGACGTCGCTCCTGACATCGTAGCCACGTGCTCGTTGGGGATCTATACGTTCAGGCTGAAAAAAACAAATATCACAATGAAATTGATAATTTTTTTCATCTGCATCGAGTATCCTCGTGACTTACAGCCATGTAGGGTCGACAGCCAGCGTCTCGTGTCCTGGCAATAGAGTCGACGAGCTGTCCAGATATACCAAAATCACAGAGCTTAATATTGCCACGTCGATCCAGCAATATATTGCTCGGTTTGACGTCACGATGAATTATCCTCAATTTCTCCTTCAAGTAGTTGAGTGCCTTGACAGTTGCCACTGTTATTTTACCGAGTATGCACTCTGGTATCCTCTTGTTCAATCTCTCATAAATAAATTTGTAAAATTTGTCTAGCGATGTGTCCATCAGTTCCATACATATCCAACAGTCACCCTCTTTGAATAAAGCTCCATAAAATTGCACAATGCACGGACACTCGTTTGACTTCATCACTACCTCAAGGTCCATCAGTAATTGATTCTGTTCCCTCTCGTCTACAGTGGAACGAATTCTCTTCACAGCCATAACAGTATTGCTTATCCTATGTATCATTTTATTTACAGTGCCAAAACCCCCTCTTCCTATTTCTCCAACATCCTGAAGATCTTCTGATGTAAAATCGTAAACTGTATCAGGGGACAGTTGTAATTTGCCTGTACTCTGCATTGACTGACACATTCTCAACTTATCCCTTGCCTTATCAGGAAAATGAGTTGGCTGCGGAGCTGTTCTCGGTCTAGCCGGCAGTTTCGGTAAAGGCAGGGGTAAAATGGGACGTCTAAAACAAACTCCCATTAATACCTCAACATAAATAAAAAATAATCATAAAATTAGCAACGAAGAGGTAAACGATAACAATTCGTTTTGGTTAACTGCCAGGATTTCGATGAATATATCCGTATCCAATGGAGATACCAAATTTTTCGTGGAGATTATTTTTGTGCCTCAATTTCCACTCTACAAAAATGGTCCTCATGAAAATGGCGCTATCTCTCTTGGATCCGGATTTATTTACCTCATCGACTCTGAGTTAATGAAAAAAGCTTTATCATGAACTCACGCTGCTGGCGGAGTAGATGAACTTCCAGTGGAGTTGGAATTACTCGAGTTTGTGGAATTGCCAAAGGACACACTAGCCCCCTGCGAGGGGAAGGACAATTTGAGCTGTCTCTTCTTGTCAGCTGTAAAACCAAAAATCCCCCTGATTCCCCAAAAACAAATACAATTAACTGAATTCAGATGAATTCTCACCAAACTGCTCCTTCTGAATGTCATTGTTGGATCGAAAGTCCAGATGCTGAAAGTTGAACATTCGGCCAGCCCCTGAACAAATGGAAAATCCAAAAAAATAATAATAATAAGTCCATGAATAATAAATCATCATCACTGAAAAATTGTTCAGTGTATGAGACATCCGTTTTGAAGCAGAGGATGAGAAGGTTAGGACCCTCTAACCTTCACAATTCCCTCATTCATCCCCCAGACCCCAAATAAACACAGAAAATTACCTTGATTCATCTGATTCGACGAATTCCCGGAGTTCTCAGCCATGATATCTCGCAGATTCTCACACCCGCGATAAGAACACGTTGAAAAGTCTCTTAGGAGACTTTATCACTGGAATTCCTAGGTCTGACGTACGTTATTCCCGAACACATCGTTCGATCAACCCCAAAATTCCAGCGATCCCTTCCCCGATTATTCCCAGACCAATGATCAACTCCAATCGCCGTATAATCACCGGGCAATTAAAAAAAATCAGAAATATTTCAATAAACTGCCTTTTACCCGAAAATTCAGGGGGGGAAAACGCCGCAGTTGACAGTTGGTTGAACTAAATCAAGACTCCGCACAATGCACTACACTTCCTGCTCACACACATTTTTGCACACTCCATATGATGAGCTGCATAATAAATAAAATAATAGGTTATGTGTTATTATCACTAGCTGATCTGACACAACAAAAATAAATCATTAGTAGTGACCTTTGTTCAAGTACCCAATCAAATGGCATTTTTCTATTTATCATTGTGCATTGATTGTGCTCGGTGTTTTCAGACTATAATTACCACCTCATTCATAACGTAATGATACATAGACGTAGGGAAATGTAAATAAATCTTTGTTTTTGTTACTTAAAAGTTGAATTAAGTGTAGATAGTTTATCGATGATGGACAGCCCCGAGGGAGAGGTATTTGCGGTATTTATGGAATTTCGAATATTAATTATTGCCAAATGGTGTGATTGTTTGTTATTTATTGATGATTGTAGGCCCAGGAGAGGCCCGTCCTGGAGGCAGGTACAGTCTACCTCCTGATGAAAAAGGGTTTCCCGATATCTCGAAATGTCAGAGCCCAGTGGATCCTCGAGCACCTAGACACTGTGATATCCATCCAAAAGGAGAATACCGAGGACTCCCCGGAGCTGGAGATTGTTTCGATAATCCCGAAAGATCACTCGTCCCCGTGGACGGATGACACGAGTCAGAATTATCAGTACAGGATTACCTCAAGTTCCTGTGTGATATTTCTCGCGCACAAGTACCGTATGGTGTTCTGTCTGGATCTAAGCCCATCTCTGGGAACAATCGATATTCAACGAGGTGAGGTCGTCATCGACGAGGTCTGCATGGCGACGAAACAGTGCCTGGAGAACGTGTCCAAGCCCTTCACGATCCCTGGAACGAGGAGAATACTCCGTCCAGAGATTTACGTAACGATAATAGTGCACACACCATTCTTCACGAACCCAGCGCAGCAGGTGCTCGTCCAGAGTTGGTTGATAACTTCTGAGAACATAATTTACCTCATGCAGTTTATCGAGAGACGCTTAAACTCCCTCGAGGAGAACATAGCGAGGACAGAGGGGGAGAGATTTTCCTCAGGGATTTTTGAAGACGAGGTCTCCACCCTGGGGATGAATTCCACCCAGCCCAGTACATCTGTTGTCTCCCCAGAGGCGAGTTTCATTAATATGCTGAGGTATGGAATGCTTGGGCTGGCCCTTCTACCAGAGTACAGCTGTGCCCACCTGGTGATCGTGTCTGATGGAATCGTGGGGATATCAGACGTCTACGTACTGGACTCGATCGTCCAGCAGCTGAGGGCCTCCACGATAGCCTGCAGTTTCCTCCACCTGGGGAGTGCATATCACCCCCACTGTGCCAACGGTCTCGTTCCTTATCAGGATATTCTCTGTTTCCTGGCAGCAGCAACCTTGGGCTGCTACATGGCCTTCATACCCCAGTTCTCCACCACCGAGGACATGAATATCTATCACAGGAATTTTTTATGCTGGCAGCTGTACAGGACAGTTCCCAGTGAGCAGCCAATAAAATCCAACTACTGGCAGACAGATAATTCATTATTCTATGGCCATCAGCCTCAGCTCCTCAGGAAAAAGCAGATTGAAAATAAAGTCACCTGCACCCTGAGCAGCCTTCTCTGCTGCAGGCTGAGGGATGGTTATCTCATTAAAAGAATGTCTCTGAGAGATGCAAGTGTTGAGATCTGTTTCATCCTTCCCTGGAAGACCCACGTCTTCCTCGAGTACTTCATCTCGAGTAGTTGGCCCCCACGTTCAGTAGCCACCTGTAACACAATCCAGTACACAATAACTGTTGAGGCTCCATACGAGTTCCTCCACGACATCACCTGCCTCTCGAAGAAGCCCCTGAAGTCTCAGTACCGTCAGAACGTGGTGTCGAGATTCTGGGCGACCCTGAGTTCTCTCACAGAGAATGACACGATGCTGGAGCACTTCAGCTGGTTTCCAGAGCCAGGCTGGACGTGGTACAACGTTTCAGACACGATCAGGAGTGGAATGCCAGTATTCTATCTTCCTGCCTATCCCGTGGCCACTGCTGTCCAGTTGAGTGATGCTGTATGCCCACAATTTGGAAAAATCTGGAAACCAGTTGCATCCCTGGACTCGAATCAATGGGCACGCTGGATGCACTCCCAGAGGGTGACTCTCATTTTAACCCACGACAGACCTCTCCCCAAGTACCTGCACCAGGCCAATCAGAGTGGAAGATTCCAGTGCATCCAGTGTCGTCAGGGTGCCGCTGTTCTCTACGCTATGCTAAAAAATTGGGCGACTTTTGTTCTCGTGGAGAATCACACGTACGTCCAATTTATCTACAGGGAAACGGAGAAACCCCCGGTGTCATTTTCAGTCATCAGGATCAATTCGAAGGCTCTCTGTGTTGTGCTGCATGTGGCATTTGCTGGGGGAACTGAAGGGGTTGTTCGTCACAATGTCGTTGTGGACCTCGTGGAGAGGCTCTCCAAGCTCACACTCCCCAACAGACCCATGGAGATGACGGAGACCCCCTGTTGCACGATTATTCATAAATCATTGGAGAGAATTCTAATTCGGTACGAGAGAATGCCCACTGATTTCAACACTGTAGTTTTTCCCGATGGGACACAGCCCGTCGTCAAGAGTGTTCAGACACCTGGGGGAGTTCTCACGACCACTCTCTCCAGGTACCTCTTCCATTTTCGATGGCTCTGGAACGTCAAGAGACCCATTATCCAGACAATCCCTGGAATCGTTGTTCCCAGGTTGAATATCACTGCGATCGCTAGAATTCTCTCGACAATCACCAAGATGAGGCTCAATGAGGGATTTAATTTTGCGTACTCTGCTGCTGGGGTGATTAATATGGTCCTCGAGGTCGAAATGCTGGGGGCCATGGATGAGTATCATCCCTGTGTAATTCAGTACATAATATTTCCTCCACACACTATTAGCAGTCCCAGTGTGGAGAGGGACAGTGAGACTGAGGATGAGAGTGACGAGGGAACTGCTGATGGAGAGGGTGGAAATGAGGACACCGAGGGCTCTGGGGATTATCAGATCGTGACGGAAGTGTGGATTGAGCCACAGTGTGGAAGGGTCAAGGCTGGACATCCCACAGGGATTTACATGGATGGACTCAGCTATGATCAATTTCCAGATGCTGTGAGTCTCATTTATTTGTTCAAATATCTCTGCGAATAATTAATAACTCCTTATCTTCTACAAGTTGTCATTTATTGGGATAGAATAATCCAATCGATCTCGTAATTATGGCACCTCAGGAATTTTCAATTAAATGGCAGTAAATTGACACTAATGGAGAAAAATAAAGATTGAACAATAATTCCAACAGTCATTCTAGTCCGAAGTGATAAGAGTTTCTCGTTTTCCTAAAATTCACCTCCCCGATAAGATAACTAGGATCAATACTTGCACAGACATCAATAGATCAAACAGAAACTATGTCTTAATTTCAATCTCGTCGTTTGTGGTACCTCTCTATTCTATCTTCTTAAAATATAATCACAACGTAGGGGAATGTGAATTTATCTCGTTCACATTTTGTGAAACCCGAGAGAATCACCAGTGCTATCTCCGCGGTCTTGATAAATTGTTCGTAATCAGTCGAAAAGAGAATTGTTTCTCGGACACGACAATTTTCAAGTGGTTTATTTTGTCGTGAACATATCTCAGCAAACATTGGACAGAGATATCACCACCAGAGATTATTTTTTCGATACCTAAAAATTCCCAGAAAGTGTTTTCAATTTAATTATTCCCCTAATTTCTAATATTCCTCTGAGTAAAAATTATTTTATTCTCCACACGAATTTTATTTTCTTCAAAATAATACTCGCTTGAAAATAATCTCCCGGTGAAATCTTATCTCTCGCTGATATGAAACCTCTCAAATCATCTCAGTCCGTTGGTAGGAAAAGAAAAACGTCTCACTGTCGTATCTCACTCCTTCGACGGAACGAAAAAATATAATTCTTGTTTAATCAAACCTCCGAAATATTACCTTCCCTCCCTTATCACCCGAAGAGATAAGACTAGGATCTTAAAGACTCCTAGAAATTCATACAAGATGAATTACACGAAGTGGACCGGGAGTGGACCTTTGCACCAATCGTTTCAATAATTAAAAATAAAAAGATTCAATCAATTAAATCGAGAAAAAAAAATTGAAGTTGTGACACGATGAGTCGTCTATCTCGGTGGTATCGTTATCGTTATCAGGGTGGGGCTCGATATCGATGAGGGGCCTAGGCCTGGGTTTTCCTATCAGTCTCCGTAGGTATATATGGGCCCCAAGCAACGTTACCTGGGCCTACGAGTCATTTTAGTTTTTATTTCGTGTCGAACTCATCTCAGTCACTCGTGATCCTCCCCTGAAGACACCAGCTATTTTTAATCCCCGGTGATAGTGAAAGTGTCTCATCCTGTTTCGATCTGCTGATTTATCCACGTCCTGGAGACACTCAGTTGGAAGTGAGGATCTAGGCAGTGGGTTTCGCAACCTCGAATTAATTGCCAGATCTATTTCTTCCAGCTTAGGGTCTCCTGGTGTCTATCGTCGAGGTTTTATCCCCTGGCAATCTCTGCGATCTGTCTTTTTCTCTCTCTCTCTCTCTCACCTGGTGTTTAGTTTTTTTTATTATTCCTGGATCGAGCGAGGTGTAACGGTTCAAGTGGAGAAGTGGTCTCTGCGCTTGGTATTGAAAGTGAGATTCAACTCCTCCAACTTATTCCGGTCACCTGGATCTCTTCATTTTTTCTCCATCCAGTATCAAATTCTGACGAGTGAATATTGTGAATGAAATTGTAGATTAAATTTGTCATTGATTATATCGTAATAAATGGCAATGCGCAGTAGGATGAATTGTTTGAAGATTTTTTTTTTCTCTATTTTCTTTCAGATATGCAAAATCGACGAGGAGTGCATCAATGCTCTTTTAACTCTGGAGCATCTGAGTCTGTTGAGTCAGGTGGAGGCTCGGGAGGCAAGTGTCGACGTGACTAATGGATATCAGTACCAAAATAATCAGTATCAGGGCAATCGGGGCCCATCGCGACGTACCTCTGTCAATAATTTTGCACAATCGAAATCGTTTCTCAATACTCCCAGGGATGAGGGTATAGATCATAAATTATTCAATTTCGATGCTCTACGTATTCTTCCAAAGTGCCAACAAGCGGAACTCCTCTTCTCCATGTTCGCTGATGGTCCAGCATTTCCAGAAGAGGGTTCAGAAAACACTAACGGTATTCTCCTGGAGAATCTCATGGATCACATGAAGCATCTTCACAACAAGGAGATCCTCCTGACCCCGTCGGAATCCCAAGAATTCACAGAAATGCTTTTCACTCGTCCTCGAGAGGCTTCACCGGCCCTTCCTTTCCCCCAAGATTTCACGGATAAACAGAAGAATTCAATCAGATGGAGATGCTTCATCAAGGGTATAAGCACGACCCACATAATTCTCACAGTTCTCCCCTCGACTGAAAGAGACGTTCGAACGCTTTTTAATCCACAAAAGCATCGAAAGTACTCGCGAGAGAAATCGGTGGAGAAACTCGACAAGATATCCCCCTTTGAGGAGAAATCCATACCCTCGTGGTTCGGTACACCCAAGAAATTCGATCTTTCTCCACCTCCAAAGCACCTGGACTTTGAGACAAATTTTTCAAGTAGAACAACAACGGCAGAGAGCACACCAAAAGCAGACAGAAGACGAAGAGTGTCTTCGGGAGGTCCTAAACCGGGACTGATCCTCCCTGTGTACGTGTACGACTGCTCCCTGGCTCTTCTCATCGAGGTTCTCATCAATAAATTGAAGTACCCCAGGTCAAGAGACATTTACCAAAATCACACGTTTTCCGTTGGTCAGAACCTCCACGAGGAGTTCATCAACTTGAAGTCTTCGAATGATTGCAAGTCAGCATCTCCAGAGCCTAAGAGCGAAGACTCTGACAATGGCCTCAACGACCAGAGAAGCCTTCTGGAGCACTGCAAACTTCTGAACCTGGCTCACTGCCACTGCTTCGTCGTTGCTGTCTACAAATCACTCTCCCTCCAGCTTCAACTCTCTTACGAGGACATGGAGGCTGCTGTGGAGCAGTGCGAGGAATCCCTCATCGAGATAAATATTACAGAGTATTTGAAGACAGTCTGCAAACATCTGAATCCATCGATCCACCTCCGGAGATCGGAGCACGAGGACTACAGCTCGTGCATTGAGTATCAACCCCTGCACAATCTCATTCGAGATAAATTCAGGAGGATAATTCAGGTGGCTTTTAAACCGGTGCCCGCCCATCCAGAGTTCTACTACTGCTCTCCTCTTCATAATCCTGACAGGCTGGACTTTCATAGATCTGACAGTGATGATGATCTGGAGGAGGGCTTTACATTTCCATCAGAACTGGAGTGCAAGCTCGAGGGACAGATGAAGACAGTGTCCTCGAATGGCACCTGGCCCAACTCCAACCTGAGGGACGAGGTCAAGCTATCCAGTTACGATTCAACAGAGTCCCTCATCAGTGATCTACGTGAGGACGAGAGAAATTCCAAAGAGCAGCCCCTCTTTCTCCAGCTCAACTGTTCAGTTCACTCGAGATCGAATTTCTCGAGTATTCCTGTTAAACTCCTCCCCACGTGTTTTGCTGAACTCAAGCAACACCTGGAAGATTACAACGTGTCTGATTTTAATAATGTGAAGATAACTCTGGACATCATCTGCCTGAATTTACCCAAGGAGGTGCTGGAGGTGAGTCTGGAGAGGGTGGCCTTGAGGACAACGTCATATTGTAGTGCTTCACCAGTGGGAAGTTTAAAAACAGAGAGTGAGAGTAGCCCTGGGAACGATACAGCACTGTCAGAGGATATTCTCCTGAGGGAGAGGATAGCTCATCTACCTCATCACCAGCATGACGCCATTTCCAAGCTGCGATTGGAGATCGAGTGGCTTCTGAGGGATGAAATTGCAACAGCACTCCTTGACAGTAGCCCCCCAACAGAGGAGACGCTGGAGTTCGTCGCTAAACACGTGTCAGAGTCAAGTGGAAGAACCAGCTGTCACATTGACAAGGTGCCTCTGCAGTTCGTCTTCTCTTCGAGCAATAGTGCGCCGAAATTCAATGAGGAACTCATCAAGATGGAGGTGGACCGGTACACGATAAAGCAACTCGAGCGATTTTTATACTTCATCAAAGACGAGAAGACGACGAACGATACTGAGACCAGCATTCAGGATAAAATCGAGATAGAAGAGGAGAGATCGACAGTGGAGTTGGATGACTCTGACAGTCCCCAGGATGTGAATAGCAGAACGTCGAGACAAGATTCTGGAGATCCCCCAGGGTGTCACTCGGAGATCTCCAGCATCGGTGAGGGCCGCCCAGGAACTGATGATGGGTACGAGGGTGACTCCAGCAACTCCGAGGACGACTGCTGCTGGTTAGTCGATCTCGACAAACGCAGGGACACTCTCCCCAACTTCTGGCTGATCCTCGAAGTGCACAAGCACCACGTCAATGTTTACTTTCACTGCAGATTTCTGGAGTTTGCCTCCCCCGAGGTGGACAGATACAGACAGGTGCAGAAGATGGTGGTGGCACAGATAACTGCCATTTGCAGAAGGGTAAATCAATATTTATTGCTGGAGAGCCTACACGATACGAGGAATTGTGATTCTCTGCTGGAGCCAGAGTCCCACGAGGATCACAACTGGAGGGCAGACTCCACAAGTGAATCTGGGATGCCCCTGAAACACGAATCAGTCGTGAATATGGTCCCAGGGATGTTCAGGTGCTCAGTCGTCTGGGAAGTCACCTTCCACCTGCATCCTCGATTAAAAACAGGACCTGGAAGGTCAGGGCTGTCCAGAGGAATCAAAGCTCTGCACGTTGTTCTCAATAGGTTCTCAGTCAACAACCGAAACAACATGTTCGTCTACAGGGAGAATAACTCCAATGTTTTCTACCTTCGACTGCATGAGCAGACTGGTGATGGCAAGCCCCTGCAGAATAAATTATCAGAGTCCGATGAGAAGTTGATGGTCTCCAGGAGTAGTAGCATCGCTTCACTGTCCCAGTCGAGAAATTCGGGGGTACAACTGGACCAATCGAGAACCGACGACACCAGACCCAGAGTCAGATCCTTCGGGGAGAAGGACTCGGATTATTTGAGCAAATGCGATGATTCCATTGTGCTAATGGTACATGGTATATCAGAGCCTGGGGCTGAAGTCAAGCAGGAGCTAGTCCAGGTTCTCCATAATAGACTGGACGACGCTATCTTGGAGGTGCTATCTGTGATGCTAGCTAGGAATCCAATGTGCAAATTGACACCAGCAGACGTTCACTTTATCCAAAAGCCCTACAGATCCCCAGAGTCATACGTTCAATTCTCCATTCAGCCTTATTACGTCTCTCACATGGACGCACTCGCTTACTATTTGAGGCAGAATATCCTGCAGTTCCTGTACATACCCAAGTACACAGACCCAAGAGGTCACTATCATTTCCAGGACTACTCACAGCCCGAGGGATCTAACAAGCGAGTCCCCGAGACCGATATTTTCCTGAATAATCAGAGTCAATCGAGTGGAAACAAAGGGATCGCCTGCATCGCCATGGCCATCTCCAAGGATCTCAACGAGACTGACTGCCTTTTAAAATTCCCTGGATATTTATCCCCTGAGGAGTTCAAGGACGTCGTCTCCACGAACGCGTATGAGGGCACTAGCTCCTGTACGTCAGCAAGTTCACCCATCGAGTTCAGAATTTGGAAACAGGGGAGGGTGTACCTGGAGACACTCGTGGAGAAGTTAAGGGCTGCGATAAAGTACGCAACGTGGGATCTAGTTACTGAATACCTTCTACTTCCTGTGTCACTGACTGTTGTTCCAGTGGAGGAGAAGAAAGAACTGGTGGAGGGCTTGAAGGAGGACTCACCGAGGAAAGAATCTCAGAGTCATCGACGACTGGGGGTGGACGACCTGGGGGAGGATGGAGAATTGCACGAAATTTATCATAGGACGTTTCCCTGTTGGTTCCAGTTTGCTCTGGACATGGGAGTCCCTTCTGTGAAGAAACACGTGGTTAATATTCAGCACAGACATCCTATCCCGACGATCGTTAGGGAGCTCCAAAATTTAATCCGAATCAATGCCCCTGAGACTTCCACTCGAAGCTTCGTCCTGAGACAGTCACAACCATTTGTTATTAACGACTCCATCGATAAATCCACTAGGTTGCCATTTAGAATCGATAAAAACACAGAAGCCCTGGAGGCGAGAAACGAAGACGAAATTGTTTACGTGCCATACGAATTCCCTCAGGACGACCAGAGATCCTTTACGAAGGCAGTGGTGGTAGCGAGGAATTTCAACCAGTGGAGAGCCTCATTCAGCGATGTTCCTGACTCCGAGTCCCTCATTCCGAAGGATCAGAAACTTCTCCAGAAATTTAATCCCCTCATTCAGGAGTCGACCTTCATTCCTCGCCAGCGATTACTACTGGCCCAGGTGGAGAGCCACCAGGTGGTGATTTACATGTACAACTGGTCAAAAGAGAGATCGGAGAAGTTGATTAAGCAGACGACGAGCCTGGCCACTTGGTTGTCATCGAGATCAATTTTATTCTCAAGCATTACCCTCCAGAAATTGGGGATTTTTCATCATCAGTCAGGTGACAATTACCACCGCGATGATCACAGTCCCCAGTACCAGATATCGGACCTGGAGACTCTCTCAAGGTTTCCCCTGACAGCAGAGGGTAAGGAGTGGCCGAGGAGGAGTGGACAGCTGATGAAGTCCGTTCCCCAGTACTCGTGGGACAGATTATTGGGTCAAGTGATGAGAGATGCCAGACCGAGTATGCAGTACCCTCCCAACACAACAGATCCTGTTGTGAAGGGTATTTGCGATCTGCAGGACCTCCACCAACGTGAGAGAAAAACGAAGGAGGACCTCACGAAGTTGTACTCCATGTGGCAGAGCAGGAGTGCAGCACCCAGCATCCCAATGCCAGCGCTCACACTCAAAACCTTCAAACAACACTCGAGACTCATTCATTATTGTCACACCCCAATCCTCTTTCTGCCTCAATGGAGGCTCCAGTCAGCAGCCACCAGGGACCACTCCCTCACCCCACCATCCTCCATCTCTCCGATCAGCTCCCAAGTCTCCCAACTTTACAAGAAGCTCGATAAAAATTCCGAGAAAACAGTGAACGCTTGGCATCAGGAACTCTGCGCCTCGATGCTCTCTGAGTACAAACAGTACCTTCAACTCCTGGGATTCCACCCAGTCCAGATCGACGGTGACACGAGCAACTCTGATGATCCACACCAGGTGTGTTACCTCAAGAAATCAATGCTGGGGGGAATCCTCGTCTTCGAGATTCATCTCTCCGAGCCATTCTTCATCGTTAAGCTCCACGTAATCGAGTGCAATCGCCTCCAGACAAAATCCAGCTCTGGATCTTTGAATCAGTTCATGTCGAGTTTCGTCGATGCCTGTGATAAGATTATAATTAATATGCACCTTCACTCATTTACGTATGACTTTCATCTTCGGTGCATTCACTCGTACATCGCCGGGACTGGCCAGTGGTCCCTGCAGCAGGGATACCACTTGACACAGTTCCTGGACGACTTCATAAAGTACTACAGCAAAGCCCCGAATTTCGCCAGGAACCTGGTGTACAGTGATGTCGTCAATGTCAGCAGTTTAACAACGCCGGCACACACTCTTTACTCTTATTTATTATCCCACGAGAAGACGTACGGGATGCAGGTGTTTGGGATGACGAGTGACTCCCAGGATACTAGGGACAGTGAATACGTCCTGGTGAGGCTCCAGAGTACTCCTCTCGTGAGCTATTGCGACGCCCAGGACACCAAGTACACCGATGACTTTACGGTCGCCCTAATCGTCTCCAAGCAGGACCAATCGCCCCAGATCGAGAAGACAGAGATCAGTCTCAGATTTTATCTAATATTAACGAGTAAGAGAGAGCTCTATCCGAAGAGAGAAGTTGAGAATAACAAATTGGGAAAATTCAGGACTGTATACAGTGTTGTGAAGACAGCGACTGGGGCTCAGGTGGAGAATTTCCTGGAGTCTGGGGCGACAACTCCAGTGCCTTCCTCGGAGAAGAGCCTCAAGGACGATGGCAACACGGATTCTGAGTACAATGAGAGCAATTCTGACTCGGCGAGCTCAGTAAGAGAGAAAAATGATCACCACGAGAATGATAAGAGGGAGATGGGACCAACTCCTCCACCAGTGCCACCATCGCCTCTGATTAGTGTTGGCAACACTCCAGAGTCATCCCCTCATTTTATGCAGATTCGTCAGGAGTCTATTAATTATCTGGGATACTATTCCTCGCATGAACAGCTGATGCAGCAGCTCATCATCTCTCAGGCGAAGGCCGCCAGACAACACATCACGAATATGATAGAGAGGGGAACACTCCACTGCAGAACCCATCTTCTGTGGAATAAATTACTGGAGAACAAATCGACGATGAGTTATGCTGAGTTTATGGAGCTCAAGTCGTTGGCAAAGGCTGAGACACTTTCTGCACTCGATGGAAGACTGAGTCCTCTTGTTAATCAGCCCATTGGGTGGTACCAGACCCTCGCCAAAGTACTGCAGAATAAGTACCAGGAGCACCACAAGCAGTTCAGCACACCTGATGGCAATGTTACTCATCATTTGATACTGCATCCAAGTTATCTACAGGCTTTCATGATGCTGACGATTGATTTGCATACATCCAGGGGGGTACGTTATCTTATCAATAAATTCACATTATTTTATTATTCACATTAATTCTAATTGTCAATTGACTCGAAATTTATTTATTCCCAATTATTGCAATCCAGGAACTTTATGCGGTATATCGAAAATCAGCTGAACTGACGAGTTCACCGTTTAACTTGAGTGAAATCCACAGTCTGATCGAAGGATTCGTCAACGCCTGTTGTTTTCACCTGTGGATGGGTCTCTACAGTCAATAACCCACCAAAAATCACCGAAATAATAACAGGAATCATCTTATCATTCATCCCTCTTTTGTAAAAAGAAATATATCAATCGTGTGTATCTGTAAATACGAAATACATAATATATTTTTCTCGTTACAAGCCCGAAGTACTCACTACCCAAAAAATAACACAATGATATTTTGTTGTATTTCTCGTTATTTTCCCTTTTTTAATAACATCACAATTTTCTTTCCTTGAATGATTAATATTAAAATGATATTACTTAAAAATTATGAGCTACTACCATTTAAAAATTATCTATAATTATTAATACTAAATAGTGTACAACCATCTGTCATGAGGGGACAGGATTTATCGCTTGGAAAAAAAAAAGAGTTTGTAATTTTGTTTAGGCTGTTGTCACGATTAGTTAGCATTCACACTTTCATACTTACAACGCGTCGATCTCTGCAGTCTTACGCTTTCACTTGGCCCGAAAATAAACAGGGAGATGGATAAAAAATAAAATAAAAGAACAAAGTACCCCAATTGATAATCGAGCTAATCATAATCACTGATCACTGCATGTCATCAAGTGCCAATATCTTACAACTTATTTCCTTGATGCGCTCGTATCCCTCAACGATCTAAGACGTCTACTTTATCATTATTTTTCAATTTTTCTTTATTAATTGCTTACAAATGAACTTAACTGTTAATCCTTACGACCGATTTCTTAACTAAAGTCTCCATTATTGTTTTTAAATCATTGTTTTTTTTTTCATTTCCTTCGCTATTTTCAAAGTCAACTTTAAGCTCTGCACAAACTTTTGCAAAAATTTACTTATTACCTTTTTTTATCGTTTTTTTTTTCAGTTTTTTTTTCTTCAACAAAATAAACTCTGACATTTGGGAAGCGTTGCACAGTGATTCAGTTATAATTACATCCCCCCAAAATGAGTACATGTATGTACATACGCTTTAGTTAATTATGTATATCCACCGATAACCGAGTGGAACTATTTATTTCGTCGGCTCGCGGTTTATTTATCATCTTGTCTTTTTTCTTCATATCGTGTAAAAAAAATATTTTAAATAACGAACGAAAGGATTGGCGTTCACATTGAATTTCATCGGTTGTTGTGAATTTTCTAGCCTTGGGGGTTGTGTTAATTCATGAAGTAATTGGGTTATTGTTTGCATCGGGTGGGTTTATCGCTTTTTAAATACAATTTATGCAAATCCAAATCCCTCGCTGCACTCGTGGATTGCTTTAAGTAAATTGCTACGCAGTTTATCGTATGTCTCGTAGACTGGCAGATCGAGTTGATTGAAACTGTAATTTAAATGATTTTTATGAGAAAACTCATTCAAAGTAATTTGTTGAGTAGCGAATAGGTAAAGGACAAGTCGATTTAGATAATTTCGATTTTAGACACATTAATGAGGGGATAATTACCATGTGTGTGCGGACGGTAATCTATCAGTTGAACGATCGTCCCGATGAATCTGGAATTTCTGTACACCATTCATGCCCTCCAGTGCTCCAAAGCCTTGAAGAGGGACCTTAGAGGTTCCCGTGACGAATTGAAGGAATTTAGCCCTATCGGCCTGATCGAAACCACGAAGAGCTCGCCAGAACCACTGAATCTATTAATTCCCCACAAAAAAAATATTAATTACACGATAATTACGAGTGATAACATCCACGGACTGTACAATTACCTGTAGTGAAGTGGGACTGTACTTGTGATACTCTGTGTTCGCTCTCAGATCCTCGATATCAACATTTGGCAAACCACTTATAAGCAATTCGAGTTCCTGCTCGTTGAATATTGAAATTAGTCGTTTGGGGATGATGTCGTAGAATCCCTCCAAGAATGAATTTAATTGTTTTCGAATGGCTCCCGTCATTTTCATTTGGCAAACCAGCCGAATGTACTCCAGCTTGGTCTCCTCGGTTACGACGATATTCCTCCCATTGGGAATTAAATCCCTGACATCATTGACCCCGAACTCATTGACCTCCGCCGAGAAAGTCAGCTCATACCCCAGATCCGTGATATTATTCTCAGTGAGATAAACAAGTCCCTTGTAAAAGCTGTAATCCTCGCTCTCCATATCGGTGTGTTTGACGAGAATTCCAAGGATGTGCTTGTAAAAGCTCCTCGTGAAGTAGCACTCGAGAAGTTTATTATCGTAGATAGCTTTCGCGATGACTCTCCCCACGAATTTATAATAGCAGAGATGATTAGGATTGCAGTGAGATGACGAGTTGATCATGTAAGTGACTCTGTCGCCAGGGCTAACAGTGAAAAGTGCATACATGGGGTTGAATATCTCCCTGGAGATGATAACGTACCACTCCCTGAGGAGTCCTCCAGCGTCCTGTCCCTCTTCTCCTTCAAAAACAATATAAAATCTGTTTTTCCACTCGTCAGCGTTCCTCCTGTGGAGCTCCCTGAAGGAGTCCTCGAAGACGTGACTCCTCCTCACGTGAACAGCGAGCTCCTCCCTTCTGATGCCCTCGTCCATCCTCTCGAGCTCAGTCCTGAAGTACCTCCTTTTGACGTCAAAATCCAAAACCCTCGTATGATCCACGAGGACACTGAAGGGCCCGTCAGCTAGATGCGTTGTAGTTTGCCTGAGTATTTGATTGAGAACAGTCCTGTGGGTCTCAGCAAACTTGAGGAACTTAAGCTGATCAGATGGCAAAGTCTTGGTAGGCGCTGGTGCGAGGTCCCAGGCTCCAGAATTATTTGATATTTCATTGGCAGATGTTCCATCTGAGTCGGAGTAAATAGGGGAGACTGGTGCCATATCGGCTACAGCTTCTCGAGTTTCATTATTAGTCTCGTTATTGCGATCCTTGGAGGAGGTGCTCGATGAGGAGTGCACCAGGAAAAATGCCTCCACAGCTGGCTGGAGAACGAGGACAGCGTGATGATCAGGAGTGTGTTCTAGCTCGAGGAGGCAAGCACTGAGAGTCTCCCATAAACTATCCAAGACCAGGCTCTCACTCAACAGTGGTAATGTCGATTTATCGTCCTCAGCCTTGGAGTTTGAGGGTTTTGGTAATTCCTGAACTGGTTGAGCCGTCTCCATAGCTGAATTATCAGCCGTTGCGTTATCGTCGACAGCCGACTCCTGCACTTGCGATGTATTCGCTGTCTCCATAGCAGTCTCACTCGTTCCAGGTGCACTCTCACTCTTCTTTTTGTTCGCCAGATTAACCGCTTCTCTGATCTGCACAATGACCTTGAGTATACGTAAGAAAAATGCTTGACTAGATGTCTTGCTGACGAGTGCACTCATTGAGGGCAACTGGAGGTCAGTGGCTGCTTTAATTTTAGCTGGGGCTGTGACGATGACATTGTCCATGGTAAATCTGTCCATGAGAATGCCTCGTGCTGAACCTCCACTGGTTGATGGCTGGTCCTCGAGTGAATTCCTTCGTTTCAATTCTCGGTTCAACACTTTGAGCTCTTTCATCAGTTCGTTGATATGTTCACAAACCATATTAGCTAGCTCCATGGCTCCTTCGAGTAGAAGCTTGAGGATTAATTGTCTGGTGGGATCTGGACAGTGGGAGAGATTGAGTAAAAGTGCAGTGGCATCCTCGAGACCCTCTTCAGAGCAACTTTTACTCGTGAGAACTTGCACTGCGAGCCTCAGGTGTCCCTCGGGAGCTGCCACACTCTGCTCCTTACTGGGCTCAACTTTTTTATTTTTAGTTGCATCCTGTCTTCTGTAGGGATTTACTTCAGTCAGTCCAATGGAGATGAGAGACAGTAGACGAAGAAGTTTGTCAGTCAGCTGGGAGCTCCTCTTGACGACCGACCAGTGGAGCATTGAAATTAATTGTCCAAACGCCGAGGACTCGAATGATGTGAGACTCTGCTCTGTCTCAGCACCAATTGCTGAACTGGAGTGTGTCCTGGCGACTGATTTCCCCTTCTTCGAGGCGCAAGAATCGAGCTTAAGCAGCATATCCCAGAAGTCTGGCATCTCTGTCTTCGTGGATTTCGATGTTGTTTTGCTCTTGGCTCCACTCTCTTCCTTGACACTTGACTCCTTCTCCTTGAGTTTCTCCTCCTCCTTCGATTTTGTGGGGACAAAGTACCCTGGAAAACTCTTGGCCAGTGATATCAGTAGCTCCAAGGTGTGTCTGCAAACAGTGGGAGCTGCCTGTGGATGAATAGCAATAATATTTCCCTGGCGATCAGCCTTCTTCGATCCATGTCTCACAATGTGAAAAACATTGGCTCGACATCCCAGAGCTGCATCGATGCTGATGTTCAACCACGACTGGAAATTATTCCTTGACTCTGACAATTTGGGGGAACAGTAGTCGATAGCTGGATGAACTGATTTCCTTTTGAATTTTCCAGTGAAATCAGTGAGAGCCTCTTTATTCTCATCATTACTTCTTTCCATAATATTCAAAAGGGCTCTAACAACCCACTCTCTAGTGCTTCCATGGTAGCAGAGATTTCTGATGACCCTGTGGAGCCTGAGAGTATTGATTTTCGGCTCGTCAACGAATAGCAGCACCAGAAGGCAAGCCATCGACTCGTGATCCAGCAGTTGTCTCCCACGAAGTCTCAATCCAGCACTTTGATGCCCTAGAGTGGTATCTCCTCGGTGATTCCACGAGCTCCACTGAGCTCGCGGTGTGACACCAGAAATTGCGTACCTCGGATTGCCTCGACCTCTTCCAGAGTTCCTGAGGATGCTTGAGAGGGTAGTGTTGCCCTGGCTGACGTGACTGAGAAATCTCTCCTGCATCATGTGACGATTTCTCGCTTCCCACTGCCTCCGTAGGTTCTGAGCTTCTTCAGCGAGGTCGGGGGGGAGTACAGACATCTGTGACTCCTCCATATCTGTGAGTATAGCTTGTCGTAGTGAGGGCTGAAGATTCTGGAAAAATGCAGCAGCATCCACAGGGTCTGCTGGATTTGCTGAGGCAGCGGCATGTCTCTGCTGCTCCAGCCTCTGCTGAGCCAGAACTTCCTCCTGAATAGCGGGAGGCAGCGCAGCAAGGAATTCAGGATTAACCTCCACTGGGCCTGTCACCTCTTCGACGACCGTGGCCTGAGCTCGTTGACGAATTCTCTGAAGCCTGAGTTGTTCAGCGATCACTTCGTCTCGCATTTCCTCGGGTAAAGCAGCCAAAAATGATGGGTCAACTCCATCAGGAATCTGCGATTCTGATGAGGACGTCTGCTGTCCTTCAGCAGAGTCCTGCGGTTGAGAATCTTGACGATTTTCTTGAGCAGTTGCTGTGTCCTGAATGGAAACCGGTGGCTGCTCGGATTGGGACTGTGTCTGTGGCTCTGGGGCCTGTGTGGACGATGGCGGCTCATTCACTGGAGCACTTTCAACTGTCGATGACGAAGCTGAAGCGTCCTGAGGGACATTAGCGTTGTTCTCTCTTCGAGATTGTTCGAGAGCCAAAAATCTGTGGACCCAAGCGTGAGGATCCCTCGACTCCCTGGGATTAACCCCGAGGGAATCCTCCTCAACGGGTGCTTGAGTGAGCCACGTGGTGGAACGACTCAAACTCAGTTCGTCAGGCTCTCGATTTGTCGTCAGTCTTCGCAGTCTTGTTGCCTCCTCAGCACCTGGCTGGAGTACAGAATCGAGAATACTTTCAGCCAATTCCAGCGTAGCATGATGATCAGCTAGTGATGATCGGTTCTCCTCGGGAGGTGGGGGAGGAGGAGGTGTCGGTGTTGAAGGAGCCCGGACTTCGTCCTCTGGGAGGGTGACCTCCATGTCCCCAGTGACCTCGATTATATTCTCATCACGATTACGTTCCTGTCGAACAGCCTCAACTGCTGCCTCCACAGCATCGGCAAGACGTCTTGAGACATCGAGGGCATCCTCGGCAGCCATCGGCAAAAGAGAGCCTGATGTCTGCTCCTGGTCGCTTGCTGTGGCATTCGTTGGATTTGTTTCACGTGGTTTTGAACTCTCCTTCTCTTTGGTTTCTTTATCTGTGTCCTTGTCAGCGTGCTGTTTCTTTCGTTTGTCCTTCCTCTCAGCTAGTTCGACATTTCGGTATTTCTCGAGGCCGGGAACGAGTTTGTGAACAACACCAACGCAGCAGTCTGGTTGAGAATCACCATCGAGCTGTTTGCTCTCCTCGATCCACCAGTGAAGTGCTGTGGGAATATTATTGAGAGTCGCTGCCAGACTCGGTCCAAAGAGGTACCCAGATTGATCGACAAAATCTATCTGCTCCTCCTCTTGATTCGAGAATATTCCCAGACCATTATTATCCATGAGGACGACTCTAGTATCCCTGAAGTTGGAAGCCAACATTTGAGTGGCTGATAGAGGAAGAGACTGAGCAGCTGGCACAAGAAGTCTTTGAAGTATAACAGGAGGATTTGCATTTCTCGAATTGGCCAGGTGGAGGTATTGAAATCTCCTCTGGCGAATAGATCTCTGGGCACGTGTACTCGCCGTATCTAAACTACCCTGGGCCATCAGCAATGGGTGTGAGCCAATTCCATTGGACTCTGACACTGATGGAAGATCTTCAAAAAGCCCCAGTGGCAGTGGAAAACCCCATGGATGATTCTGTCTCGTTGACGCTGGAGTAGTGGAATTGTTCTCGTGATTATCAAAATTATGTTGAATCATAACGACATTACTGCCGTCTCTCTCGGCTGATGGTAGCATTCTGAATATTCCCTCACCCACGTCCTCATAGTAGTCCATACCGTCTTCTTCGTAATTCGAGGAGCCCTCCTCCTCATCCTCCTCCTCCTCCTCGTTTTCTTCACCATCGTCATCCTCTTCCTCCTCCTCCTCTTCATCCTCGTCGTCCTGAACGTCGTCCTCGTTGTCATCGGATGGATTTGAATCTGAGTCTGAATCCGAACTCATCAGGTCCTCCTGGGAATTCAATTATTCGATTAGATTCAGTAGTCTTTTTTTTATTCCATAAAGATATTCAGGAGAATTCCTAGAGTTTATCATCCACGAGGTGAATATATCTGATGAAATAACGGGTTATTCGACAACGAAAATATGAGAATGTAAGAAACTCCAAAAATTCCCTGAACCTCCCTAATTTAATGAACGAATAAAAAAAGCGACGTTACTCTTACGGTTGTATCCCTGGTGGGATCGAAATCCCCTTCAGCATCTCTCATAGCGAGACCCTCGTCATCGATATCCATTGGTCGATGGGAACGGGACGTGGGTTCTTCTGCAACGGCAGAGCCGTCCCTGGAGAACAGAACACTACTGGATTATCAATACTGAGCCATTACCCATTACCTCTAAACCCCCCCCTCAACCAAGAAAATCGTCATACCTCTCGAGCAATTGATCCATGATGTCCTCCAAAGCAGCTTCATCCCCCTCCTCGTGCACCTGGCTCTCAGAGGTGGGCTCCAGGCTCTCAGCATTCAGCGATATGTCATGCTCAGTGTTCTCGGCATCTTCATTAGCCTCTTCTCCCACAGCATGAGTAGCCTCTGAAGTAGTCGTTCCAGTCTGATCGCCTATGGGCTCTTCCTGAATAGTTCTGTTTTTTGGTTTAGGGAATTTGTTGTTGACAGCCCCTGGCATGGGCTGATTTATGATCCTGGAGAGTGTCTCCAGTGGTTTCAAAGCAGCATTTATAGTGCCTGCCATATTGGGACTGGAGAGATCGAGACTGTGTGGAATTTTCGCCAGATCTGTTATGATTCCCTTCCGCAGCATGATTCTCACGATATAATTAACGTTATTGTACTGGTGAACCTTGAGTGGAGCTCGCAGTTGAGAGTGAGATGTAGGTGGGCAGCTGTCGATCATCGTGGATATGAGGCCAATGAGTAGCTGGAGTTGTGCATGTTTCTCAGAGCTTTCAGGCTGTGCCAGAGTTCTGGTGAGTGCAGCTTTGACTTCAGTAACGAGACTGGATTGAGCATCGGGGGAATGATTGCACGAGGCTATTGCAGCTATTAGCATCCTGGCCATGCTGCTGCATTGTCTATCCCCAGAGTTCTCAGGGGAAGCTGGTAGTAATTTGTCGAGGAGGAATGCCAGGGCAGAAACGTCCTCTGGGACCAGCTCACTTTGTCCAGCTCGGTAGCTGTGTTCGGTGATTAAATTAGCAACAGCTCCGTAGGATCTCACTGCCTCAGCTAACATTTTAAGAATAGCTGATTTAGGGAGGAGGGGCTTTTTTGCCTCCTCAGGCTCGACTTTTCCATTATTCAAGTAGTCACTGGACATCTTCAGGGGAACGATCTGATCATCGTCGTCGAGGGGCCCATTGGCAGTTGCATTCCCTCGAACTTCGTTGCGTCTTGATGTCGAGGAGACTCCAAGTGTTGTCGATGTGGATGTTGTTGTTTTTTTCTCGGGGCTGCCAGTGGGTGTTGGGGTATTATCGTCAGGGAAAACAGGCACCGGCTTGATGAGGGCGTCGAGCAGATCATGAATGACTGAGACAGCCACATCTTCAGCCATTGGCATTGCTGATGAGTGATTAGGGGGGAGGGCCCTCACCACCAGGCGATTGTCAACATCGTCCCTCTTGAGAACACTTATATCAACCCTGAGAATATTCTCGCAGACCTCTCGGTAGACCTCAGGATTTCTGCAGACGGCACTGCTGATTTGCCTTGTCATGAAGAGAATTTCTTTATAGGCAGGGGGTATATTCGCCTGGGTTCTGCTCCTTACGACCTTCTCCATCGCCAGACGAAGGGTTCGAGGTTCCTCCAGAGTGTGACGTATCAGAAGTGTACTCAGACTGATACACCCTATGAAACTGATTGCCTGAGTCATATCTAGGAGAAGCTGAACACCTCCCTCTCTAGCGAATACTTCAGCATTCTTGTAGTCTCGAGTCAATCGTAAACAGACTTTCATGAGAGCATGGAGTGTGTCCCTGTCAACTGGAATTGCCAGTAGTTTGACACAAGCCCTGACAATACTAGGAGCAATGCTAGGATCCAATCCCTCGATCACTGTGTTACGTTTATCCTCAGTGGTCACCTCCTCTGTATCCATATTAGAATCAGAACTCGAGCTCGACTCCTCAGTATTTGAATTCTGAAACTTGAAACCCATGGTAATGGGCCTCCTGTTGTCGCTGTCCTCATTTACTTGTGTCATGCAAGAGAATGTTATCAAGTATCTTCTCCTCGAGTAATTGATCCTTACACTGGATTCACCAGCCCAGTAAGCATCATTGATCAATCGATTATTAACCGATGAATAAGGCGTCCATTTTCCAGTGCTCAGATCGAACCACTTCCACACTCTATTGGTCACCTTGTGCATCAGTTGCTTCCTCTGAGTGAGAACAGCTACCTTCTCCAGACGATCGATTAAGAGGAGCAGTGGAGCGAGCCATTTTGGAGTTTTAGCTACCACAGGTTGACCGTCTTTGCTCTCCTTCGCAACTTTGTTTTTCATAGCTGTTAGTGGACCCTCACTGATCACCAGGAGACGAACCAGCTGATCGAGTATTCCACACTCGTTGACAATCTGGGCACATGGGACTCTCATCTCCTGGAAGGTCCCCTCGAAGAACAGAGTGTAGAGGTATATCCTTCCAGCAATTTTCGTCGCCTCCTCACATTCTATGAGTTTAGTTCCAGCATCTTCATCCTGGGAAAGGGCAATGCCTATCAAATGATCCATGAGCTCGTCGATCTCCTTGATGAGATGTCTCAGCATCTTATCCCTCCACTCATCCCCATTTCTCTTAGTTATTGTCACCAGAAGATCACAGACCCTGTAGACAGTATCAGGCATAAGATCAAGAAGATTGAGACACTGTTCGAGGGCAGTAGAAGTGAAATCGTCGATGGTTTCGGTGATTGGAGTGTCTCTGACAGGCTCCTCAGGCCCTGAAGCCTTTTTGGGATCGTTATCCCCTAGACTCATGGCAATAGCGTACATTATTTGGTCATCAACAAGATCCAGATCCATAACAGGCCCTGTCGATGTGTCCCCTGCAGGTGCTTCCGGCCTGCGAAGTGTAGCTGGATGAGACAGAAGGTAATCAGTGGCCTGTTCCACAGTCAAATTATGGAGAAGTGCTTCCACACAATTAGCCCTGCTGAATCCCATATCCATGAGCTGTCTTAGGTGCTCAGGATTTACATCAGCCTCAGGATCCTCTCTTCTCTCTGTGGTGGCTGTTCTAGTCGCTGCGGTTCCACTGGTACTCGTTCCCGATATTTCCTCTCCTCCTTCCTCCTCTTCAGTCCTCTCTTTGATAATTTTCTCACCTCTCAGGATATGCCTCAATATCGATAAAATTGACTCTGTCATCCTGGCCCCGTAATTCTTGAGGGGTTTCTTCCCCCACATGAGCATCACAGCGTCGAACGCCTTCTTGTGAACATTCTGGAGGTATTTTATTGGGTCAAATGATTTGTAAGGATTGTACACCCCTGTACACTTGGATAATCCAACGTGAGGAGAGTCTAGGATCGCCTTGGGATTGACCATCTTCTCCAGGAGCATTAGCCAGGCGTCGAGAAATTCCCCAGTGCCATCGGGCAGGTCTGGGTGTTCCAATCCCTCTGACAATGGAAATTGTCCACCCCCAGACAAGGCCCAACGAAAAGTGGAAAAGAATGCACTCTGTCCTCTCAATTGCACAAACTTCTGGAGCATGAGGTGATAAGGATGTCTTTTCTCATCGAACAGCATTGGAGAGGTGAATCCCACCGAGCAGATGAGGAATGTCAGCTTGAATTTTGGGATAGGCGAGGGTGGCAATTTGCCCCAGGAGAGGCCTCTGGTGAGGAGGCAATTCAGGGCACAGGCTACGCCACGTGCTGCAGAATTTGGAATTGTGGGCATCATTGGGAGCTGTTGACCACGCCTCTGTCTAATAGGTGAGCCCATGCAAAGTTTAACTAGGAGGCCAAATAATTCTGCCAATGCTCGTCCAAGCCGCGATGACGCCCCTAGCAGGGGCTTTATGTATTTCAACTGATGAGCACTGGGAGATGCTCGTCCAGTAGTGCTTGTACTCGGTTTATCATCAATTTCCATTGACACTGGAGGTGGATCAGTGCTCAATGCTTCCATCGCTGTTGTCATACCATTGCTGCCCATGTCCGCGGAGGTACTGGGCCAGGTCGATGCATCGGCATCTCGCAGTTCCGCTGGAATCAATTTATCCATGTCTTCTTTTCCAAAATCACAGCCTGGAGGAATGTTGTCATCGCTGCACAGGGCCAGTAGGAGAGTGCTCTCCCAGACAAGGGACATGTATAGCTCGGATAAACCCTGGAGAACAGACAGGCCCACCTCGGAGCCCCAGTGATTCATCGATAGATTTCTAATTTCTGTTTGACTCGTTCTGCACACGTGAACGAACATCACGACGTAGCCATGGGCTGCATTCATGGCATGGAGTAGAGGAGTCGCAGTGTCACTCGTGAATGCAGTCTCTAAGTTGGGGGCTGATGCGAGCTCGTGGAGAAGGACGGAGCCTCCTGGTGACTCCATGTGACTGTGAAGTGGTTTCAGAAGATTTAATACTTCATTTAACTGAAGTAGTCCTGTCTTCAAGACGAGGGGTTCATGAGCAAGATTGAGAATACTTTTGCAGACCGATGCGACTGACTGGGCAGCCTGGGCCACCGGATAATCCACCGGCAGATTAGGCAGCCCGAGAATCGACAGTAGTGGAACCAGCCCTTTCTGCGCAACGAATTCACGACAGTGATCATCAGTCGAGTTATTACTCAGTATTGCATCCACAAATTTCATGACATTGTGAATATAATCGACAAGAGCTATCGGTGTTTTTTCTCTAGGTTGCTGAGGAGGTGGTCCAGGTTGTACTGGAGAGGGTGAAGGTTGCTCCTCCCTGTGGGGATGAGAGCTAGTACTGGCTTCCTCCTCGTCCTCCTCTTCCTCGTCGCTACTACTACCACCTCCTCCTCCTCCACCTGCTCCATTATCCCCAACCCCAACCCCAACAGACTGTCCTGAGGACTGTCGACTACCAGAGCTCGAGTTCGATGGAGAGTTCTCTGATTTATTAGCAGCCCTGTAGCATACATACCTAGGATCACACCCTAGAACACAGAGTTCTTCGAGAAGTTTGATAATAGCTGCTGTGGAATCGACCTTCAAACTGGGCTGATGCCTCATAAGTTCGTCCATTGCATTCCCCAGGTTGGATGCTGTGTCCCCAAGGGGATCTGCAGACCTGCGCCTTCTCATGGCTGAGAGATACGTCGGTGAGATGAGTACCTTGAACAACTTCTCGAAAGGTCGTCGTTTGACGAAGGACTCGAGGCCCCTCTGGTTGAGACACAGTGCACTGAACACATTGGGAAGTGAGCCCAGCACTTCACGGGTCGCTGGCACATCCTTAATCAATAAAGCATGAAGGACAACATCGGTGAGTCCATTATCCTGCAGAGACGACAGCAGAGAAGGCTCTTGAAAGACGTAGACTGTCACCACGTCAATCGCCAGGAGGAACAATGATGGCCCGTAGTATTCTGAATTACTGATAATGTGTTTCAGTGAGGACGGCAGTTCACCCTCCATAACGTGCCTGATACTGTCCGAGAAGGCGGGATCCTGGATAGCCTTCTTCAAAAAATTCAGCATGGATTTTAAAAGAGCTGCTCTCTGAGGCAGACAAGTTTTGCCAGACCTCCCCGAGCCCTCAGTCCTCTGCTCTCCTTTATTCTCGAATTTTGAATTTGTATTTTCGTCCTCTGAAAACTCCATAGGATTCGAGGTTTCTTCGCGCTCATCGATGCTGCTGAGGCCGGAGGGTCCAGCCTCCTCAGGGCCCTCAGACTTATCCTTCATGGCCACAACTTCCTGATTGTACATGTGGGGCTCGATCTCGAATGGTTGCTCCTTTCTGCAGACGTTCACCTCCATGTCCAATCGATTTATGAAACTTCCTAGACCTCCGTGCGCCTGGAACCCTTGCATATCGATATTAGTGATGAGATCGATTACTCTGACAGCCCGTGTTACGAAGGTAATGTGTTCGAGTTCACTTCCAGGCCAATTGATAACCTTGAGAAGAATTTCCATCATGCCACAGGAAACGAGGGCCTCTCCCCCAGCTTCATAGCTCGCCAGATGATACAGAAAACTGAAGAGAGCAGTTGCCAGAGGTAAAGGAAAGAGCTGTCCATCGGGTTGCGGTGATGTGAGTGTTGTGATGCAGGTTCTGACGAGAACTGGGAGAAATCCGTGATAAGAGCTCGCTCCAGTGACATCTATAATCATATTTAGCCGTGACCCTGGTTTCTTAGGGAAATGTGGATTCCTGTCCAGGTGGATTATGCTGGTTAATGCTCTGAGAGCAGCTGCTCGAATTTCTACGAGATGTTGATGAGGCAGCTCGAGCAGCTCGACGAGTTCCTCGAGGAGTCCCGGATGCAGAAGGCTGTGGGCATTCTCCTGGAGAGCATGACTATACACTAGAACCGAGAGGGCTTGAAGTCTGGCCTGAACGCACTGCAGACGTCTGCGGTAGTCTGAGAAACTGTGAGCAAGTCTAATGTGAGTGAAAAGAGCCATCTGTCGATCCTGAGGTACATTGTAATACTTCAGAAGATCGTTCATTATTTGGGCTGGTGTTTTTCCAAGTTTGTCAACATTCTCGATGTGAATGTATGTAACGAGATTTGTTTGACTGGTTTTGCGAGAGCTGGGGGTGGTGGGTTGAGCCTCCGAGGACGTCGTGGGATTCTCAGCGTAGTACTCAAAGTGAAGTGTCGTTGCACTCACGGGGAAGGCCTTGTCCGGGTGCTCCTTGCAGCAGTCAGCCAGGCCAAATCCATTCTCCTTTCCTCCCCAGGATTCAGCCAAGTGATTCAATCGACTCAGCAGTGCCTGTCGTTTGTCATTATTCAAACGTGTGATGAAGTTACTGCGTTTGCTGAACATGTAGAGGAGATTGAGAACACCCAGGACCACGTGCATGTCACAGCTGGAGAGCAGGGTGACCAGGTGCTCCATGCTGTTGTAGAGGTGACGTGAAAATGAGTGCTCAATCAAAAGGGTCGTGAAGTGGAGGACCCAGAGGAGAAGCTCCTTAGCTTCTCTATTCTGAGGAAGATCGCACGCCAATTCCCAGGGATTGTCTGGGCTGCGGGCGCATGCCTCCTCGAGGATACTGTCACTAAGGTCCAGGACATCGATCCAGTGAAATAATTCACATTTTCCAAATGTCCAGGCGTCGATCTGCTTCAACTCCTCGAGGAGCTCGGTGTGGGAGCACGATCGCAATTTACTTATCAATGCCTGACATTCTGCTGGCACTTCCGAAGTACACTTCTTCAATCTGCTGCGATCGATCTTCATTTTGGAGGTTGTATTTGTCTAAAAGGGGTCTGAAATAAATAACAATAAAACCATCACGTTACCAATCTACAAATAATCGTTCCAAGATGCCATGATTGATGTCCTTACGAGTATTTTTAGACATCTTTCTATCAATAAGTTAACCTGAACCACTAGAAATAAAACTGATATTTCAATACCGATGAATATACTTGGGTAATTCTTTATTTGAAATTGTAATAGATTAACTCCGAGGAATAGGTAAAAATTGATGGCATTATTTCATGCAATAGGTGGCACATATCGACGTGCAAATTCAACGAGCCATGGCTGTTTCAATGTCACCCCGACGAATGGGAAAAACCGAACATCACCAGGGAATGTGGAGTCGCCATTTCGAAACGTCAACAAAATGAAAACTTTCTTTTTTTTTCCACAAGAAGTGAATACTTTTGCTCGCAGATGTTGCCTTATCGGTGATTTTCGTACGGGGTCAAGGATTCTCCCAGTGGAATTCCAACCTCTTTCGAGCACAAATCAACGGACCGAAACAGATTCACTGAGACACCTCAAACTGCACAGTCATTATAGGTTAGTGCAGCAATAAAAAAATGGGTTCTGAGAACAGTAAAAACTAGAGGAAAACTGTTGATGACGTCGAGGACTCCAAAACGTGGATTGAAACGAGAGAGAATTCCCTTGACACGCCAAATTGTTGATATATTTGAGCTAAATATGTTTTTATTCCATTTTTTTTGGCGTTGTCAATAAGAATGGCGGTTGGGGGTTTTCCCAAAAATCTCAAATGCCCTCACGAGATGCTGCGACATGCAGATGAGCTCCAGGATATCCAGGGGACCTCCCAGGACGGGGAAAAATTAGGATAATGCTAAATTTCCTGAATTATGAAGAATAATGACAAAATAGTAGAACTTACCTAATGACTCCTCACTTGAGGGTCACAAGCGTTATTGGCGACGTATCTCACTATTGATGACGTCCCTTTGTCTTCCCTCTTCACGATAATTCCGATGCAACTGTCAGGAACTATATTGAGGTGATTAACGAGCATTGCTGAGCAATACTCGATGATTTATTATTGTTTATGTTGAGTATGTTGGAAAAATCCGTCCGAAAATGATCCGGTGATTTTTACGTGTTCCAACACGCCTCCTGAACGTTCCTCCGTTGTGCCTCGTGTCAGGGGAATTCAAACTATTGGGGTGAAAATTAAACTGATCGCTACTGAACAACGATAAACTAGAATATCTTCCTGGATTGATTGATTTTTTTATTCCACTTTTCTCTGGAAAATTAGTGAGACACTGATTTTATCGTGGACTTTTTTCGCCAATGTTCACCGCCAATCTGAAGTGATCAACGCCATTTTGACAGTGTAGAGCATACTGCCACCACCAGTCGTCGCCCGATACTCGATTATTTATTTATTTTTGTTTCTAGAACGTTTTGCGGAATTCTTAGATCGAGATTTGTGGATTTTTCAAGTTGTTTATGAAATTGAGGATGGGTTTTTTTGGGTTTTTGGGGGCCTGGGGGACACTTGGTGTCTCGATGATGGGAATAATGTGCTTGATGCACCAGGTGTGGATTATTTCGACGAGAGTGCACTGTACTCGCTCCAACACTGAACACAACTGAACACACAAATAATCACAAACATGGGTTTTCAGACCTGAGAGTCACTTCGGTACCGATACCCACACATCCAAGCAGTCATGGATTTTAAATGAGGAATTATTTTCGCTTTTATGGGTAAAATGCCAGGGGTTTCCCCAGGAAGAAATCTGCATTTTTTTTCAATGGAAGAAAAAATACAATTTAAATGGAATTCAAATGGAGAATTTTTGTGGGGCTCTTGGGATTTTGGGAGATTGACAGTCATAAATATTCTCTGACGCTCAGTCTTTGTTGATTATTAATGCACGCGATATAAATCTCTTGGTGGTCTGGTTTATTCTTTATGCAGCGTGTAAATAGATGAGTAACGGTACTCACCTTCCTCGAACAGTGATAACAGTTTAATTTATTGGGGAGAAATTCATATCGGATGATTCCACTCACAAGAACAAAGGCGACGAACAAGCAATTGGATTTTTTTCTTTATCCGCTTTTCCAAAGATTCGCTTCAATAATAAAAAAAATAGGAAAGTGGAATAAGTCGAATAAAAATTTATCTCAATTATCGATGTAACGAAATTTATAATAACTTCGAGGAAATAAAGTAGACAATCGTGAGCCCTCGTGAATTTTTCAAAAAAATGTAATAATTATCAGTACAAAATTACAATTTTTTTTGTATCCCCTCGAATTCCTCATCTCTGTCCTTCTAGTATCAAATCGACTATTGATAACTCCTCGAAGGTATATCGGGAATTCGATTTAAGAGATTCACGTAATTTTGGTACTCTGGAATGATGCAGGGCATTGTGGATTTTTTCGAGAGCCCCATCAATTTTACTGGCATAGAGTGGCCCGTTGCTCTCGTACCTCAATAAATTTGGATTGATCTGCTCCACCAGTCGATTAAAATACCGTGCAATGTTCACTTGACCGAATATTTCTCGATTTCCATCGAGTTTCAAGAGAGGATCGACGCCGTTTGATTTCCAGATAAAGATGACCGACAGATCAGTGGACTCCTGGAAATTCCTGAAGTCCGAACAGAAGGTCTGGAGTTCGAGAGGAATTTTATGAACTGATGAATGGAGATGAGTCGTTACTGAAGTCTTGATGGAGTTTTTCGTGAAGTTGATGAAAGCCTCGAGCCACAGAATGGGATGTTTAGGATCGCAGAAGATTACGAGGTGCTGTTTCTCAATTTTTTCAATCTTCATCCAGGGTTTATCCCAACAACCGGTTGTGGATATTTCATTCTCCCGACGTTTATTGTCTCTTTGGGAGTTGCCTGCGACTCTGAAAAAAAAGCACAACAATTACATCCATTGAACAAAAATAATTGAATAATCTTGAAAAATGAGTGAATAAAAAATTTGTAAGATTCATTCAATACCTCCAGTAATAAAGTGATATTTACTTCTCTAGACGACATATGGGGTTGTTGTAGACCATCTGTAGGTCCACCTTGGGCCCGACAAGATCTCGAATGTTATTCAATTTATATTTGATCATCGTGGGTCTGAAAAATTCAATTCGAACCCATTAAAATGTGAAATTAAACCAGCAAAATAGCAAAAAGAAATAATAAGAATTGAATTAACCTCTCAAGGGACAATCCCCAGGCGATGACATTCACATTTTTTGGCAGACCCATAGGCAAGAGCATCTCCGGTCTGAAGACCCCACTGTTCCCAATCTCAATCCACTTTCCTAACCCCTCGTGAAAGCAAAAGATTTCCATACTCGGTTCAGTATATGGATTATAAGCTGGCTTGAATTCAAGCTTATCGATCCCCAGCTTCTTAAAGAACTCATAAAGAGTTCCAATGAGATCTCCGAGGGTTAGATTGTAGTCAGCGACAACTCCCTCGACCTGGTGGAACTCGGCCAGATGAGTAGCATCGAGGGTCTCGTTTCTGAAGACCCTGTCGATGCTGAAGTACCTCACCGGCCTGAATTCCCCACCCTGCATGAGCTTGTAGAGCATTCTTGCCGAGACAGCTGTCGTGTGAGTCCTCAGAAGGTTCTTCTGGGCCTCCTCTATCTTCCAGGAGTACCTGTATCCCTCTGATCCATACCCCCCATTGCTGTGGACCTCTTTCACCTTCTCCAGGTATTCTTGAGGGAATTCCGTCGTTAATTTTGGGTCTGATATAAAGAAAGTATCATGGGCATCACGAGCTGGATGCTGTTGAGGCTGAAAAAGGGCGTCGAAGTTCCAGAAGGATGACTCAACGAAATTATTCGTTGGCATTTCTGTGAATCCCATTTCCAAAAATATTTTCCTGAACTCTGTTCTCACTTTCAAGAGTGGGTGAAGATGTCCAACATCGAGCGCTGCCCCCAGAGCATCGAAATTATACGGTTTGAATTTTTTTTCTTTCCACGAATTATTGACTAGCAGATCAGCAGTCAGGTCAGCCTCCTGCTTCTCGATTTTGGTAACGAAGTTCATCCCCTTCCTGACGATTACACTCTTGATGACGATCTCCTGCAGGAGTTTTCTCTTCTTGTACTCAGCCCTGATGCTGTCTGAGAGGCTCTCGATGTTCTTGAGGTGCACCTGAGTTGTGTCCTCGATGGAGGGGACATTCCTAGTTACTGTGGGCTTACCACTGCCTTTATCCAGCTTTATCCATCCAGCCACCATGGCCTTGGAGAATCCAACTTTAGCGTATGGAACTGACTTCATTATTTCAGCCTGGAGGATGCCACCCTCTGGCACAGCCTTGTAGACAGCTGCCTCGTGGCTCCCATGCTCGATTACATGTTCTCCCTCAGCTGTTGGCTCCCATCTCTTCTGACTTACTTGTTCAACATCAATAATATTATCCAGTGTCTTTAGACTTTTGACAGCTCCAATGATCTTCTGATGATCCTCCTTGAAGACGTTCACTAAATCAAGGGAATTTACATCCCCATTCTTCTCCACGTACTCCAAAATCCCCTCAGCAAGTTCACTAGCCATTTTCACGTGGGAATCAGTCTTGCGTCATTCTATTCACCTGGGATAAAATAATTTGTGATGACTGGAGAATAATGAATGGGTAGTAAAACCAAAAACCACCCACAGGGAATTATTGTGCTGATATTGTTCGAGCGTTATTCTCGGCATTCTTGTTATGCAATGTTGGTATGGATATTTTTCATTGTTTGGCGTGAATTGAAATAACTGCTGGTGGTGCACATTTTAGAAATAAATTTGACGAATACTCACCGGGTGTCACGGGTGAATTACATCAAGTCACATTTTACGTCGACCCACGTTTTCAGGGATTTTTCTGGGAATTTCCATGCGGCGACTAATGAAAAAAGCGAGGGGAATTCAAATAATAATATTAATTATTTCATTAATTTCGAATGTATCATAAGTAGAATGATTTTTGTGGGAGTTAATATTTAATTTATATTTTTCGATGATAATGGGAATGGGGGAGGCGATAAAAATAGACACGCAGATATAATGTAATATCGTTTATATTTCTCCTTACTATCAATATACAGTTTCCCTTGACATGTATGCAGATTTCCATTTCTTGATTACATTTATCTCTTCCAAAAACGTGAATAACTTCCGGTGAACGATGAATTAACAATAAAAAGAACAATTAAATTGACGAATAACAGAATTACGGAATGTCTCCATTGGCTTTACAATTTTCTGTTCAATATTTCGCTGATGGAGTCACATGAGACCTACGGGGCAAAATCGGGACAAATTTAAATATTCTACACATTATAATTATCTCTCTCTCATCCGATGTCATCTACACAGAATAAAATCAATTACATTCTCTCTGAATTCAGTTAATAGGTGAGCTTTCGAGGAATCTATTTGAATCTAAGACAGATACGTAATACTTTGGAAGGGTCTTCTTTAAATTTTACAATTCATTCTCTACGATAATGGTCGAGAGAAAAATTTCGATATCCGTCTAAGATTCAGAGCTATTTCACTTGAAATCTTAACTCCTTCCATACTGAATTGATTTATCGTCTCTCACTGAGGATGCGGGCTTCCCCGATCGCGAGAGTGATTAATAAACCTAAAACATCTTGAACAATTTATTTAAACACTGAGTGATGTTCTAGAGTTGACGTAAAACTGATGACCAGAGAATAAGAATGTTAGCACGTAAATGCAGGCAGCAATCCAGCAATTGTAGGCATTTTGAGTGTAACCTCTGTCAGCTGCAAAGTAGAATTTATCTGGTGTATCCAATATCTCTTCACCGAAGGAAATGTCTTCGATAAGGGCGACACTTCGAGCGAAAAAGAAGATACCCATAAGCAGCTGAGAAATACAAAGTTAAAAAATTCGTTGATACTCATGTTTCCAAAGGGTACGATAATATGAAGGTTAAAACTCATTACCAATTGCACAATTCCCCAGGCGGATACGATGAGACCGCACAGGGCGTATTTGGGACCACAAACTTTCATGACGAATTACGATTAACACAATTATTCCAAGATACTCCAAAATATACAATTTATTTTTTGGAAATGGAAGAGAAAATTTCGGAGTACTGCTCACTACGCCCAGCAGTCATATGATTACAATCGATACATCAGGTGCGGACCTAGGGATTTTTCCCCCAGGGGAAAACTCAAAATTCCCAGATCCAAAAATTTAATATTGCAATTAATTTTTATTGGATTTCGAAAGAATTGAGAAAATAAAAAACTTGAAAAAACTTCGAAATCCAAAAATACCTGAAATATCAAAAATAATCGTAATTCATAATTCTCCACATCTGATTATTCCGTGCTCCAATCTAAACAGAAAAGCAGTTGAATTTTACTCATAAAATTCCCGAAGCACTTGAAACTATTTTTAATTTTCAAATACACGTAATAAATTACCTATAAAATTCCCCGAACAAAATAATTAAAAACTTGATGAATAACTTATGGTTAGATATAAATACTCACCACATAAATATTCACGAAGTGACCGAGGAAAACTGGTTCATTCCAATCCATTAAAAATTGTTCCTCAAAATATATTATTTCAAATAAATGATTTACCAAAACCCTAAAAACGACTCTGACTACGCAATTTATTTATTCAAACTCGATTTGACAAGGAAAAAAAATTAAAGAAATGGACTGAAGCTTTTAAAGTTGCTCTTAAAAGCTCTCGAGTCGATTTAAAAAGTGAAAAATTTCAATGATCCACCGCTGGATGTCACTGGAGCACCCTCCCCGCTGTCCCCCCAGCTGATGCTCCTCCAGTCCTGGAGTAGCTCGAATGCACCACGTTCGCCCAGTAATGTCGGGACCACCGTATGGTTAGTGTCATCGCAATATCTAAATAATCCTCACAAACACAATCCATCTCCCTCTAAACTCCAATTCACTCTGTTTATCCCTCAGTGAGTTGTTCAAGGTGATAAACATAAATAGCTGGAGTACGCGGTACCGCCGATCCCTCATTATTTCCATCACTAATTACCGCACATGAGTCGAGGAAAAATACTGTAGGGAAATGAAATATCTCGTCACTGGGATTCTGCTTGTCAAACAGCCTTTATTGACGATACGTACCGAGGAAGGTAACACGAATACATCGTCTGCACGAGCTCCGATAATTAGGAGTAATCCACTAGTACTCGCTGTGGAGAGGGAAAAAAAAAAATAAAAATGTGCGGACAAGTAGTTAAATCCCTTGGTTGACAGGCCGGTCCCGAGGACAACTGAAATCCAGAGAAAAAGAGTCCATCGGTCAAAGTAAAAAGACCAAACGAGGTCGACATTTTTTTTTTCTCTCGTGACAGTATATTTGTCGTCGGATGAGTTTTATTCAATATCATCCACTCGTTACCCTGACGTCCGTTAAAATAATGAGTTAAGTTATTGATTGGTGTTGAGTAATTGCGAGTGGAAAAATTCGGTATTGGTTTAGCCATTTCAGGGTGAGTGAAGACGGAAGTTTTTAATCAGACGCGGAATAACCAATTCCCGGTGACGATTATTTTTCTCGTTTGTTGTAACGTGCAGGTGCTAGGAGTTATCACTACCCGTCTCGTTCAACTTCCCCGATGATTGTTCGATAATAACTCTTCAGTGTCTATCCACTGTAACAATAAACCTGTCAAGAGCAGTTTCCAATGCCCATTGTTTAGCTACCGTTGTGCTTTAATTCATACCGAAATACGAGAGCTATTGAATCGAATGTAATCCTCATTCTGTGTTTCGCGGATTTAATTATTTCCTCTGCGGATGATAATCCAAAATAGCGAGAAATAAAATGTGAAACAGAAAAAAATATCTGGGGACATCCGATATCAATCCGGTACTCACGTGTACGCCTGGACGTTGCGTAATTCTGAAAAAAAAAATGTCAGTGACCCACGGAATTATGTACAATGTATGCACTCGGTTTTGAAAAGAGTTATCAATTTCGTTATCACACCGATATCAAAAATGGAATGATGCTCGAGAGATGCCAAGGCGCTAATCCCCCGAGAATAATTACAATGAAATGACTGAGAGGAAATGTCAAGGTGATGGTTTCGATCATCTCCAGGGCCTCGAATTTTCTAGTATTAAATGCACGGGAGGAGGCCCTATTTTTAATTCGCTAAAGGTGAAGGGGTGATTGGATTTTTATCGGGTTTATTTTTTTTATGGCTATGATGATCAATAAGTCGCTCCCCTATTCCTTTGGTAATTATAAACGTCGATCCCCTATCGTGATGCGCCTTCAGAGGAGAATAGACACGAAATGCTATCGCAGATCGATTTGACCTACATCCTAGCCCTCGATTTCATCTTGCTCGATATTTTTTTTTCATTTGCAGATATTATGGATGATGCACTGGTCTGAGGGGCCCATCGGTCCTGAATAAAATCCATCAACTCTGGCGACCAGCTTCGAAATGGGAGAGATCCTCGGCTCCGCGAGTTTTCTCCATCTGGGGGATATTGTCAGCCTCTACGCCGAGGGCAATGTCTCCGGATTTTTGTCAACATTGGGGTACGTGGTTATCAATCATGGGGATGATTTTTCACTTGGTAAACATTTCCTGGAGTTCTTCATTAAGAAATTGATAAATAATTCGGAATTGCGTTGCGGTAATTTCAAGTAATCGCGGCTGTTGACGATTTGAATTTGAAATTGTGGGGAGAGACTTCTCAGGATGATATTGGATTTAGAAATAGCGGAGAACTTGGGGTTGAAGATGTGGAAGGGGTGACAGAGCATTAGGTGATGGACATTGAGGCCATCGGAGGGTTTCCCACGATGTTGGGAGGTTGCACTTTGGTTTCATTAGGGTATTCTCTGGAAATCTCCATCCACTTTAACAATAATTCCATCTTCAATTCCCAACTTGACCCCAAGTACCCCCCACAATTGATACGAGTCGAAATCAATTCCCTGCATTAGCGAGAGTCATCGCTATCTCTGTCATTAATATCTGTAAAATGGTATCTCGTATGGAGAATATGCTGGCGCTGATTAACGATAAAGAACGAAGAACGTAATTTCAAAACAATTCCCCGGTATCGCATTACCCACCGGTATTTTCTGTCCACTCGGTACTCCACACCGTGGAATGAAATAAAAAAGACGAGCAAATGTTTTACTCTAGGTAACACTGTGTTTATTTTTAAACTACCATCGGTTGATGGAAAGAACAAAGTTACCCATGTACTTTGTGTCGCCCTACTGTACATAAAACCATATTGCGGACCGATGAAGTTGAAGGCTCAACGCATGCTGATAGAGGGTTAAAAAGGCCATAATACAAAGTCATTGGAATTTTTTTATAGAATGGAGACAGTGCCATCATAATAAAGCACGATCCTCGAGGTCGAGGGATGCACTGGGAAAATTTGCGACAACTAAATCCTCTTGAAAATATATGTGGAAATTAAAATTCTATTGTCTATGTATATTTATCAGCCATCGCAATCGGTGAAAATCGGTAAAAAATCGGTAAAAATCGGTGGAAATCGGTGAAAATCGAGAGAACGCTGAGGAAAGGAACGTCGAGGAATGGAGGGATTTAATGGAATTATCGTGAAGAATGTCTTTTCTAGTGTCTCATTTCTGGATTAATCTCAGTTAAATAGAAAATTCCATTCGCAAATAAATTTCGTACTTTATTTAAGACCCACTTCCCTTTTCAATTATTCTTAATGATCTCAGACGTCGGTCTGACGGAATATACCGCGTATTTCTTCAAGCGCAGAAAGTCACTTCCCAGTGCTTCCGGGCGATTGCAACGTGCACTGCAATTTTCTTTTATTATTTTCCAGCCCCCTCGGTAGTTCTCCATGGAGTTGAGCCAGAAATAACACCATCACCTTCGTCCTGTATTTTCTTTATCGATCTCAATTTTATCTAGTCGCATTTTATTCGTCATTTAATCGAGTTGCGGCGCGTTATGGAGAAATTTGAGAAATTTGGGGCAGATTGTTATTTCGGAAATGCCTGTACGGAAGGGGAACCGCATTCCTGGTGAAGGGATGACTGCACATGACTTGTTCTCCTCCCAAAACCACCGGGACGTGACGTCAAAATGAAAACGTCACGAATTTTTCCGTCGAGGGGAAAATGATAAACCGTTTTAACTAATTGATCGATTTTCGAGGAATATCTTGGAATCTGACGGACATGGCGAAATATTCATGAGAACCTTTTTTGGGCAGAAAAATGAGAGCTAAATAAAAGGTCGTTACGAAATTTTTCCTGTTTCTGCTAGATTAAGAGATATTCCGTGAAAACTCGTTGAATTTGACTTGATACCCTTTATCTCTTCGCTACTGAATTCTCCAGACTCATTTGTCCGTTGAGAATGGAGGGTTTTGTCGGTTTGACAGGGGAAATCGATGAAACGTCGAAATGCAAATGCCCACTGACCCGCCAGCGAGGAAAACTACAGGTGAATTTCCCGAGTGATTGATGATATAATCGGTTTTTCTCGCTCGGTATTCTGATGGCTTTATATGCATACCTCCGTGTAAAAAGTGGTATGCACGATCTGATTTTGTTTAATGGATTGTAGAAATGTTTTATCTTGGTTCTATAGTCTCATTCTGTGGCTTTATCATCCTTTTCTCTTACTATTCTCTGTAATACGCCCTTGCTGACACCAGAATATCGATTCAGCGGTTGCCTGGGCCAACAATTCAAGTGTTCCGAGAGGCTTTTACCTGGGGATTATTAACTGGTTGAAGGGTTTCTTCGTTTAAAAAATTGGATCTTAAACTCAGGCGTTCCTACACCACTTGGACTGAAGAAGAATTTTATTCATTTTATTTTCCCTCGAGTAAAAAAAAAACGATGAATAAAAAATCCCGGACTAAAATTCCACAATCGTTAATTGAAGAATGAATTTACTGAATTGATTTCCATGAACAAAACATTTGCGAAATTAATGTTTCACCTGTGAATGCGTAATATCAAAAAATAAAACTCAATTATTGAGTTTAATTGTTGATTATTGAATGAACTCGTTTGGAATGGAGGAATATCCCGGAATCTACCGGAGATACGGAAATTTTTATGGAGAGCTTTTTTGTAGAGTGTAACGAGAGCTAGAAAAAAGTTAATTACAAAAATTTCGCCATGGCCCTTGGATGCGGAGATAAAAGGGAGATTAAAGGGGGGAGAGGAATGCGCGGCTATTTTTCGATGGAGCAATGCATCCTTATTATTCCGTAAATACTCTCAGTACCTCAAATATTAAGATAAAGCGATACGCGTGGTGTTAAAATAAAGGCATTGTATTCTCGGTACCCATTACCCGCGTTCCATATTTTCTGCTTACAATCAGCAAACGATATCCCCAAGGCCGCCAGCAGGATAAATAAGCATCCGCTGAGAATCGAGATTCCAGTAATTTTTTTCTTCTCAGAGAATTTCTCAAGGTTTTCCAGATTAAAAAAAATGAAATCCTCCGCAGATTGGTCGACGACAGATGCGTCGTGTGCCCAGAGGCCGGAGATCTATCAAATCCACCCAAAAAATTCCGAGGTAATCTCTCAGTTATCCGGATTGAAAACAATTTTAACTGACTCTCACCGCTTTTATTAGACTGCCTCTTCAAAATATGCCCCATGAACCGGTATTCCGCCCAGAAGCAGTTCTGGAAGGCAGCAAAACAGAGTGGAAGTTCGTCGACTGATGCCGTCCTGTTGAAACGTCTTCATCATGCAGCTGAGATTGAGAAGAAGCAGAATGAAACTGAAAACAAGAAGTTGCTGGGGACTGTTGTCTCGTACGGGAATGTCGTCCAGGTAGTGCCATATTCCAGTGGAAGAGGAACTCAAGATGTTCAGAAGAAAAAGCGAATTCATACCGTTAACCAAATAAACTTGGGAGAATTATTTTTTCTACGAGGAATTACCATTTTTTATGCTGTCACAATTGAAATTCATTTGAAGATGAAATTTCTCGTAGAATTCCGCTTTCATCTTCTGGATTCAAAGAAATTCTCACATTTATCAAAGAAAAGAAATATGCAATCGAAATTTCGGTGCTCTGAGCAAATTGGGATGATTAATTTTGGATTAATAATTCGATTTCAATTATCGATTCATCATGAATAAACGGGACAATAAATTTTTTAATTGAACTTAATGATAGTAATTGTAATTAATCGTTAATTGATCTAGCTCTGGAAATAAAAATTAAACCGCATTATAAAATTAATTGTAGTTTATAATTTTTAAATTCAATCCATACATTAAATATCACGTTTTAATTGCAGTTGCTGCACCTCAAATCCAACAAATTCTTGACAGTAAACAAGAGATTACCGGCTTTACTCGAGAAGAACGCAATGAGAGTGTACCTCGATGCAAACGGTAACGAGGGGTCGTGGCTGTACATAATGCCCTTCTACAAATTGCGAAGTGATGGTGACAGCGTGGTGGTGGGTGATAAAGTGATAATGGAGCCAGTGAATGCAGGTCGTCAGGGGCTGCACGTGGCAGCGAATTACGAGCTGAGTGATAATCCAGGTTGCAAAGAGGTGAATGTGGTGAACGCCTCGACCTCCTGGAAGGTGACGCTGTTCATGGAGCACAGGGAGAACCAGGAGGAGATACTCAAAGGAGGAGACGTAGTGAGACTCTTCCACGCGGAGCAGGAGAAATTTCTGACGATGGATGAGTACAAGAAGAAGCAGCACGTATTTCTGCGAACGACAGGGCGAACAAGCGCAACAGCTGCAACGAGCAGCAAAGCCCTGTGGGAGGTGGAGGTGGTGCAGCACGATCCCTGCAGAGGAGGGGCCGGCCACTGGAACTCTTTATTCAGATTCAAGCACCTGGCGACAGGGCAATACCTGGCAGCTGAGATCGATACAGACGAGCCTCCAGAGATGATAAAAGGGAAACGAGAGCCACCGGGTGCTATCTATCGTCTGGTGTCAGTGCCCCACAGCAACGAGATCAGTTCCCTCTTCGAGCTCGATCCCACGACCTTGACGAGGGGTGACAGCCTCGTTCCTCAGTCCTCATTCGTGAGACTCCACCACATCTGCACGAATACCTGGGTCCACTCCACGAGTGTTCCCATCGACAAGGACGACGAAAAGCCAGTGATGTCCAAGGTTGGCTGTGCCATCAGCAAGGAGGACAAGGAGGCATTTGCCCTGAGATCCGTCTCCCCAGTAGAAGTTCGAGATCTCGATTTTGCCAATGACGCGTGCAAGGTACTCGCTGCCATCAGTGGAAAATTGGAGAAGGGGACTATATCCCATAACGAGAGACGAGCTGTAACGAGTCTTCTCCAGGATATCGTGTACTTCATCGCTGGATTGGAGAATGAGCAGAACAAGTCCGAGGCACTTGAGCTCATCGTGACGAATGCTGTGAGGGACAGGCAGAAACTCCTCAGAGAGCAGTACATTCTTGGACAGCTCTTCAAGATCCTCCAGGCGCCTTTCCTGGAGTCTGCTGCTGGGGAGGGACCCTTCCTGAGGATCGAGGAGCTCAACGATCCTCGGCATGCACCTTACAAGTACATGTTCAGGCTGTGTTACAGAATTTTGAGACTATCTCAGCAAGACTACAGAAAGAACCAGGAGTACATTGCCAAACACTTTGCATTCATGCAGAAGCAGATTGGATATGACATTCTCGCTGAGGACACCATCACTGCTCTGTTGCATAATAATAGAAAACTCCTGGAGAAGCACATAACTGCTGCTGAGATCGAGACATTCGTGGGTCTCGTCAGGAAGAATATGTTCAACTGGGAGTCGAGATTTTTAGATTATCTGTCTGATCTTTGTATTTCTAATAAGAAGGCAATTGCTGTCACCCAGGAGCTCATCTGCAAGAGCGTTCTCAGTGAGAAGAATAAGGATATCTTGATCGAGACGAGGATGTTCAAGACACAGGTGGAGGTCGAGGAGGAGGTGGACGAGAGGCAGGATGGGGAGTCGAGAATAACAATTTTAGAGGAACTCGAGGTACTTCTCGTGTGGAACAATGGAAAACGGTCGATGTCACTCGGTGAATTGTCCAGGGGCGCTAAAATGGGGAACATCGAGGACGCTGCTATCCTCGATTACTACAGACATCAGTTGAATCTATTCAGCAATATGTGTTTGAATAGGCAGTACCTGGCGCTTAACAGCTTATCACCTCATTTGGGAATTGATTTGATTTTGAAGTGCATGGAGGATGAGACTGTGCCGTATGAACTCAGGGCATCTTTTTGCAGGCTCATGCTGCATCTCCATGTTGATAGGGATCCCCAGGAGCAGGTGACACCCGTCAAATATGCCAGGCTGTGGTCCGAGATCCCCTCGCAGATGAGCATTAATGATTATGATACTAATAAAATGCCGGATGAGAATAAAGAGGCTGTCAGGGCGAGGTTCAGTCAGACTATTATTTTTGTGGAGGATTATCTGTGCAATGTTGTCGCCAGGATGTGGTCCTTTGGGGATCAGGAGCAGAACAAACTCACATTTGAGGTACGCAATTCGAGGGGAGAAATTTGTATGAAAAATTTCAAAGCGAGAAACTGCGGGGGATAATTTGTGTTTAATGAGGGGATTATTATTTTATCTTCAGGTGGTGAAATTGGCTCGTGATTTGATTTATTTCGGATTCTACAGCTTCAGTGACTTATTAAGATTAACGAGAACTTTATTGAGTATTCTGGACTGCGTGTCAGAGAACGATTGCCCCGATGGAAAAATACCTACAGGTGAAATTGATTGTAAGTTTAACTAATGGGTCGTCGGTGTTGTTATGCTGTTAAACTATTACGTTGATTTATTAACTCCACTTGAAGTTCTTTATGGAAGGATTTTTGCATAGTTTGGAGACCATTCAATTCTGGTTTTAAATTGAAATGATTATTTACGAGAATAGTTTAACAACCGTTCACTAACAGGCTTGTCAATATTTCTATTCAGCTGAGAAAAGGGAACCCGAGACAAAAGGTATGCTCAGAAGCTGATGCTCGTCATTCTCTGTTCGTTCTGGTAGATTATTTCGTTGTAGTGATGTAGAAGTAGATTGTAGAGATTAATCTAGGCTTGATCTCCACAAACCCTCCACAGATGAAAAAATTCAATGGAAAAGTTATAAATTCTGTTGAAATTAAATTACCACTCCCTAGAAAATTTTATTCTCTCCACAAGATTTTTCCTTGTAGAAATTTCTAGAGAGTTCTAGAAGTTCAGCAGAATTTTTGTAGAAATTGTTAGAATTTTCTATTGAATTTAGGATTTATGTAATATTGATAAAAAAAATGAAACTAGCTGAAGGTGGTGTACTGAGATGTATCGGGGACATGGGTGCAGTGATGACTTCTCTTACCCTGGGCCCGGCAGGTCCTGTGATAGCGGGAAGTACTTCTCCGAGACCGAAGTCCTCCACGAAGAAAGAATATCCCCTAGTGATGGATACGAAGCTAAAAATTATTGAAATTCTCCAATTTATCCTGGACGTTCGACTGGACTACAGGATCTCCTGCCTGTTGAGCATCTTCAAGCAGGAGTTCGACGAGAACGAGAAAGCCTCCGGGGACGTCAATCTCGGGCAGAAGGGGATTGACCTCGAGTCCATTGGACAACAGGCGGAGGGAATATTCGGCAGCAGGTAATCACGTCATAATTGCACATGTCGGATTATTGGTATGAATTATTGACAGCTCGTGTGAATATTTTAGCGATGAATGTGTGGCCCTGGATCTCGATGGTCAGGGTGGGAGAACATTCCTGAGGGTGCTCCTTCATCTAGCCATGCATGACTACCCCCCATTGGTGTCAGGAGCCCTTCATCTATTATTCAGACACTTCAGTCAAAGACAAGAGGTCCTCCAGGCTTTTAAGCAGGTGCAATTGCTAGTGTCTGATAGTGACGTTGAGTCCTACAAGCAGATAAAAGCGGACCTGGACGTGCTTCGTCAATCCGTGGAGAAATCAGAACTCTGGGTGTACAAATCGAAATCCACCGAGGAGCACAGCGGGGGAAAAAAGAAAAAGAGTACAAAAGACGACGAGGAGGATGCAGGAGCGACTCCTAGGAAGCCAGCCCCCCAGTTATCGTCATCAGACAAAAAAGGTTCGGCAATAGACCTGGACGTGGGTCCTCCACTGCATCCGGAGCAGGCAGACGAGTACAGAAAGATACAGCAGATTTTAATCAGAATGAATAAATTGTGTATTCAAGCTGTGCCAGGGGGTGGAGTGAAACCTCGTAAACACGAGCAGAGACTCCTGAGGAACGTGGGGGTTCACACAATCGTTCTCGATCTTCTGCAGGTCCCCTTTGATGCCAAGGAGGACATCAGGATGAATGAGCTGATGAGACTAGCCCACGATTTTCTCCAAAATTTTTGTCTTGGTAATCAGCAGAATCAAATTCTACTCCACAAGCAGTTGGATCTCTTTCTCAATCCTGGAATACGAGAGGCTCAGACAGTATGCAGTATATTCCAGGACAACTCCACCCTCTGCAACGAAGTCAGTGCCAAAGTCATTCAGCACTTTGTCCACTGCATCGAGACTCACGGCAAACACGTGCAGTACTTGAAGTTCCTCCAGACGATAGTCAAAGCTGAGAATCAGTTCATCAGGAAGTGCCAGGAGATGGTGATGCAGGAGTTGGTGCAGGCTGGTGAGGATGTTCTCGTATTTTACAACGACAGGGCATCCTTTAATCATTTCGTGGAGATGATGAGGTCTGAGAGATTCAGGATGGATGAGAGCAGTCCACTGAAGTACCACGTGGAGCTCGTCAAGCTGTTGGCATGCTGCACCATGGGAAAGAACGTTAACACTGAGATCAAGTGTCATAGTCTTCTACCACTGGACGACATCGTCGCCATGGTCTCTCACTCGGACTGCCTCCCAGAGGTCAAGGAGGCGTACATCAACTTCTTGAATCACTGCTACATCGACACTGAAGTGGAAATGAAGGAGATTTACACGTCGAATCACATGTGGTCGCTGTTCGAGAAGTCGTTTATCGTCGATATGAGTCTCATCGCTACTGCAACGCACGACAGAAATCACGCAGACGTCGCTCTCGAGAATTATGTCACCAATTGTCTCATGAACATCATCACTACGTTCTTCAGCAGCCCTTTCTCCGATCAGAGCACTACTGTCCAGGTATGTTCTCTTCATTGATTTATTGATTGATGAGTTATTCATAGCGTTAATCATTCATTGGGAAAATGAGTTTAACATGCTGGAGCTCAAACTGAGGCTTTTCTGATGCATGTGGAATGCTGTGAGAATTACTGTAGTAAAAATATCGATTCAAAATGTTAAATAATATTTTTTTTCGGGGAATTTCATTAGTCGAAAAAATGCCTTCTCAGATTTTCGCCGGGAATTAATAATTTCGTGGATAAATCGACGATTGAAAAAATAGTTATGTGCATTTATCGCATTTTATCAGTTTGCATCTGATTTTAATTTAGACTCTGGAAAAAGCCTTCCACGTGTGTCCCAGCCACAGCTCAAAATTCATTAACGCAATATAAAAATTGCCATTAAAATGAATTGGGATGAGTTGCATGGGAACTGCTCCGCAGTAGTCTCAATAAAAATGACTAAAAACTTTAAAAATAATTCGACTGACTAGAAAAAGCAAAAGATTACATATTGCATTGTCTTTTGCATTTCAATCAAACGACGTTAAGCTGGAGGTAAACCGACAATAAAAAAATTAGATCAATAGAAAATTAGAAAAAGGTTGAATCTGTAAATACACAAAATGGCTAAAGTACTAATTATTCGTAATTGATTGGACAATCACAGCGATTCATACTGGATATTAATTACACTGGCTTTGCATGACATAAATAAATTTCCGTCGATCAAGCACACGTCAAATAATTCCTCTAACTAGATGCAGTAATTCGATATCTCCCATTGCTTTCAATCATTTTAATTAGGTAAAAAATTTTTTGATACTTTGATGTGCGCTTGGTATAATTGCTGATTTCGGCAGCGGCATGATCTGTGTTTTTTGGCATGTATTGCGGCTGACTAATGATTCAACGGAACATTGTAAAAAAAATACAATTGGTGCTCTGATTCGTTGGGTCTGTATGGTGGTTGGGTTTACTAATAGAAACACCTGCACGAGGCCAGGCTGTTTTGGAATCTCAAGGAGTGCGACAGGATCATCGACGACCCAGACTCTGTAAGTAAATAAGAAGAAACACTTGTCTGGATAAATAAGACACAATACATAAATTATTATCACTAACACGAGCACGATAAAAATGTCTCCTATCCCCGGTGTTGGTCAAAATTCAATTAATCTACTTCTCACCACTATCGAGAGTTGGCTAATTATGTACATAATACGTTCACATCGTGGGATTAATCAACCAATTGGCTGACACGCTATTAACTCCAACTTTATCTCCACATGATCAGTATTCCGATTTTCATGTCACACAAAATTTTATTGATGGAGTTATATTGAATTGAACAGACAAGGCAGCCGATATTCGTTCAGCTACTTCATGCTGCCTTCGAGGTGTCACAGTGCGCCTGGTTGAATGCTGGACAGAGATTTAATGTCGAGAATTGTATAAGAACGTTATCAGATGTTGGTGAGTCTTGTTATCCCATTGTAATCCAAGTATTTTGTCTGTGAGTTCAGTTGTGAAGAATTTTATTTGAAATATTTATTTGGATTGGATAAAATTTATTTGAATAAATTTTTTAATGGGATGGATTTATCCAATTGATGCGATAATAAATTAGCGAAGGGACGAGGCATCGCGATACCGACAGACCTGGAGTGTCAAGTGGCCACAATGTTCAATAAAGCTGCGATGCTCAGTAGACAGACCACCAAGTGGTTGCAAGCGGCAAAGCAGCCGAAAATCGAACGTAGTCAGAGTCAGGTAAATATTCTCTGAGAATTCGGGACATTTATTGCAAAATAATAATTAATAAATAATCGATACTAATCGGTGATGTCCAATAATGAATGTGAAGCAGTTGATGCGATTGGACAGAAGTATAATCGAGGGACTTCAAGACATAGTTTCCCTCCTGGAGGAGCAATTGAAGCCCCTCGTGCAGTCGGAGCTCTCCCTCCTGGTGGACATCCTGTACCGACCTGAGTTGCTCTTCCCCGTTGGCACAGATGCACGAAAAAGATGTGAAAACGGTGGCTTCATTCGAAGGTAAATAAAAATATTCATGATTAACCCGAGGACAAGAGGGCAAAGGATCCCTTTAATTTTCAGATTAATTAAACACACGGAGAAACTACTCGAGGAGACGGAAGAGAAACTCTGTGTCAAAGTACTGAGAACACTCCGTGAAATGATGGCTATTGACCCCGAGTACGGTGAAAAGGTTGGTGAATTAAAATATCCCGATAATGTGCACGAAATATCGTTCATTAATTCAGGAATTAAAACGACAAATACCGGTTTATGGATAAACAATAAATCACAGCAATTTGCAGCATCTTGGGAGAAGCGCTGACTAATTGTTAGATAATTGCAATAAAAAATTTATTTACGAACGCTCCTTTCTTTATGCTACTTCAAGATCTATGGGTGGCCACACCGCACATTTAGTTCAGTAGATTGATTACATAGATTTTTCAATCTCAATTAGTAGCGTCGGGATAACAAGAATAAATACAAGATAAACTTGAGAATCGGATTATTGAGATTAAATAATCGTGGATATGTTTGTTGGGAATTCTGGTGAGTAGATTGTTTTTGGTAGAATAGAAATGTAGGTAAAGGTGTTTTCATGCTGCTAAGGAAAGTGAGGATGTGGATGCGGGAGTGGATGCCGAGAGGGGAAACGATTTGACACTTGGAACAGAATCAAATGATCAGTTGCAAACACAGCAAATGACTCAACTGCAGCGGGTAAAAATTGATCAGTAGACTCGAAATGAGTGAATTATTAGGACGTGGGGATTGATGGAGTTATCTTTGTTGATTTATGGGGGAGTAATGGGTCTGTAGAGATTATTTGGGGATTTTATCATTAGGCTTGATCAGCATGAAGCTGTAGTGCACGCTTGAATTTTATTCAGTAATTGAAGATTACGGTATTGACGCTTTTACTTATTTCGTCGAATACTATTTATTTTTTAAATTATTCGTCGAGGAGCAGAATGTACCAATACTCACCTCGTATTTTACCATTATTTCATATTTTGTATTCTTATATTTTTACTGGATATTTATATTGGTAATTGTTTCACAAGTCAATGTTGACATTTTTTTCTGATTCATTTCTAACGGTAATGCAATAGATTTTTATGTAAGAAGTCCCTTTTTATTAATAAATACTTCAATTGGAGGTAAATCATTAGATTCCCGCTTTGATTATTACAGTTTTTTTTATTCTTTTACGTCCGTATTTTTATGCTATACCCCTCGACCAGAACGCACTCGTGCATTTTTCCCATTTCGAGTAAAATTGGTGCAAAAATATTTTTTATCAGATATTCATCCCCGCACTGTCGGAAATTCATTGAGATTCAAGGGAGAAGTGCTTGAATTCTATTTTCAATCATAAAATTTCTCATTCATCGTGAAAAAAATCGAATTAATGAGCAAAATAAAATAATGATAGATAAAATATGGATAATATCAATATTGTCTTCTATGAATTTTTTTAATATTGAAAATTGAAATTGAGACAATAGTTTCTACTTGAAATTTCGATATAAATTTCCTCACAGTGTACCGCTACTCAGTATTGGTACATGATTGCTACCCCTCCCTCAAATCCAAACCAACTCACCCTGTCTTCCCCAGGGTGAGGCTTTGAGGAACAACTTGCTGATTCGTTACTTCGGGAAAGCCTTCCTCCAAAAATCGGAAAACGTGGAAATTGGGGTGCGAAACTCCACATCAGTGACGCATGGCCCAGGAGCGAAACTCCTGAGCCGAGCCGGAAGAACACTGCACGAGGTCCAGAGCCACCTGGACCGAGAGGGTGCATCTGATCTCGTGGTAGAGCTAGTAATAAAAAGTGTGCACTCTCCAAGTATTTTTGTGGAGGCAGTGGAGCTGGGAATAGCGCTGCTGGAGGGTGGAAATCCAATAATTCAAAAGAGCGTCTTCTCGAAATTAATGGGAGACGACCTGAGTCAGTCCTTCTTCAAGGTCTTCAACGAGAAGATGAAGGATTCCCAGCAGGAGATAAAGGCGACTGTAACGGTGAATACATCTGATATCGCGGCGAAGGCGCACGAGGACAAGGAGCAAAACAAGGAACTGGAGAAAATCTCGAAGAAGCGTTTGTCAACGAAACCGAACGGCATCGTAATAACCGAGGAACTCCGGGAGGAGCTCAACCAGGCGGCAGCCTCGACAGCCCAAGCTTACGCCAATGTGCGAACCCTAGCCTCTGGTGAGGATATATCGAACAACGCAGCCCTGGGGTACGCCCTCGAGGACATGCTCGCTGAGAAACTCGACAGACACCGAGGGAACAGCTCAGAGCGTGAAGAGGGTCTCCTCAGTGCAAAAGTCCTCGTGATGCAGCCAATCCTCAGGTTCCTGCAGCTCCTCTGCGAGAACCACAACAGAGACTTACAGAATTATCTCCGGAATCAGAACAATAAAACTAATTTCAATTTGGTATCAGAGACTCTAATGTTTCTCGACTGCATCTGTGGGTCGACGACGGGCGGTCTAGGTCTCCTGGGGCTGTACATAAATGAGCACAACGTAGCCCTCATAAATCAGACCCTGGAAACATTGACAGAGTACTGCCAGGGCCCCTGTCACGACAACCAGAACTGCATAGCAACGCACGAGTCCAACGGTCTCGACATTATCACAGCTCTAATTCTCAATGACATCAATCCCCTGGGTAAAACTCGAATGGATCTAGTCCTGGAGTTAAAGAATAACGCGAGTAAATTACTCCTCGCTATAATGGAGAGCAGAGGTGACAGTGAGAATGCCGAGAGAATTCTGTACAACATGAATCCAAAACAACTGGTGGATGTGGCATGCAGGGCATTCCATCAGGAGTCCCTGGACGAAGATCCAGACTCGGACGACGCCTCCACCGACAGCGACGAGGGTGTATCCCCAAAAGAGGTCGGCCACAACATCTACATCCTCTGCCATCAACTGGCTCATCACAACAAGGAACTCGCCACGATGCTCCGCCCATCGGAGCTCAACAATGCCGATCCAAAAATAAACAAAGCCCTCAAATACTACGCAACCCACACATCGCAGATTGAAATAGTCCGACACGACAGGACCCTCGAGCAAATTGTCTTCCCCATCCCCGAGATCTGCGAGCTCATAACTCTGGACACGAAGATGAAGGTCCTCCATACCGCTGAGAGAGACGATCAGGGTTCCAAGGTCTCGGACTTCTTCGAGAGAACTGAGGATATGTTCAACGAGATGAAGTGGCAGAAGAAACTTCGAGGCCAGCCAATGCTCTTCTGGATGAGCAGTTATATGTCCCTGTGGAGCAATCTACTCTTCAACTGTGCAGTCCTGATAAATCTCATCGTGGCATTCTTCTATCCCTTCGTCGATAATGTGCCTAAACTGATAATTCCCCAGCTCTCGGGTCTCATCTGGACGGTGATGCTGTCTTCAGGGGCTATCGTCCTCACCCTCCCCAGGGTAACTGGCATACGAACTCTAGCTGCATCCACAATACTCAGATTAATCTTCTCCATCGGTCCCGAGCCCACTCTCATGCTCCTGGGTTTCACCACTATAATCTTCAAGATAGTCCACATGATCAGCATAATTGGTAATCAAGGAACCCTCACCAAGAGTGCCCAGCAAATAATAACGAACGCCGAGCTGTGGTATCACGCTGTTTATCTCATGTTCTGCGTCCTGGGGATATGTATGCATCCATTTTTCTACTCAGTCCTCTTGTTCGACGTCGTCTACAGGGAGGAAACACTTCTCAATGTCATAAGATCTGTCACGAGAAATGGTAGATCGATTATTCTCACAGCAGTTCTCGCACTCATTCTCGTCTACATGTTCTCGATAATCGGTTACATGTTCTTCAAGGACGATTTTCTAGTCGGTGTCGACGAGGAGATAATCTCCCAAGTGCCTATGGGTACTTGCGAGTCAGGAAGCTGCGAGGCTACGGAGACGCTGTCGAGGTATGTGCAGGAGGTAAACGAAAAGCAGTCCGCAGAGATGGTGAGCGTTGGAGGTGAAATGAAAGAGAGGGCGTGTGACTCCTTGGTGATGTGCATCGTCACAACCCTGAATCAGGGGCTGAGAAATGGCGGAGGCATTGGCGACGTCCTCAGAGCTCCCTCAAGCACTGAGCCCCTCTTCGTGGCTAGAGTTGTCTATGATCTTCTATTCTTCTTCGTCGTCATCATTATTGTTCTGAATCTGATATTCGGTGTGATAATTGATACCTTCGCTGATCTGAGATCTGAGAAGCAGCAGAAGGAGTTGATCCTGAAGAACACTTGTTTCATCTGTGGACTTAATAGATCAGCATTTGATAACAAAACTGTCTCGTTCGAGGAACATATTAAGCACGAGCACAATATGTGGCATTATCTCTATTTCATTGTTCTGGTGAAGGTGAAGGATCCAACGGAGTTCACAGGCCCTGAGTCATACGTGTACGCCATGGTCAAGGTATTAGTTCGTAGGGCTTTGGATTCACTGGTCATGTGGTCGGGTATTAATTCTAAGCTCTATGTACTTCAACAGGATCGTAATCTCGACTGGTTTCCAAGGCTACGTGCTAAATCACTGGCGGCTGATGAGGGAGAAGGAGAACAGGTGGAATTGCGGAGTCTTCAGTCTCAGTTGGAGTCGACTCAGCTGCTGGTTAAGTGCCTGTCACAACAACTTACCGAACTGAGGGATCAGGTAGGGGATATATCGATAATTAGGTAAACTTATCAGACGATATCTTGAGGTGGGGGAGATCAGCGGGATTTAATTTATGGCGTGTCAGTAGTTACGTTGCTCTCTGATTGATGGATGATGTGGGGAAAATTCGGAAAGTATTTGATTTTTGGAGGTTTTAATCGGGAAATCGAATATCAGACCAGAAGAGGAGGGAGGGAAGTGGTAAAGGGTGAAAATTCGAATTATTTCTGATACTGAGAGAAATCCTGAAATTTTTGGTGGGGCACGTTTTGCAGAGTGGAATGAGAGCTACAAAAAAAGTCATACGTAAAATTTTCAGTCTTTATTGTGTTCAGAGGTAATATCGAGTTTTGAACTTTATCGCTTTTCTGTTGAGATGCCGATGGGTTTTAAATGCAGGGAAAAGAGTTTAATGTTCTTGTTTGAAGATGACGGAGCAACGCAAGCAGAAGCAGAGACTTGGACTACTAAATTCAGCATCTGCTTTTCTTCACAATCCACCGACGTAAACAGAAAATAGAGGAGAAGAGAATTTAATCTCAGTCGTGGGATCATTGCATGGGAATTTATAAAATAGTTATCTCTCTAATAACTGTCTCGAACATGATTTATATTGATGGATAATAATAATTGTTCGTGGTGATTTTTTTTATCGGACACATATCTCTGATTTCGGCCCATATCGATTTATCTTATTACGATTTTTGTCGGGTAGATGTGACTGTACTCTGAATTTTATAGCAGGAGTTCTAGAATTTCTAATAATGTCTCGATTGTCACTCAGAATAATGTAATAATTAGGAATTTTTGGACGTTCTATCGATTGAAAGTCATCATAATGAAAATTATGGAACAAATGCTCATTAATTAGGGATAGGGACTCTTTTTTTTTTAATGGGTTTTCGTTGATTTTATTGAAGGTTTTTGGAAAATATTCTTTGATTTTTCGATGAATTTACTTACCGAGCGATTTTTTCGACAATCATTGGCATATCTTGTGCACAGCACTAATCAAATTTTTCGATTATCTCGATTATGATAGAGTAGTCGTCATTTGATGGAGAATAAAATTTAGGGAACAACTGGATGGAAGCAAATGAAATTACATAATGTCCCATTAATGTCGTATATCTCTTGAGCTTCTTTCATATGTACAGTATCATGAGTTGTATTAACGTCTTTCATAAACTTTAAAAAATGTAACGAGAGTGACACGGAGGAGTGGAGAATATTCGAGGGATCGGAGAGGCTCTCTTGAAAGGAGATATGAAATAAAAATCTCTCATTACGTAAAATAATAGTCATCAAGTGTCATAATTATCTGGGAATGTAAATATAAAGTTAAGTTTGTTCTCGTTGAACTAATTCTATCAATGTACAATATCATTCTATTAATTTTTTACTTCCCGTACTACGAATTTGTGCCAATAATTTCCCATAATAATTTAAGGACGATTATCGTCAATCTGCCAATGTAGATCTTTTTATTTTCCCTAATTCAATCGTCTCAGGATATCCGCAGAAAATGAAAAATTAATCGTGTTAACGAAGATGTGTAAAATACCTGTAATGTGTTATGTTTCAATAAAGATGAATTGTTTTATATTACCAATTGGCCATTATTTTTATCATAAAAAAATTCAGTCGACGATTTCACTGTTGTCATTTCATTTTTATTAATATTTTATGCAAAACAATTGACTATTGTTTACTTAAATATACACGACTAATACATGTAACATGTAGTACCCTCAATTCATGCGCATCTCGCTCTCTCTCTCTCTCTCTCTCTCTCTTGAATTCTATTAAGAATTTATTTTCTCTTTTACCCAATTTAGAAAGCACTCAACCGAGGGCTGAATGCTTTCTAGATTGCATCGATCTAAAATTCCGGCAATCTGGAGGCTGTGGTATTCTCATCAATTTCGATGTTTAGTTGAAAAACAAAAACAATTTCACTTCAATTATACATCATATCTTCCCGCATCAAGCGTCGAGCTGTCGACGTGATGAATAAAATTACCTGTAGACTTTCATCATTGTTGTGACGAGGTCAAAACACACGTAAATATAAATATTCATTTGTTTATCAAATTGAGTCAATATTCTCCATTGGTATTCTGGACGGTTTGGGAACGAGACGAATTTTTCAAATCCTCTTTATTTTTCGTATTAAAAATCTCAATTCCAACGAATCGGATCGTGAGCACCTTTCAGAATAAATAACCGTTCGATTATTGCAAAAATCATTAATATCTATCAGTGCTGATATGTCTATTAAAATCGCCTCTTGTGAAAATGTATAAAGAGCTGAAGAGTACTTTTACGAAAATGGTGCTCTGAAAGTTTATGAAGCCACTATCTATATGTGTACAGCGGTGGATAATAAAACATTTCATAGCCTTTTTCACCGCTGAAAATATTAAAAAAAGAGGATAAATTAAATGATCGTAAAAAATAGATCTGGGTTTATGGAAGCTTCGGCCTCGTACCTCCACCGTCACCTTTAATCGATCAGTTAGTACTCACTAATAGTCTGTTTTGGAGTTTTGGGTTTGAGTATTAATACATACATGTAATAGTGAACCTATTCCATATTCTCGTGTATATGAAATGAATCAATTAAATTCCAGCACTCGCCCCAGAAATTCCAGTCAATCCCTCTTCCAACTCTGTAGAATATTATCAGAGATTTATCGGAAATCCATCAGAAATTTTTAGAGAGAACGCAAGTCATTCATTGAATTTTTTCATACGCACGTAATTTTCCTTCAATTAATTTCCCTCGATGGTCGACTACCAGAAAAACTAATCGATCACTGAGGGATGCATAACAGGTGAGAGGGACATCAGATGGAGTCTCATTTTTTTTATTCAAATTGCTTCTAATGGGAGTTGCGTCATGATCGCTAACGAGCAATAGACAAAAGTAGATAACTGGTCTGGCGTCTTCCTGAATTGTGTACGTTACTAAAATTTTGGCAAACTCTCATTTCATTTGGATTGCATCGACATAACTGATGTCCCTCCCAAGGAAATTGTGCCCGAGGACACAAGCTCGTTCGCCAAAATTCGTCTTTCCGTTTCTCTAGAATTCTCGAATATTAATTTCCCCATTACCCTACGTTGCCCATTACTTCAAATTCATTGTATTCTGTACAAATTCTATTAATCTACAATTTATTTACAGAAAATCAATGCCAGCACTATTAATCAAACCGTCCCTACCATCTTATTTATACTATTTACAGAAATTGATTCGATAAAATCAGTAGCAAAATGACGAATTGAGAAAAATCGATTGTTCATCCTTTCAAATTCCAAATTATCGATTTATCCAAAAAACCATCGATTTGAGGTGAAAACCGTAAAGAGCTTTTTTGCAGGTGATTGAGTTTCCGATGAAAAAAGCCTTTTGATATTTTTCTCTAAAATTGATAGATCCTCAGATTAATGGCTGAAAAACATGAAAAAACAGGAATGTTACCAGATTCATCTCATTTCATGACTTGGCTACTTGTCCATTGATCAATGGAATTGTTTTTCACGCCCGAGGAGTTGCCCTATGTACACTAGACTCTCACACATTCAGAAATTGCCATAACAGAATAAAAATACCACCAGAGTTGACAGAGCCATAGGAAAAGAGTGATGATTAACGAGTACCGCAACTGACGTGCCGGATACGTAATTTGGTGCTGGCGAGGGGCCACTTTTTTGTGTATTCGCCATAACTGTGTCACTTCGCCATTTCATCACGTACTGAGGCGCCGTTCTGCCGAGAGCTTGCAATCTGTGTCAGAGTGTTAGCTTCAAGTTGTCTCCAGGACATTTTTTTTTTTCAATTTACAGATGAAAGAAAGGAAAAATCAAATTCCATACCTGACGACCGCGGTGTTCATTTTCCGTGGAAGTGTAAAATTTTTATGCCTATCCCGTGAGCAGAATGTATGCAGCCTCTGGCCAACCGGATCGCCAGTTTTCTTGTACTCATGTATTGTCAGGTTCCAGGCTGTACAGGGTCCTTGAAATTTAGAGAAATCCAACACATTTTCGTACATATCTCCCAGATGATATTAAAATCCTAATATAATAATAATAATAAATGAAGACTCTTTTTATTCACCCGCGGATCTACACGTTTTATCGATTTCACAGGTGTCGAGAAAATATAACGTTTCGAAATAGCCGTATCGAGTTGAACTCGACCCTCTCCGAAGGTAAAAATCTCCTCTGGACGTCGCCCATATCCCATCAATCCATCTGCCGTATCACCTCCCCCCCTCACCCCTCTTACCCTTATTCCTCATTCTTGCTGCTCGTTTCGTTATCTATCCGCTACTGTCGGCAGCAATTAATTGCCGACGCCCACCCTTAATTGGTTGTTCCGAGGGAAAAGCCCTGGCACCGGAACGAACGACAGTATATTTATTCGTCCCGTATCGTTTGCTATGTCAACCTGTATGGTTTATACACCGTATATATGTACTGTTACCCATCACCCTCCCCTCAACCCCGCAGCAACACTGTAATGCACACATAGACCTATTCCTGGAGCCCCCACATCCCGGAATAATAAACGTTGCACCCAATCGGGTTTTCGTGAATTTGAGATAACGTTTCGATAAATTGTTTACCCCCAGCAAAATGCTGGGTAGTTTATCGTAGCATTTGGCCGAGGATTATTGGACGTATTTGTCCGTAACGTCGAATTATTCCCAAAATAGGGTAGTTTATTTACTTAATGAGAACGACTCAACGATTCATAATGAATGGACACACGAAATACTCACTGTCCTGGAATGATTCAACCTCGATGATGAGTTGTCTGTCGATTGATGAGTCCAATATCCACATGCACTTTTGTTGATAGTACTGATTGAGACTGGAGATACTGGGTACACTGAGATCCTCAGCGCGTATCATACCCTCGGGTTTTCTCGTCGAATGATCGCCGCAGTAAGCGCTCTCAGCAAATTTGTAGTTGGCTTTGAAACCCAAGCCTGATCTTGATGAGCGAGACCACTCGATATAGAGGGGTGTCCAACTTCGGATTTTCAGGGGTAGCCAGTTCTACAAAATGTCAACTCAATTGCGTTTAGCTCAATATTTCTCTCGAATTTCAATGAAATACTCAATGAAATTAGTGGGCAAGTGGTCATTCGCTACGGGATCATATTCCGTATATAATTTATATATAATATATATATAATTTCTCACTATTGTGAACTGTTCAATTTGTTTCCATCGATCAATAACTATTCATCTGACATTATCAATAAAAATAGCATCTGAAAAACAAATACCATTGGAACTGTAAAAATCACCTGATAATCCCCACAGAGGCACATAATGATGTGTCCAGGCTCCGAGCCAACCTGGAGATAATCAATAGAATCCAGTGGGCTGTCACTCATGCACCTGCATCCACTGTCTCCACAGAGAGTAATACACTGATTGGTGGTGGGACGTTTGACATTGTCATTCTCCACCTTGAAATATTAAATGACCCCTAAGAAAGCCTGTCGATATCACCTCAAGTGTCTCAAAGACAATTATCACTTTCCCCCAAGGATTCTTGGTAGTTTATGGTACCCCTACCGTGAGAATCGCCGATTGGTTAGCGGCTGGAATGAAGTGGTGTTTGCACTTGACGGAGCCTTGCAGGGTGAACAGCCTGGAAATAGGGTGCACCACCCAGCCTTCCTTTGGTGAGCTCAGACCGTAGTACTCCACGTCACAGGCACTCGAGGGCCGTAGAGTGCCCCCTTCCCTCTCTGGAAGAAAAAGAGATGAAAAGAAGAAAAAATATAGAGAACCAGGAGAAATAAAAACAGATATCTCGAATGGTGAGAATAAAGAAAGTTGAGGGGGGGGGACAGGAGGAAGGAGTGCAAAACTTTTGGATAAATTTTAGTGTACAACCGTGGAGATTACGACGTTGAAGAATGTTTCCTCTAACACACACGTCAATTTCGCTTCAACACACAATCCTCAAACGTGGGATTTATTTTGAAGAAAACACTGTTGGAAAAGTGAATGGCATTCTTAAACGTACGTGGGTTATTGACACGTTAAAAGTACCCCAGCCCACTTTATCTCACACTCACTTGGTCTCTCAGACCAAATACTGGAATACAAGAGGAATACGTTGAGCTTTTTCACTTCCATCATATTCTTTCACGCTGAGACTTGAATTCACGGTTCGATGAAAAGAGCTTTCCCCCTTGTTTCATTGGGATTTTTCACTGACGTGGCACTTGGCGAAAATCCATATCTTCTTAAGGAGAAGGAACGTTCCCACATCCAGAAATTTTATTTATTCACACCGAATGAACAACGCTATTTAAATACCACGAAATGAATAAGAGTAATGAGTGGAAATAATTATAAAATTAATGGGCTATTTCATATTGGAGCGAGTGAATATTTTATTGGCAACTGCAGAATGATTATTGGATTGGAATAATTTTTCTCGATGCAGGGAGGAATGCAAAGTGAATTCCTGAGTGGTATTGAGCATCTTAAAAATATGGATCTGCTTTAACTCTGGTATTTTATCATTGCCTTCGTGATGACTTTTATATGAGTAGAGGACTGAAGTGTATAAAAGAACAACTTTACCGTCGTGAAAATAGTAAGCGACATCCATGAATTCTTCATCGGGTGGTTTGTTTGATGCTCGTCGCAAAACAACCGTCATATCCCTGCCTGTGGACGAGTAATGCTCTGTCTCTGTGTACCTGTAAAAAGAAAACGTGAGTTTCAGGAAAAATGTGTAGTCCCGTGGATGCTGGGGAAGAGGTTTACGATCGTGGTTTAAGTACAGCAATTCGTATGAAAACGCGAGTTCAGCTGTATGACTTTTCAGTGGTGGAAGAAAAAAAGAAAATAGTACGCGAGGAAAAATGACTGGGCGTGAATGTTATGTGTTGAAGTGCAGAATCACAAATGCGGAATAGACACTTATCTATACGTTTTTATTGTTGCCTTTACAATTTAAGTGTATTGGAGCACTTCCACTATTTATTTTTTCGGTTACTCCACTCATTGGTATGATTATTTATAATTATTCTCATTTTAATTCAAATAAAAATCGTCCTGAATTATCAGTGATGAGTAATGGGACGATTAATATTTTTATAGTGGTTGTTTTTCGTGGTTTATTTGAGGGTATTAATTATTGAATTTTTCGATCTTAATTGCAGTTATAAATTTAATTATTTGGATGGAGAATAATTAGTGGGGGAGATTCTCCGGTTCAATGGGGGAATAAAGCCTTTATATACCGTAATGCTGAAGAATTTCCATTCAACATCATCAGTACGTTATACTTATGCAAACAGGGTACTCTTGTCATGAATGCAAGATCGTTGAATAGGGCACGAGTGAATAAAAATTCACCCTGTTTGTGACACATACCAACGACATTCCAAAGGGATCGATCAGAAAAAAAAATTCCCCTCATCTCAGTGTACCCATTTTCCATATCCTAGGCGGCATATTAAATTCCATGTCGAGGACTCGAATACTCACACTGAATATTCACGAGTTTGATCAAAATCCAAATGCTATTCACACATAATACTTTTTTCTGTTCTCATTGTGTGGATTCACACTTTTAAATGACATGACGAGAGGATATTGAGGTGCAGCCAGTGAAAATTCCAGAGAAATTGTCTCGTTAGAGAATGAAAAAGTATCTGAGTATTGATTGAATGAGCAATCGTCTGCAATTTGAGATTTCATGTCCAATTAAAAAACGTGGAGACCTCATTTCGAAATACAAAGCACCTTTCAACTTTCAGTTTCCCAATACCAAATAATCTTCTTGGATTTTCTCCTTAACAATTTAGCAATCGAATTTATTTTTCCTCTCTTATTTCAGAAAATATTCTATCACACTTTTATAACAGAGCCGACAGTTTTCAAGATAAAAAAATATAAACCACTTGAAGTATTCCAAAAAATTAGAATAGAAGATAAATCTAAAAAATGAATGAGATTTTCCGGATGTTGTGAAAAAAATTCGGAGAGATCAAGTGCTCCACGGTGTCGTCCAAAAGATTATTCCCCTCTTACAATTGGTAAAAAAAAAAATCCAGAGAGCTGGCAGTGATCCAGTGCCTCCATGAGGTCCTCCCCTGCAGTTGTATGTTTTTCCAGCTCCACTCAGCACTAAAAAAAAAAGATTGTGATGAAAAACTTGTCCTTGTCGTTGATTTGAGTGGTGTGTAATGAACTCGCCTTTGAGGCGAGACAATCCATGCTCATTACCATCCCTATGGACCCCGACATACATGGAGCAGAGAGCACAGTACGTTCCATTTGGCAAAGGACTGGTAACGTGTACCTTTGTGCCTTCAGGCTCGCCGGGTCTTACTCCGGGAATTGTGCATCAAAGCATAGAAGCTGGATGTGCCACTGGTATTGTGGTCGTTACAGCCATGGAGAATCATTCTATCCAACTCGTGACTATCGTGTATGTTACTCCTCTGTCACCGGATAAAAGTCTATGATGCATTCAGTAATAATCTGTCCATGTAGCTCCAGTCGTTCTCCAGAGGTATCCCAATTTGTCATACCAGTCCTGTCTGGTGATGCTGGTAGAGATGGAACGATCTCAGTTCATTCATGGAGATGAAAATGCCGAGGAGAATCGAACACTTCCTGTTTTTTCACATCTCCCACCTCATTGACAGCCACAAGCCCACAATTTCCAGAATAATTACGGTAAATTTGTTTGAATAATGACAAACATTGTGATGATTCGTATGTCGTTCAGGATTTCAGGACAAAAATCTAAATTGGGGATATTGTTTATTTTTTTCTGCTGATTCATACCCGTAGCCTCAGGATTCTCATAATAATTGGGATAAAATCGTTAGAATAATTATAAACACAAATAGTCTTATTATTATGGTTTAAAAAAAAATTGAAGATTTATTTAATTGAAGAATAAATCCCGCGCGCATCTGGTCGGCGCAACAGTTCAAGATGGCGTCGAGTCCTTGTGGTGAGGTGATTTTTGCTCTCTGCATTTTTACGTGAAATCAGTGTTAAATCCCCCGAATAATTAGAAAACGTGGACTCATTATGTGATTGTGATGTGCGCAGACTATTAGATCATGAGGTAATGATTTTTATTGTCAATCATGAGGGAATAACAATGGGCCCAGTACAGGCGACAAGACGCGTGCGCATAGTCTGTACGCACATCAAATGGCGGCTGAGTGTTCCATGAAGTGAGACGCCCGGTTTTCGTTCGAGGTATTTTCGTAGAAAAAACATGTATAATCGCGGAAATATTTATTGACAATATGACAATAAGCTTGTGCTAATGGGTGGTAACGCGTGGACAACAGAATTAGTGCGTATTCGGGTATATTAATGGTGCTGGGAGGATTGAAAAAATTCATGTGGCGATTGGCCTCGAGCTTGCAGCACCGGCATTGTTGCAACTTTGAAAATCATGATTGTGTGGTCGAGACAAAGTCGTTAAAAAATTTTTGGTGAGCATTGCCTAATTAATTAATAATTATTTTTTTCGAGACTCGAGTGAGACGTGTGAATTAAATGAAAAAAACATGATTCTGGAAAATTTTCGTTGGGAATTTTGAGGTGACATCGCTGAAGTCGTTTTCAGAATATTGTATCGATTGATGTATTGATGAACGCCCGGGGGGGGG